ATCTCTGAGATCTTGAGGGAAACCACCGGACGACATCTCTCTCTCTCTCTGTTCCCTAAGTGTGATTAATGACGGCAGCTCTGAATTGTTAGCTAAATGCATCCGATCATCAGTGCAAACTATTTTTGCACTTGCACAATAAACTGGCAATTGCAGTCATTTATTTTTGCTATATGTGAATGATATATAGGAGATAATGGGATTTTTTTTTAAAGCTTTTCCAAGAAAAAATAACTGACAAATTAATTAAACAGCTTTAAACTAATATACTTGTGGTTAAAATATTATTTGTTAATGGGTTTAAGACAATTAACTGCAATTTTATCTAAATTTAAATCTAATATATATTTTAAATATTATCTAAAAATATTTAATATTCATTCATTTATAATATTACATTTTATTTGAAAATCTCCTCTTATAATATTATTCTCAACCAAGTACACCGACTGCCTGCGACCTTGCAACCTCTTTGTGTTGCCTTGACTTTGCCCTTGGCTTGGCTTGACTGCAGCTTTTGTCCCGCCTAATGGCTTCCGGTGATGCCAAACCATCTCGGCTCAGCTTCGTGGCCAACAAGAAGTCAACTCGGCTTGTGGCATACATAATTATGGCCACTTGCCACCGACAGCGCCCAAAAATAGGCAGCACCTAAGAGCTAACTAGCATAATCGGAAAGAATACCAGGTGCGAGCTTGAATGCGGATGCGGATACGGATATGGGGTAGCCATCCATGTATCTGTATCTACAAACGGGTTGGTTTGGGCTGGGGGGTACAGTCGACGGCAGCAGTCGCTGATAAGCGGGCCTTCGGCAGCTTTTAACGATTGCGTAACTGACAAGGCACCTCTGGGGGTGGGCAGCAGGCGGTAGGCGGCAGACTTGGCAGTCGTAAAATGGCTTTTAGGGACAATAACGTTAATAACAACCTCAAATGAAAGTGAAATGGAATAGGGAGCAAAGGGAGCGAAGGGAGCGAAGGGAGCAAGGGGGAGCCACAACGCAACTCGGGATATTATCAGTGATTGGGCATATCTATCTAGTTCACCGACTTTGGATATTGACACAAGACAAAGATAGAGATTTTGCCAATACAAATAAACAAATCAAAGTCATTATAAAAGTAATATCTTTAGGGCTTCGTCTATATAGTTGAATGGTGGTTTTCAATTAAATCAGGTTGGAGATAAACAAGGTTTACAAGAGATATAAAGGAATTACCTTTTATGGGGTGTACAAATAATATCGGTAATAATGATTATACAAATATTTAAAATATTGTATTTTATTATTATTTTGTCTCTTTCTTGAAATATATTAATCCGATGTATTAAAATAAATATCGATTAATTTGCATATTATTAAATATATCGTAGCTTTAATATATAGATTTACATATCGAATTTCACATTAAAAACCGATACATTATCGATGTTTTGATGTTTTCTGACCTATCCGCGTATGCTTAAGGGTTGACTTGACTTTAAAAACAATAAAACAGAATCAAAAAATGATGTCGAATGCCAAATCTTAATCTTCTTAGTGTGGTTTTAGGGGCTGTTGCGTTTTTACGAAAGTTTTAAATGCGATTTTAAGAGCAATTTAAGGGCGGTAAGGCGGTTTTAAATTATCGTAGACTCTGTTAGTCTACAATCCTTTTAGAAACTTTAACTATAAGCACATTTTTGCCAAGATTGGGCACCAATCTACAAGATCGGGCCCATGACCAACCTTGACTGACTGCCAGACAGAAAATGTGTGCAAAGCAAAACGAAACTCCACACCTAATGAGTTTTAGAATCCTTATAAATGAGTTTTCTCTCCGCGATTAAAACGTACTATTCAAAGTTTGTTTTTGTTAGGTCATTCGCGACAATTCGTAAAATAACAGACAGAACGCCACGAGGTCTAGGTTTTCCCTTGGACATTTGATAAGTTCGTCAAGTGAAAATCATTGCCAACTGTTTTCGGCTTTTTATGGGGCTTGTTTACAACAAGTTCTCACCGCCCTTCCATTGGAGTGGGTGTGTCACAGTGGCATTGTTTTTGTGTTGCAACTTTTATGAACTTGGCTTAGAGAGTCTGGCCGATTGGAACAGCTGTTCGGCTGCAGCAGCACCCACGCACATGCATACCACCCACACAGTCACACCATTACCCATTCATACACACACACACACACACACACACACAGGCAGTTGGGAAATTGTTCGCCGGCCCGTAATTAACCGTTATTTGGCCTGCGCATGCGTCCTCGGTCACACACTAATTTCACAAGAAAAAAAACTCGGTCCAGGCAGAAAAGTAAAAAAAAAGAATAACGCGCACGGACCGCATCACATGCAATTGTTTGCGCCGTCATTTAGCACAGCGCCGTCGATATATGATATATGGAAATATATAACTCGGATAATCACCACTAATAATGCAAATCGAACGAATGTCAACAGAGAAAAAAATAATAAGGAGAGCAGGGCTGAGGCGATAACTCACCGTTGGCGTGAATATGATTTGTGTTGTTTGGTTGGACATGCTGATACATGACTTGCTACAGTGCGCCAATGTCGTCACTTTCATGTCACTTTAAACACTGCGAGAGAATGAAAGCGTCGGCCCCAAGCTCTGCGTATTTATAAGGCGCCGGGAATCGGAATCGAAATCGGAATGGGAATCGCAATCGGACTCTCTGGGGCGTCTCTTTCGCACTCTGCAGTCGCTGCCTCTGCCACTACGCTGCCTCGGTCGCGGTCGCTGTTCGTGTCGCAGCCGGCGTTTTCCCAGTATTTTTTTTAGTTGTCCTTTTGCCTAGAGCTTTTTCGGCAGAGAGAGCTCTGCCGGCGAGCAGCATAACAGCAAAGGAAGAGAAGCAGGAAAGCCTACAAGAGAGCCAGGAGAGCTTAGCAAAAGAGAGAGCAATGGAGAAACAAAAATGGTGGCAAGGAAGAAGAAGCAGGGGGTTGCAAACGCGGCTTGTGACGTATGCAATTACAGTGGCTCAAACTCAATGCTTATATGCTTAAAACAGAGCCCATTCCTATAGCCTTAGGTACAAAAAGCAAAAATTACATTTTGTCGAGGACAAAAAGGATAACAAAAACAAAACTTAAACTAATAAGAGCAGCTTTTATTTTTTGCTTTAGCTTTTACATACATACAGACTTAGATCATGACTGTGGGATTGTTTTTTCGTAATGGGCTTCAACGTTGAAGCGCCCAGCCATGTCCTCAATTGGAATTTGACTAATGTTGCGTATACGTAATATTCGTTATTTATTTATATATTTTACATTTTAGATTCTTTTAAGTAATTCTTGATTTCATTCTTGTATCCTGTATATTATCCTTTTTATGGAAATCCAAAGGCAGGAAATGGAAGGAAATTCAAGCATTCAAGCCTGTATTCAGAAACTCTCGAACTTTAGTGATAAAATTATTAGCGAGAAGATAAACCGACCCTAAAATATAAATCATAGTATTCTACAATCCAGATTAAGATTAAGAATATTCAACTAAGGTTCTCAGGTATATTTTTTGCACTTAGGAATGGTATATACATATATGTATATAAAAGTTAAAAACATCTGCTACAAACTCAGCGTGTAAGCTTTGGTTTCCCAATATTTGCCATTGTTCAACTTGTAAACTTAAAGTAAGCAAACGTTGGCAACAAAATATTTATAGCCAATACATTCATATATTTGCACTCGGCTATGTGCTAAGCTTATATAGTAATATTAGTTGCGGCAACAATGAATATCGAGATACATATGTATATGTATAAGCTACTCATTACCCTTAAAATTTGAGCAGTTTTTTGTTGCTGCCTTGAAAGTTTTCTTGATTTTAAATAATATTTTTACAATATTTACATTATTTTTTAAAACAGCAACTGATCGTCATATATCCATACCTTTATTTAAATTGCCATAATTTTTAAACAGAGTTGGTGATTCAAACAAAAGCTTTTGCCGCCAAAATTTAAAAAAAGATGAGTGTGGTTTGGGGCCTAACTAAATGTAATATCAAATTGTAAAGAGACTAAGTAAACATTTTTATAAATATTTCTTAAAGTAAATTTTAATACACTTTATTTTCTAAGTATATAATGTTAAACTTAAAACATTTCCTACTGTCATCAGTTGTTTCTGTTATTTAATATAAGCTTTGGTTAAGCAATGTTCCTCACCTTCTGTTATAAATTTTTAACTACATTTACATTTTTCTTATTTTATAACCTTTTTTTAAAGAGGTGGTAAAAGTTTTTATTTTACAACAATGTATGTTCATATTTTCAGTAAAATATTGAGTGGTATATTTTTTTTTTAATATATATCATCTGACTTTTACTCGATATTTATATATTCTTCTAAATTCCATTTCTTTCGAGCTTTAAAAACTATCAAACGCATTCAGTTGTTTCAATATTTTGTTTTGTAATACCCAATCAAATTATTTTCACATTTATTTGTAATTCTAATTCAATAGTTAATTAAATTAATTAATAAATATAGCTTTTCCGGTAGCTCCTTCACTTTCCGTAGACAACCAAAGTGTGAATGCGTTTCGTGACTCTTTAGACTCATTAGATAATCTTATTAATTTGCTTAATTGAAAGGATAGAGTGCTTGATTGCTCTACAGAAAGGATTTCGTGTTGCATATCTTCGTAGTGAATATCTATATTCTGGAAATGGAAAAAGAATATGCCTGAAAACTATGTGTACTTAAATAAATACAAATATTTTATTTTAAAATTTTTATTATTTAATAATAACTATTTTAAGCCTTCTTGTATTTATATTAAAAATTAAAAAACGATTATAATAATAAGTGTGCATACTCTTCCTTAAAATATATGTTTTAATTTTAATTTTTTTGTGGGAAATATTTTTATATATAAAGTTCTTAATTAGAGTAACCTGAAGTAATGTTTTCCTAAAATAAGCTCTCAAAAAAAAAAAAAAACACATATAAATATTTAAATTATTTCTATATAATATTCAGCTGTGAACATAACCCATTTGTATAATAATAATCCCGTAGGTCAAACTGCTGCTAAGCAGGGCAAAGGCACAGCGCATATCCATTCTGAACAGACCAAGGACCTTGTAATGCTTTGAGGCTGCTCTGATGGCTCGTCTAAGGAGAGATAGTTCCCACTGAAAGGTAAAAAACCAAGTGGAAAGTGGTTTAAAAATTGTATATAAAAACCTGCATACTTTTAGGCTTGACTATAACCCCCATGGATATCTCAGACAGAGTTTGAAGTTTTCTGGCTGAGTTTTCTTTATTTTAAGAATTATATTTTAACAATTTTTCTATAATATTATATCTCACCTGCCTCTGGGCTGCCTTGGCATCTTGGTCACACACCTGAGGACCACCGCACGCCCTATTACCCTCACCCAACAGGTGCTCACAGACGATCTGCAGGAGTAAGTTGTCCAACATGTTGACCACTAAGAAGATGGTGATAAATACAATCTTGAGATTCCACATATACAACCCCACATGGTTCGGTCGCTGGGTAAGGAAGGCATAGCCAAGGTAAGCCGTGCACATGGTAATAAACATCTGAAAGACCAGGGTCGAGGCCACCAGCCAAGCGAAGATCTCATGAACCTGTCGCTCCAAAGCCAACAGTCGCTCCTGCCTTCTCAGTTGGGCCATTAGGCGATCGTAAGAGTCCTGCTCTTGCTGGCTATTCAGGCGCAGGGCTTCCCCGAACTCAAGGAGCAACAGGACATAGGCAAAAAGGGCTGCCCTCAAGGCCAAGGAGCTATACACAAAGTAAACGTTGGCCAGAACATCCCATACTCCAACCGTTCGCTTGTCCACAATCATAAGGATGCTCAGCGTAAAGTTAAAGTTATGTAGGTAATTGTGTAACTTGCCAAAGAACACCACATAGTAGAAGCGACTGCGATCCCTTTGGCCCAAATCCTGGTGCAATATTTGCGTTAGCTCGTTGTACACCTGGCACACCTGTCGCTCGTGCATTAGCCGCTGGATTGTTTGAATTATTAAGGCCAGCAGCTGGATAACCATGCTAGCCTGGCTTACCTGGACACAAAATAATTAAAAACATATAATATATATACTATATATTCTTACATACCTGAATCACAAAACTTTGCCTGCGAAAGGTGCCCTTTGCAAAGTAAGCACGCGAATATTCCATGTAGGGAAAGTATAAGACCAGGGCTATGGCCGTCATTAGACAACTGTAGATTTGTAGAATGCGAGAGTGTCTGAGACTCTTTCTAGCGGAGCTGTAAAAGTGGCAGGACTGGCCCAGAACTATGACCAGACCCAGCCAGCAGCGAAGGACCAGGCCGCACAACCTACGGGCTCGCATCGCGGTTAATAACTGAACATGTAACAGGCCAGGAGGACGACCCATTGCTGGAAAAGGAAGTCTTATCTCTTAGGGGATATTTAATTGACCATCCAATGGAACTCCTTACCTTTTCCACCCACTATTAAGTGACTATTAGCACATTGATAAGTCAGGATTCAGACCAGACAACAAAATGGGTTTCTTATACACTTTCGTATAACTTTTTACCTTATCGTTTGTCCTTTCTTATTCTCTTTTATTTATTAGTTGTTTCTTTAAATTATTACTATATTAATATATATTATATTTTATAAAGCCTTCTAATCTTCTTTAAGTAAAAAAATGTAATATATACATATATAATAAATAGAAATGTTTAATTTTCATATTAATTAAGTTGGTGTTTTTTTTTTTTTCGTCCATTTGATATCCTTCTGGTGTCATAGAATCTTCATATATTGAAGTGTACTTGCCTATGACCTTTTGCGCAGATATAGATCAAATTGTACCAGGGTTATAAAGTACGAAAATGCTGTGACCGCTATAAGGTATACCAAACGTCGATCTAGATGCAAAAGACCGCAAAGCATGGGAGGTTGACAGTTGAGCAGCTCCAGAGAGAAGTGTTCTATCTGGAAAGGGAAAATGTGGGTTTCTTCATCTAACAGATGCTCTAAATATAAAACAAAAGATCAATATACTAATGAAAACAAGCAAAGAATAAGTCTGGATATTAAAGCAAATACACTATTTGTATTGCAAAATGTTTGTTTTAGGACCAACATTCACCTCTCTAGTTAGCCTCTCATCCCCCGTTGGTGGCTCTGCAAATCGTCGCATGGTCAGGGCCACGCCCTCCAGCTCCAGCTTAATATGCTCATTCACCAGCGTCACTATGTAGGTGTCTATATAGAAACCAGTGGCATAGGCAGACCCCACAATAACGGGAAAGCTGACCTCGTCCAGTGACTCCTTGGCCAGCATGTGGAAGAGTGTATAAAAGTTGGTCAGGTTATTGATCAGGGTGCTCAGCATAAGTCCGATTAGCTGAAACTGATGCATGCGAAAGCTCTCCTTCTGGAGGCCATTGATCTCGGTGCAGCGTCTTCGCAGCTCCTCGAGGCGATCGCTTAGCTCACAGCAGCGATGCAGAAGCATTCCGCCGGGCCTCAGCCGTACCATTTCCTCCTGGAGTGATCCCAGCTGGAGGTTCAGCTGACGGTAGTACTTCAGCACCGAGGCATTGATCCAATAGCAATAGTCTGCCATATTTTCGGTATAGTTCCACAGGACAAAGGCATAGATGGCAAAATGGACGCGTACCCGACTGACCATGCCCTCCTTTTCGCTACCCTCGCCATACTGAGCGAATATGCCAATAATCTGGATCATCATCATCAAATTGATCAGGCAGAACTTAAAGTACATGAAGAATTCAAAGGGATCCTTTGGCTCCCGGGGGGCATCCTTGAACTCTCGCTCCAGTTGCATCCTCTGGAGCGTACACCTCTGATTAATTGCCTCAAAGTGTACCGTATTGGCCACATATGTTACAATCACCGTGGCATACTTGATGGCTGTATTTGCAAAGCTCACATAGAGTAACAACTGCAATCGACGGTCCCCGGCGTCGGTGAGAGTGCGAAAATGGTAGCCAAAGTAGCCGGGGAGCACCACAATCAGGAGCAGGCTAAACAGGTGACCCCACAATATGAGCAGCACTTTGACGCTGCGCTTGAGACGTCTCTGGGGTATGTAATCGATCACCACCTGGCCATAGATCACGGCATAGACATGGCCATACTGGTAGAACTTGAACTCATGTCGGTCCCAGAAACTGGACTCTTCTCTATCCGGCTCCGACATTCCGGTTTCACTTTCGACGGTAAACTAAATATGGCCAAAAAGGTAAACAACAAACAAATTTGTCTGTCTGGTTGCGTGTGTTGATTATTGGAGATGAGCGATAGGAATGGCTAGGAAAAACAGGAGAAAAACAGCGTGGAAAAATATAGTTTTTCCCTCAATTGATTTTTCTTTTTATTAGTTTTCTATCTCTAACTAAACCCATTGGGACTTTGCTTCAAATGATGATGAGTTTGGTAGAAACAAGGATGACCTTAGACATGCATTCCCACTTCACCAACTGTACGCTGCTATGTTCCATAAGGAATTCCGTAGTCTTTGCTCAATTCATTAGGAAAGTTGTACCTTTTTCACAACCAAAAAATAAATCAAAATGGGAAAACTTTTATTTAGCTTTTTATTCTAGAAATTTGCCTAAAAATACATGTTTTCATAAACAAAATCTACAATTTTACTAATGAATTTATTCATTTAACGATGCTGATCTATTGAAAAGACTTAACCAAGGCAATTATCGAGCCTGAAGTCTGTAGAATCTGAAATTAAATATTTAGTTTCATTTTTTTTTTAATTATTAATTATTAAATATTAGTAAATACTTAGAAATCTCTACTAACCGAGGCAAATGTGGCCAGTGAAGGCGAAAAAAAGGGCACTGCCATACTCATTGCCTTTTGTGAGCGTAATATCAGGAGCAGAACCAGACGTCTTTGTACAGGAGAAAGTAGATGCCAAGGACAAGAACCCATGACTTTGGCTAAGTCAACGCTCTAGAATAAATTAAGTTACAATTTAAAATAACTTAAAAATCTTAAACTCATTTCTTAACTAAAAGAAAGGCTTAAACAAGACTTACACTCTCGGCCACCAAGGTTCCACCGTAGCAATAAACCAGAAGTTGGCTCAAAGCGGCAATCGTATAGGCCACATACAGAAGAGCCCCCAGGCCGTTGGTGCCAACGGTTAAAAGATTAACCATGCTAAATCCTATAACCATTCCAGCGGATACAAAATGTGCCAGGGTTATAATGGCATAGCGCTTTTGAAAGAACTTGGTGAGATCAATAATGGCATTATGTTTGATGATTACAGCACGCATTTGCTGCTCCAAATTATAAAGTTGCACCGGTGAGAGCTGTAAGAGGTCTTAAAAATAAAACAAAAATATATGTATTTTTATATATATAATATAATTTGAATGTATCTACCTTTATAGGGCCTAAAAATCGCCCTTATCTCAGCTTGAAGCACTTCAAATAGGGCCGAAATGTGGGAACAGAACTCAAAGTAGAAGCCATCAGCGCCTCCAAACATAAAGATGGTCACATATCCTGTGTAGGCAATAAAAATGTATGTCAAGGGGAAAAAAGGGGATTTCAGGAGAACCGGTGGCATTCTGTGGAAATAAGTTGATGTTTTAAATTTATAAATAAATGAATACAATGCAAAATAAACTCCCCAACTCACGTCATATTAAAAGGTGTAACCCAAAGGATCTCATCGCCGCGTTGCTGCAGAAAAAGTACAAAAGCCAACAGAATGGGCTTCAGGTTATATGTTGTACAGGTAAAAAACCCGGTGGACAAAGGCCAAAAGTTAATCCGTGCCGCCATCACCGAATGCCTCAACCGAATCCTCCTCTGCTCCGGCCTCTCCTGCTGGGCCTCGAACAGCAGCTCCCTCAGCCTGGTCCACATATCGCAGAGATCGCTCCTATAGCGCAGCATGAGGAACATCTTGAGGAGGGTCACGGCCGAGGTACCCGCCGGACAGAGGGTCTCCAAAGCCAGGGTGATCTGTTGCTGATCCAGAAACAGAAGACCTGCATGTAGCTCCGTCAGCACCCCAATGGCCAGGATAACAAAGTGGACAAGAGCACGCAATGGCAGGCGCTCCTCGCGCTTTCCTGGCCAATAACCCATCAGGTTGAGGCTAAGATAAGGCACCGCAAAAAAATATATAGCCAGCGGTTGATCGCACTTCAAGAACCGGAACCACTGCACCATGCTTGGGATTTTCTTTTTTAACAACTAATGATATCCTGTGGCTAGAAAACGGACTTATAAAGGCAAGAAGACTTTTGAGGAACACTACTGAAAGAAAAACTATTGGATTTACAAGAATGTATTATAATTTGTATAAGGATGAGCTAGGGTTTAATAAATTTGGTTGAAACTGTATTTAAAAAGGCAAACTTTTGATTTTTGAAACGCACAAAATATTTAAAATCATTTTATTTAAGAAAATAAACATTATAATATTTTATTTTTAATATATTATTAAACATATTTATTTCTTAGTGTAATCCCCACTCTCTAGTTAATAGTATCTTCCCCAGTTAATTGACTTGTTATGCAGCCAAAGTTCATGCATAAAGTTTTCGATAATTGGAAAATCCTGGGAAACCGTCAAATGGAATTGGTAATAGATATAATATTGATATCTTAGCCAGGCCAACGACTGGCACAAGGCCCAAGTATTGTATTTTAGCCAGAGAACGAATCACAATCAGAGCTAATGCATCAATTAGCGTTAGCCGCTAATTTCAGTAATCAAAATACAAACAAATCAAGATTAAGACACTCGGACGTCGGACTCGACGAATTCGTGCGTTTTTAACTAATCTCGTGGCCCATTCACGCAGAGCATGAAGTTACAGGAGCGGATTTGGCAAACCTGAGGCTTATTCATAGATAAGGGAATGTTAAGGGAATATATTTATTTGAATTAAAATTTATTTTAAACACTCTAAACAATGTTTACTTTAAATAAATACTTTTAAAATTATATCAATTGCTGGAGAAATGTGTAGATTTTCTTTAATTTTCCCCTCATTATTTACCATATCTGTTCTTATCATTATCTCTGCTTATTTTCTTATTTATGTAAAGCAAATATACAATGAGTTTTATCAGTCAAGCAAAACATATTCGCCACTTTGCTTAGCTGTAATCCCGTTCAAAACCAGAAATGTATGACCTTAGTGAGTCACATTGATAAGCGCTAATTAAACACAACAAGATGGCTTATCAAAACGGAAATACTATATAGTAACAGGGAGATGGGATATAGCGTGATTTAAAGATAAAAACAAGTGTTCCAGTAAGTGATTTTAAACAATTTTCAGGGTTTTTAAACAACTTTCCCATAAATGATTTAAAAAAACTCTAAAAATTTAAGTTTTTTTTAAGGTAAATATGTTATTATATTCTAAGAAAATAAATAGAATATAATAGAAATATTTAAAAATCATTTATAGTTTAGACAAAGCCACTAAAATATTATGTTTTATTTAAATTAAAAGACAACCTTGCACCTTAAGGCTAGTCTTGTCTCTGTATACCCTCATCCACCTGAATTCACACCTGTCTCATTTTGATTTCCAACAGCTGGAGTCATAAATCATGTGTCTGAAATGTATTGAAGTTTTGTCAACGGCTCTCAGACGAGTCCAAGTTGGTTTTTTTTTTTTTTAAAGCGTTTATATTATGTACATACTTAGACTTAGATTAGCAGCGCACGTTCCTTTGGCCGGATGACGTCAGCGATCGCACGCAGCATACCTGGCGGCTCACGAGTTTAGGTTTTTATTTTAGTATTTGATCGGGTTTGAATTGAAAAAGCCACAACACCATCGAAGGTCGATAATGGGTAGGCGATAAGGTTTACGCCATAAGTTCAGTCTACGATTTTAAGGCAGGCTATCCGCAAAAAATGAGTCAGAAATTGAAGAAAAGTCTCTGCAATCTTTAATATTACAAATTTAAAATTAATTTAAATATAAACAAAAACAAGAAGGACTAAGCTAAATCGACTTTCCTGGCAATGCTTTGTTACTATAAGATGCATAACGGGCATCAAATGATATTTTTATTCCAGAGATGTTCCCCAATCAAAGCCCACTTACAAAAAAAAACCCCACAAGGGCATCAAAATTGATATAAAACACTACTAGCTGCATGATAATGATGATAAAGATAATGATGATGATGGGTAAATTGCTTGATTCGCGGGATTGGGATAGATTTGATGGGCATAATTGCATCGGCAGTGCCGAGTACCAAACAGTTTGCAAATTGAATCAACGCCAATTGTTCAGTTTGTCAGCAGTGTTTTGCCCCTCTTTTCTATAATATCTTTAGCCTCAGGTCGGTCCCCCCATGCATTTGGTTTGAGTTTGTTTTCTATTTTGTTTTATTTATTTATTGTTTTTTTTTGTTTTTGGTTCTTGCTGTTGTTTTTGTAATGCCACTAAAATCGCAGCGCAGCTTCCTAGCAACAGAGCAATTGCTTAATGTCCTCCAAAACACACACGCACACCCACCGCACAACACGCAACTTGAGTACAGTGATGCCTAGAAAATGTTTGTAAAATTTAAATTTAAACTTGAAATTATTTTTAATATTTTATAAACAAATTTTACTATAAATATTTAATGGTACTTCGCTTTGGCGCTAAGTTTTCCAAACTTATTATATATTCCTATATTTTATAGGCTATATCTTTGACTTTATAAACTTGATTTTTTAAGGTTTTTTTGTTAAAATTAAAAGAAAATACAATTTTTTCTAGGTTCTTAATTTTTAAAATGTTTTTTCTAATTTTAATTGAATTCTTATGGGATTATATTTAACCTTGAGCAATATTTGTTCATAAATATTTAAAATTTTTTATACATATTGCTTTTTTTGGCTTTAACTTTAGATTTATTGACTTGATTTTTATGTTTTATGCTTTCTTTTCAGTTAAAGTTAAACTCTAAAAAAGGAAAATAATATTTTTTTCAACATTCCCAAGTTATTTTTAGGGAAATTCAAATTGTCTGATTTTTAAAAATATATATTATTAAATATATTACTTAAATTACATAAACTAATTACTTACTAATTAATTTTCCTTACTTTCCCTATTTCTAAATAATAAAATAGAGGTTTCCAACATAAATCACTGTACCTTTTGGTGGCCTGACATTTTGTTTAAAGAGGCATTTATGCCTTAATTCGAATAGGGGATTATCTGTGCAAGGGGTAACCCCCAGTATCCAGAATCCAGTCTCTCTAACCGATCAACGCTGTTGCATGATAAGCTCGGCGTGCACATGACTATTAGATAAGTTTATTATAAATAAGCATGCGGGCCACAGTCAGAACCCGAATGCGAAAGCCATAAAGAAGTTAAGCAATTCCAGACAGTTTAGAGCATAAATTGCTTAATAGAGTTTATATGCCACAATTGGGGGCATAAAGAGTGTCGCATTTTATAATTCGGTTTTTTTTTCTTTTCCGCCAAACCGAAAAAAAAATAAAAATAGAAATACCAAACAGAAAATTAAAAAAAAAATACAACACAGAATTTCCAATGACTATAAAGATATTTGTGAAACAAGGAAAAAAACTTCTTAAAATTATTTAAACTCATTTAAAAGCAATTAGTTCTTTTAAATATAGTAACCCTAATCATAATTAACCATGAAACTGGTAGCCCACTGATTTAATCTACATTTTTGGGGGTCAAAAAGCACAACACCTTAGGGGTTGCCTTTCCTTAATCAGTTTATATGGTGGTGGCGTAGTGCCGCCCAATCTTTGGATGGCTGGTTGTCCCGGTATCAATGACTTACGCAATTTTATGGAGGTCCACAAGTGGCTGGGCCCCACCAAATGGGGCGAAATAAATGGCACAAGTAACAAAATCCACGCGATAGAGAGCGATAGTCATCAGTCAGCAAAAAATGGCGCCAAACCAAAACTGAGGAAAGGCAATACACTCACAGAGTTTAAAAAGCTTTTAAATTATTTAAGGAAATTTTTAAATATTTAATACATCAATTAAATCAGTTTATAAATTATAGAAAAAAAAACGTCCTAATCATTTTGTTATAATAAGTAATTTAGTTGTAATTGGTTTGGAATTTATTCAAGTGTAATCTCCAATATTTGGAAAGGTTCAAAATCAAGGCAATGGTCATCTTGCAATATTTTCTGATTAAAAACACTCCGTATTCAGTCGGAGGTAAGGATACGGCTTAAAATATCAGACATTTGCTCTTCTAGGAATTATTAATTAAAAGTAAATTAATAAATATAATGTTAAAGAGTTAAACAAATAAAACAGATAAAAACTAGTACATGCCCTTGATTAAAATCAATAAACCATTGATTAACTAAAATTATGATAAAATATATATTTATTTACCGCCACTATCTGGTGCAGAATTGGATCCATCCAAACTGGTGACCCCGATTATTTGTGATCCATCATCATCCGGAATATTTTGGCGACCAGTTGCAAAAATAACTGGCCTAACGATGGGCCTCGATCATAAATTGCCGCTGATGATCACCAATTAAGCTGGCGAAATTAATGCGAAATATGAGACGTGATAATTTCAATTCATTCTTCTCTGGGAGTTACAGTCAGGGACCATCAATTAGTTGTATATATTGACAAGAAATTCATCCAAACATATGTATCTATATAGCCTTGAGATAAATATATAAATGGATTATATAAAATAGATTATTCACTGTACATGTTAGTGATGACCGAAAAATAGTTCAGTTTAGTTTAGTTTAGATAAGTGAAGTGAAGCTATCTTCAAAAAAGATTTGACAGGAAGATCGGGTGCCTGTTAATGTTAACTCTCACATGAAAACGGTAAGCAGCAACAATTTCTTAGCAAGGACTTTATCAGTCCGCTAAATTGTAACAGTAGGTTTAGAAATAAGGCCTAAAAGAGTAAAACAACATTTTTTTTTTCAATTTTGACCCAAAAAGTAAGAGAAAATGAAAGAAACTTGCCTTTAAAAATGGCGCCAAACAGAATATACAAAATTATAGAAAATCAGCATTATGCGAACAGTTAATTAATATTTATTTTAAACATAATATTGTCTATATTTAGTATTATTTTTCATTATTTTTGATTGCAAACCTTGACAGATCTTTTTCATAACATGACCTAATCCCTATTTATTTCCATTATTTCTTCTTGTGTATATACTAACTTGTATTTAGTATTAGCTTTACCTTTAACTACTTATAATTGAGTCTCTTATCGGAGCCACGCGCCGCACTACATTTCATTCCGTATTCCATATTGTATCGCTGGCATTTAGGGCAGAGACCACCTCCTGGGTTCCTAATCTTGCCCGGCTTTATCGTACGACTATCGAATATTTTGCTATAGTGGGCTTTATAGCTTTAAACGCTGGCCGGATCGCCTTCGCAATGCAAAAAATATATATACATATACATGTCTACAAAACCTAAAAAGCCTCGGCTAATGATATGAAAAGCAGAAGACAGACGGCAGACAGAGGCGGCGGGCGACGACCGCAACGCATGCGCAGTTCACGTGAACACACTAAATCAGCCAAGTGGAGAGGGTTGTCACTTTGGCGATTTTTTGAGTTTTGAAATTGAAAAAAAAAATATATATATTTTCCTATACATATGTACATATTTTTCACTATTTTCGATTACATGTAATCATTTTCAAACAAGTTTTGGTAACAATTTGCTTGAGGTTTGTAAATATATTATATAAAGTAGAAATGTTTAAAATGAATAAACTTAAAGTTTACAGTAGTTTTAAGCAGTAATTGATTTATATTTGTATATTATATAATATTAATTTTAATATTTTATTAAATGAAACAAGTTTTTTAAAATAGGTTTCTTTCCTAAGTCACAGGATTTATATATGTATTTCGACGTTTACAGCTTTGATACTTTCATTTATTTTTCTTTTTAAACGAATTTTTCCTTTATTTATTTACATATAAAAATTATAAACAATTAAAATACATTTCCTTTATGACATGTTTAATAACATTATCGGTATTCTAGTATTGCCTTAATGTCCAAAACTTTTTTAATGTTTAAAGGACTTTTTTGAATCCAAATGAATTTTCTTATCGTTTTCTTAGCTTTAAAAAAAAAAAAACTTGGCCAACACTGAATTTGTCTCAAGATGCCGCCGACGATTAATAGGAAATTATTTCACGTTTTTCAACTTGTTTTATTTTATTGTACAAATGTACGTTCGCCGGGTTTATCGGTTTTCGCGACTGAAAGCTATACAAATGTATATTTGTACATACAATATTCATACAATATGTGTGTTAATTGTGCATTTAAAATTGAAATAAAATTTAGCTTGTCGCTATTTATTTGATACGTTAAATTGATGTTTCTTTTGGGCTGTGTCTGCTTGACAGACCGACCAGACACCAGACGTTTTTATTTGCGTTTACAATTTAGATTAGCTGGCGAAACCGTTACACCCAAAGAGAAATTCATGTTTTTATAAGGGTTATAATATATAATTATATATAATATTATAATATTTATGCCAGTAAAATAGTCTTGACTTTAGTAGTTAAAAAATAGGGTGAGTACCTATAACCTGGCTTAAAAAAAGTTTAACCCTGATTTTCAAGGATACTGTTCTTAATTAATTAATTAAAAATAAACAAAACTAAGATCCTGGCCTTCAACTTCTAAACCTGGTCTTAATTGCCCCTTTCTGTTAAAGTCCCTGTTAGCTATTGGAGAAAGATAATTACCAGTTAAACTTGTCGTAAAAGCCAATCGCTTTTCTAGTCTCCTAAATCTTTTCCAAATGAAAAAGACCATTTCTTCCGCACGAAAAAGTCAGAGTCTTATTAGGTACCGTAAAAGGTTTAATCCTTACATTTTAATACTTAAATTAATAAAAATCCATTTAGGAAAAGGTATATAACACACCCTGAAATAAATATAGTGCAACATAACTAGGTTTTTTTTCAATACGGAAAAACTGCTCCCAAAAGCTGTAAATTCCTCTTAATTTACATTTTATCGTCTAGAAAAACAAAAACCATAAAAACCAAAACGAACAGTTAACCCTTTTTGTGCAAAACTTGTTTGCAATTAACTTTTTCACACCTTACACGCTCGAAGGCAGTGTGCTAACATTTTTCTGTGGGTTAAACCGAAAGATAAAGGAAAATGGTGTTACAATTGTTAAAAAGTCAAAGGGAGGCTAAGAGATTGGGTCTACAAAAAGTGTTATATTTTATATGTAAGCAAATATAAAAATATATTTTTAAATTTATAATTAAATATTTTTATTTATAATTAAATATTTTACAAGTACAATAGGAATAATATTTTGTGACTTATATTTATGAATATTTATTTTATATATAATAAATTATTTAAGAGAAAATAAATATCTCTCCAAGTTGAGGGCCAAAAAGGGACATTGCTCCAGTTATAGACATCGTCTGGCAGCTTCTAATTTTCCCTTTTTTTTTTTTTGTAACAACTATTTATTTTTGTTTTGTTTGCTTGACGAGGCGAGCGCCTCGACGCCAAGTAATAATAAAAATTGGAGAATCTTGAAAAGGTAATTAGCACATGGTCGTGTTTGTTTTATGCGCCATAAAAATAATCAAAAAATCGAGTCACACATCCGAACATCTCCCCAGTTGTCCGAGTGCGAAGTGATCGGAGATCGGAGCCTATAAAAGCGGATCAATCGTCGCTGGATTTGCGCAGTTGCCCTAAAGAAGTGCCCACACCCACTCCCAAAAAGGAGCAGAAACCACCAACTGCTCCCTCAAGAGTTTCAGTTCAAATTCGCGAGTGTTTTTGTTCGTGTGCCAAACGTTAAGATTCATTCAGAATCAGAATCAGTTTCAGATTTTATTCAAAGATAAAAAAGAAATAAAAACAAGCACAATAAAATGCATTCAGCGTAAGTTGTTCATCATTACATCAGCCGCATTGCCCTTGTCCTTGTCAAATAAAAAAAAAAATAATAAAAAAAAAAAAAAGGAAAAAACATTACAAATTTCACGATAAGCAGCTACTTTTATCATTTACACGCATTTGCTCCGGACATCTAAAGTGAATTAAAAATAAACAAAACAATTTGGCAACTCAACCTGCAACTGTTATTGTCTACACTGAAAACATGTACATGGCGGATTCAAGGACTTTTATACAAAAATAATTGAGAAAAAGGATATGTTCAAATTATCAAAAGTCTGGGAAACTAACAAATTCTAAAATATGTTTATTACATTGTTTTTTTTTCTTGTTTTGTTCTTTGAATTAAAAATTTAAATGCGTGAAAAATATCCAAAGAAAATAATACGTTTTTAAACAATTCAATTCCGATTATACACAAACTTTTATTTTAGAAACAAAATGTTATCGTTTAGTATACATTGAATTATAATTCATAATTCCTTATTTAAATATTCTTTGATTAAATACTAAAAAAAAACATTTCTAAAAATGTCTAAAAATATATTTTACTCTTTATTCCAAGGCCTAAATGGGTTCCTTTATTTGTGATAATATTCTAAAAACTATGAGAAAGTTAATAAAAACAACATAAAATAAATTAAAAATTTTGGAATAATATATTTTCATTTTTAATAGGATTAATTTTTTTTTATATAACGAAAAATAAGGTTTGTGTTTTATAAGTTTTAAAATTATTTTCAAAGTGAATTGAACAAGTAACTCCATTTTTTTCTGCGTGTTACCGGAAGCGTCAGCCAGGAATCCAATTGGGAGAGAGCGTTCTCCCTCTTGCCATCTCTTTTGCTCGCAAGCGACAAACTGCAAAGCGTCTAATCTGTCTGTGGGTGGTGGCAGTTGGGGGAAGAAGGAGGTAGGCGGGGCGTCGATCGTGCAGCAACTGCGCCGCAGCAGAGGCTACGACGACGACGTCGGCAGCGGCTGAGGCGACAACAGCTGTTGCTTTTGTTTTCAATGGCAAGCTAACGTCGCTGCACTATGGGCCAAGGGGTCACTATTCGTGGTGAAAGCAGAGACTAAAGAAATTAAAAAGGAAAGTGCCATTATAAAAATAACAGCTGTTTCTGTCTGCATAAGGTTAGCTTAAAGTACAAAAAACACAATATTTTGTAGTCAATTTTCAATTAATTTTGTTTAACTTATTTAACTAATAATTCTTTATTTATTTATCAATTTTACAAGAAGAAGACATATTCCTTGTGTACATTTGTTAAGAAAGCTAACTCTTAATATTTTTTAAATGGCTTAAACATCTTAAAAATTGTTTTACAATATTTTGCTGTACATATTATTTAATCTACTTAATCTATAATTTATTAACTATTTACCATTATAGTAACCAGAGTCCTTAATTGTTTGCCGAAAAAAAAAAAATCATAGCAAAGGGTTTATTCCTGTTATATCCTAGAAACTTTCACATGGCTAAAATCTGCCATGACGTCCATGAAATAGTGTTTAAGATTAATAGAATGATTTAAAACATTTCAGAACCTTAATTAGTTACAGTACAAATACATAAATATACATTTCAAAACATAAAAAGTTTGAAATAACCCAACTATCATTCTATATTCTGTTAAGGCATCATAAAAATGATAAATTCGAAAATTGTATGCTATCCTTTTATTTTAGGTGGCTATTAATCTAAAGATAGTTCTTTAATCCGAAACTTTTCTATCAAATATTTTGTTGTTAAATTTATATATTTAAATCTTTTAAAACCAGACATTAGGCCTAATCAATTTTGTCCAGTAAAATGAACTGTCAGCTCCACAGTGCAGTGGCTACTAGCTCGCTGTAAGTGGAAGTGGAATGGTATTACTGTACTCTACGTTAGTGTAGCCTAGTGTAGTGTGTGCACTGCATAGTATAGTGTATAGTATAGTATAGTGTAGTGTAGTATAGTATAGGATAGTGTATATAGTGCGACAAGAACAACAAGCAGCGAAATAATATTATTAGTGGCGGGCGGGCGAGCGCGTTGCTTTTGTTTTGTTTCGTTGTTTGTCATTATAAATTGAGTGGGAACAAGGGGCTCCAGCTTAGTCGTGTTCCAGTAACGCTTCCCGCGCACACAAAAAAAAAAAAGAAAATATATTAATAAATAAGCGAAAGGACCCAGCCGCTGTCCAAGCTTCTACTCTATATTTCAAACTAAAACCAACAGTTGCCAAACAATCGAACAGGTGCGGATCCACAAAACCAGAGTGCCAAAAATATTGTTTATTTCTGATCCGCTTTCGATTTCGATTTCGTCTTTGCTTGCTTTTTTTTGTTCTGTTGTTTGGTGGCCTTAATTGCAAGAGCAGTATGTCCGCTAGGATCCTGGAGGACTCGCCCAACGCGCGCATCAACAAGACGATCCTGGATCGCTATCTCTCCCTGCCCCTGCAGGAGAATGTCGTCCAGGCTACCTACGTGTGGATCGATGGCACCGGCGAGGATCTGCGCTGCAAGGATCGAACCCTTGATTTTATCCCATCGAGCCCCAAGGGTGAGTGTACTTAATAAGTAGGTTTCATAATTTTGAAGTTGGAAATATTCTTTTTATTTTATCTTTAAAGTATAGTTAATTTTTTGGCGGTGTTTTTGGTGAGATTTGTATACTTTGTATTTATTTAAAATATATATTTTATAAATTTTTTTTTAAATATACTCTATTTTTCCCAAGAGTTTGAGTTACTCTTTTTTCTTAATATTTAAGAGATTTTAAAGTAATGTTTCTCTATTTTTTATAATGCAAATTATTTGAAATGATAATTCTTTCTTAAAAAAAAGATTCACCCACACCTGCCTGTCTAGCCTTAATTATAATCACCATTTATAAATTCGTTTAAAACTAAATATTGATTCTTAATTCCAATCCGATTAGCGCCTTCCTCAAGTACTTGGAAATGCCTACATTAAGTAATTTCGCTCTTATCGGAGCATAGGTCGCGTCCGCTAACTGTTTGATTTCTGCCAGTGTAATCTTATCTCCATAGGTTGGAGTGGGCCAACTTAAAACTGTCTTCGTCTCAGGCGCTAGCTTGATTTATCACTGTAATTTGCCATTTCATTCCAAGAATCCTCGATCTAAGTCTCTTTATGGCCAGTTTACCTCTATAATGGTTGTTTAATAGTTTGCCCGTGAATGAAATTAAATGAAAATAGAACTAGAAAAAGAGTTGAATCAGGCACGTTGCAGTTTAGATACACTTATAGGAAATATAGGATACAATTGGATAATTTTAATTCAATTTAAACTATAGAAAAAGAACATTCTTAGTTGTAAATTAACGAAAAAAAGGTGCTACTTTTATAATTTTAATCTTAATCTTTGGTGTGATCCTTGCTAAAAGAGCCATACGATTTCTAAGGCGATCGTTAAGGTTGTGAGTAGATAGTTTTTAAACTACATTTCTATTTTATTTTTATATAAAAAGTTTTGTTTTATAGACTTTAGGAAACAAACTTGCTGACCAAATTATAATGCCCAAAGCTAGGCAAGGGTAAAATTTTAGTGTATATTTTGTAGAAGCAAACAATGAGAACTTAGAACAAGAAGAAAACAAGATTTAAATAAAATAGAATAGTTATATAAAACCAAGAAAGTTAATAAGTAAACCTCAAGTTAAACAAGCTCAAGGAAAACCTTACCATATATGGAAATATGGAAAACCTCTCCAACCACATCTACCATAAACATTATATTCCAAAAAGACTTTGATTGAGTGTTTCGAATTTTCATAGCTCCTGACTAATGCCCATAAATTAAATGTATACAGTGGTATAAATATAGAATAAAGGCTTGAAAAACTCTTGTCTCGTCAGGTGCTAATTTATCCAAATTAGTGAAACACCTTTTATGATCAGAAATACACACAAGCTGACACCCTGACACTCTTCAATTAGAAGCTTAATGAGTAAACTTCTAAGTTCGAGAGGTGTATTTGGTTATTGGTTTCAATTTGAATGTTAAATATTATTAAGAAAATTATTCTGAGCCTTAAAAATGGTAAAGAATTCCTATGAAGGTTAGAAATTATTTATAGTTAACAAATTAAAAAATTTTTGTTTAATCGATTTTAAAATGAATTTTAAATTCTTAGAAATTTGTATTCAATGAAAAGCAGCTTAAAATTTATTTCAAATAAATATAATAACCCAAATTCACATATTTTTCTACATTATCTTCCGGCAATTGTCACTATTAATTTGCTTTAATTCATATTTGACGGAAATTACCACACAATACCAATATATATAAGAACATATGTATATAGCATAGCTATAGCTCTGGGGCTATACTAAAGTGGATCTGTGCGATTTTATGAGCGTCTGAAAATCTAGCCCCATAAATGCCCCGAAAAAAAAGAAACCAAAAATGGTGGCAATGAACGGCTTCGTCTGATGAAGCTTATTGCCCGCTGCGGTTTTTTATTGATCCCTCATAGCACTGGCGATGACCTTTGCCTTGGCACGATTCTGGCGGTGGTTCTCCATTCCATTCGATTCAATTTAGCGTCTGGGAAGTGGCTTTATGGCTGAATTTTCACGACTCTACTCGCGTCTGATAATGCGATTTAATCGCCGGGGGATATGGGGCGCTTCATAAAAAAGCCGTACGGACTTGAAAGAGTTTTTTTTTAGCGGGCGTGTGGGCTCCGGTGTTAATTGATTGTGTTTTAATGTGCAATTATACCCATGGACGAGTTAGACGAAGAGGAAGTGATATGGCTGGGCTGTAAACTATTTTTAAACTTTTCTGACTCTTTTGGGGCCATAAGAAATGACGAATTTTAAATGGGTTTTTGTATATATGAGCTGCAAGAAAAGATATTCTTTGGTATATTGGGAGTCGAAAAAGGGATCACTTGATCAGTCTTTACTTTAACATCTGGATCCTAGAGTTATTGTATAACAGTTGATGTGGTTAAGAGCAGTATGCAAGCAGTCTTACTTTCAATTTAATTCAATTTAGAACACTTCTTCCTAACCTACTGTTATATGCAACCACCAACAATAAAGAAATAATAAAGTTCCAATTTGAATTTCAATAAAAATTATAACAGTTTTAGTATAACAATTTAACGGATAAATCTATTTTGATCAAGATCAAGAAGTACTTTCAATGTCAGTTTTAAATCAATTTGGAGAAGATCTAGTATAACAGTTGAAGTAATCAACCTACTGTTATATGTATGTTGTTTAATTTTTAATTCAAATTAGTACAGTTCTAGTGTTAAAGTTCAACTACATAACCTTCTATTATACGCGAGCACAAAAGGTCAAGGTAGAAGAAAGTTTCAGTTTTAAATTTCAATTCAATTCAATTTAAAACAGTTTCAGTATAACATTTGAGCTATTGATCGCACTGTTATAATTCAAGCTCAATCGATCAAGGGACAAGGAAAGCAAGATGGTAGCTAGATCAGCCGATGAAAAACCCCCTATTTCAATCGCTATGAAAACACTGATCACTCAACTTGACTAGACAGATTAATTATTCCACTTGCACTTGAAAAACGAACACAAAAACAAAGGCAATAGCAAAAATGACTTAATGCGCACACAATTACTAATTAAGAATCGTGCCCTCCTTTTCCCACTCGCACGCAAAAACGGGTTGCATCTTAATGGGTTAGGGGAGGAGCAGCAGTTGTGGGAGAAAGCAACACGCGCCTCTCCTAGCTTATATTTTTCCCTACTCTTTCTCTTTTTTTTTACACATACACACAGAGAGAAAAAGAGAGAGAGAGAGCGATGCACTCCCTCTGCTTGGGAGCTGATAGGCCCGCTGAGTCAGGTTAATCGCTCGGTAACCCTGCTTCCCCTTTCATTTCAAGTTCAAAGGGAAATATTCTAATTGGCCATTTTCTAGCGAAATGACAGTTAATCGTTGAAGCGTGCTCGACAATCGATTTTTGGTCTCAATTGCAGCCTGCCTGTCTAGCCTCTTTTAACCTCCCCCCATTCAACCGCAATCAAAAGTAATTGAAAACTTTGTAATACGGTTGCATTTTTAAGCACTTCAACTGTCAAATGCTTGTCACTTCAAGGATGGTCACAGAAAGATGGGGACAATGCTTGTGAATGTATGAAAAGTACAGTTTGCAGGCTTAAAAAAAAGGCTTCTGCTAGAAAGAAATGCAAATAGAGAGAAATTTAATGTCTGGAAAGTACAGTTTGTAGGCCGGGCAAATAGCTCATTAAAAAAAGAGATGGCACTAGAGTTTATGCTTGGACCCTGAAGGTTCGAAAAGTACAGTTTTCAGGATTTGCAAAAAGCTCAATCCAGAAAGACACGGTAATAAGTACAGTTTGCAGGTCTTCCGAAAAGGTTCAAGGCAGTAAGAGATGGATATAAAGTTCATGCTTAATACTACAGTTCGCTAGCTAAAGTTCCCAAGTTAAAAAAATACTTAATAATATCACTTGTTTTTAAGCAAACAGTATATTGAATAGAGTCAATTAGCACGTACTAAACATATTTTCCATTCATTACCGTTAATTTGTTTAAATATCTTACTTGATTGATATTTTACTTGTAAATTCAGTATAAAAAAAAAACACTAAGACGGCTCAAGATCTCTTAAATCATAGATAAATATATAATATTAGGGTAAATATTTTTAAATTATAAGCAAATATAATTTTTTTTATTTATTTTCCTCCAATAATTAAGCAGTTCTTAAAGCAATAATATCATTCAAAATCTAAAAGTCAATAGATTTTTATATACACTATCTCTCACATCTGTATTTTCCAATTAATTATTATCTTTTTGAGAGTGTAAGTAACTTTCAAGATCAATGATCTCTCTGGTGGAACTGTAATCTCTGTGATCGAGTGCTAATCTAATCAGCGCTTGACATTGTTTTACCGCTTTGTAGGACAGAAATCGGAAGCAAATAGCAACGCTTTTTTTCACGAGGCTGTTACCTGGGCTGCCTTTGATGGGTGGGTGGGATGGTGGAAAGGTGAGATCAAGGCTAATAACAATAACTCTAGTGGCTGGCTGATGCCGCTGGCACAGTGACACACTGACACATGGAAAACCTGTCCCACACACACACACTACAACAGAGAGAATCTACAGCTGTTTATCAATTGGAGTGTTCACACACACACACACACACACATACACAAGCTATAGAACGATAGAGATACCAGTTTGTAAATGAAAACGCTGGCTCAAGGTCACCTGCAGCTGTCTGTTACAACAACAATAATTCCCCTCCCTTTCTTCCCCCTCTGTGAAAATTTGCATAAGTGAAATATTTTCATTAGCATTATTTACAGTGTCCGCGGGGGAATTAACTATTTATTAGAATAAACAACAAACGGCTGTCAGGTTTCTCTCCCTCTTTATATTACAGTTTCAAAGTTCTCACTTTACCCGGTTATTTATTTGCTTACTTTTTTTTTTGTAATAGATCATCATCAGAATACAAGGCGAGTTCCGGTAGAGGAAAATAAAGGGGACGTTGAAAATTATATACTACTAGAATTGGTTGAGTTTTTTTGAAATGTTATATGCGCTGAGCATTTTTTATTATTTGTATTATATAAATTATTTGAATATGCAGTTACAGTAGTTGCACAAAAGTAAACAACACTATTTTTTATAAAGTTATTTTTTAAAGTATTTATATGTTTAAAGTTTAGTAGTAGTTCATTTTAGTAGTAGTTAGTTTTAAAGATAAATCCATATTTCAACAACAAATCTAAGCTGTTTTGTCTCCATATACAGCCTCTTTATACTATTTCCTAGTTCCACAAATACCACTTTAACATGACCAAGTATAACTGGTTTCTTATTATTCTAGTTCGAATATAATTCCTATAATTCTAAAATATAATATAATACATATAATATGTATTAAATATAATAATATGATAACCAAAACCACTGGACATGAAAACCTTATTGCATGTTTTAAGCGAAACACATGAGTTTTTCAAATGGAAGCCAAGCCAGGCCCCCTTATAACCCCAATTGCCGTCAATTACAATTAACTCGAGGGTAAAACAATCTACATAGGGGACCTCTACATAAGCCGAAACCCGCTTGAACCCCTAGTAAAACCCCACACTTATAGGTCATGGTTATTTTTCCCTTTATTACAGAGCTTCCTGTTTGGAACTATGATGGCAGCTCCTGCTACCAGGCCGAGGGCTCCAACTCGGACACCTACCTGTACCCGGTGGCCATCTACAAGGACCCCTTCCGTCGCGGCAACAACATCCTGGTGATGTGCGATACCTACAAGTTCGATGGTACCCCCACCGAGACCAACAAGCGCAAGACCTGCTTGGAGGTGGCCAACAAGTGTCTGGATGCGGAGCCCTGGTTCGGTATTGAGCAGGAGTACACCTTCCTTGATTTCGATGGTCATCCGCTGGGTTGGCCCAAGAACGGTTTCCCAGGACCCCAGGGACCCTACTATTGCGGTGTTGGTGCCAACAAGGTGAGTTTTTCTATAGATTTCTATTATTTCTCGATAATTTTCGATAGATTTTCGATATTTGCATATGCACAAGGAAACGATAATAAATTACTGATTATTTATCCTTTTAGGTTTATGCCCGCGATATTGTGGATGCCCACTACCGCGCCTGCCTCTACGCCGGTATCAAGGTTTCCGGAACCAATGCCGAGGTGATGCCCGCCCAGTGGGAGTTCCAGGTGGGACCCTGCGTGGGAATCTCCATTGGCGATGACCTCTGGATGGCCCGATTCCTGTTGCACCGCATTTCCGAGGAGTTTGGCGTAAGTTTAAACTTTCTTAACTTAAATTACTTTTAAAGTATTTATTTTTTTTTGTATATTCCCCTAATTCAAATATATAATTTTCTTACTTACAGATTGTGTCCACTCTGGACCCCAAGCCCATGCCTGGTGACTGGAACGGCGCTGGTGCCCACACCAATGTCTCCACGAAGGCGATGCGCGAGGATGGCGGCATCCGGGATATTGAGAAGGCCGTAGCCAAGCTGTCCAAGTGCCACGAGCGCCACATTCGCGCCTATGATCCCAAGCAGGGCCAGGACAATGCCCGTCGTCTGACCGGCAAGCACGAGACGAGCTCGATCAATGACTTTAGCGCTGGAGTGGCCAATCGTGGATGCAGCATACGTATTCCCCGAGGTGTCAATGATGATGGCAAGGGTTACTTCGAGGATCGTCGGCCCAGCTCCAACTGTGACCCCTACTCCGTGGTGGAGGCCATCTTGCGCACCATTTGCCTGGACGAATAAGCGGGAACCACTTCCGCTTCCGTTTGCGAAACATTTGTTATCGATTTATCGATTGTTGTTAAAAAAAAACACACACACACCTTGATCCATTTGACCCGTCACTACTGATTACCCGAACATCGAACCCGAACAACACCCGAAGTTATACGAAGCATTACGTAGGCTTAGATTTTAGGCGTACTCAAGTTTACCTAATAACGTATTTTCCCCCCAGAAAAGCCCGAAAAATAGACACCAGAATAATTAACTATTCTAAGGCAGCCCCTCCTCTTGCTGATATTTTTTATATTTGTTTTTTTTTTCAGCTGCTGTTATTTAGGTTTTAGTGAGTTTTTTTTTTGTTTTTTTTTTCTACTGATCTTAGCTGATCAGGCATATGTTAGAAGAGCAAGAACCCAGAAAGACATACCCCTACAAAATAAAGAAAGCTCTAGTATCAAATCACTCCTCTAAGACACAGAAAACAAATCCCTACCCATGTATTTCTTAATGATATTAAATAATTAACTTTAATCCTAAACTACATATACATACTATATACTCTTTAGTTAAATAAATGCACTAAAAAATAAACAAAAAAAAATACATACAAAATATTGTATTTTATTGATAACTTTGAATGCTTTCTGGAACTCAGAACTCAGCTTGGACAATCCATTTCACTTATGGAGAAATATTTGTATTGAAAGGTATGATACAAGGAAATAAGGTATATAGAAGGGTCTTACTTTTGTTTCCATTTGAACTACCTAGTAAATCATTGAATACCAAATCATTAAATCATTGAAGAATATGCTTCAGCTCAGATATATGAAATACTTAAATTAAATATATCGAAAAGCACAAGAAAATGTTAACAAAGAAAAATAAATGTTAACAATTGCTAGAAATATATTGCGCAACAATCAAATAAGGACAAATATTGCTGAGTACATGTTGCCATATACATGTTGCTATGTAAATGTTTCTGTATACATGTTATTTTATACATGTTGCTATATTTATGCTGATATTCACCAGTTGTTATATACATGTTATTATACACATTTTACATACATTTTTGCTAACCACATGTTGATATATACATGTTGCTACATTCATGTTGCTATATTCGTTTTGCCTTAACCATGTTTCTCTACATATGTCCTCTACATACATGTTGCTATATACATGTTGCGTTATTCAATTTGCAATATTCAAGCTGCTATATTCAATTGGCCTTGACCATGTTTCTATATATATATATTTCTATATATGTACATGTTGCTATACATGTTGCTATACATGTTGCTATACATGTTGCTATACATGTTGCTATACATGTTGCTATACATGTTGCTATACATGTTGCTATACATGTTGCAATACATGTTGCTATACATGTTGCTAGTATATGTTTCTATACATATGTTTCTATATACATGTTGCTATATACAGCCAGTGGTAACCCTATGGGAACTGGGTATAAAAATATGAATCTTTAATGATTAAATTGCTTCTCTAATCATTTATTTTACTTTACGCCGCTGGCACGTGCTAGTTTATATAAAATAAACACAAGTATTGTATACATATATATAAAACAAATATGTTATATTAATCCGAAGTGCAACTGTACGGGTTATCATTGATTAAGCTGCAATTTTCTTTATAATTAATTCAATAAAAACTCCCGGTTAAACCTCTCTTTATAAAAACTTTAATTTGATTTTATTCAGCAGCAAATTAGCTAAAATAATTTAAAAAAATTATGTTAATAAAATTTCTACCCAAAATCCTCTAGAAAATATAACAAAAAGAAAATGCCTTATTCCTTAATCTACCAAAGCTTTTTCAATAATTTAACCTTAAACAAAAATCGTAATTCATAAATCCATAAATAAAACCGAAGGCTGTATAATTGATTTATTTGCATTAAGTATAATTTATTGTGTGCTTACTAATTAATTGACTTCAAAGGATTGAGATTGGGTCAACAAAACGTTATCGTCCGGGGGGGTCCCAAAGGTCGTTGCCACCCAAGGTTTGCGCGCGTTTAATTTATAAACCAAAGGAGGTGTTTTCACAATTTCAAGCATTTATCAAGCAGACAAGGGAAAGTACACTGCAATTAGCTCACCAATCAAGGGTTCATTATGCCCGATGAATCACTTTCAGTGAGCTTAAATTGTTTGAGCAATAATTTGCACAGGTTTCGCCACACTTATTTAGCTAAACTGTTAGCGGCAAATATATAAATATAAATATTAGCTGGTCAAGTCTAGACTTTATGGCCTACAAAAAGATAAACTATTTAAATGTTTGTGTTTAACTTGAGCCAATAGTTCAAGTAATGCGTCGTTTTTGTTGGATTGTTGAGGGAAACTCCGAAAAAGTGTATCAAATATGCTGAAATAATCCATATTAAAACGCTTTTCTTGTTTGCTTTTCATTTTTATTTATTTAATACTACAAATTGTTGTAACTTTGATTTCATTTTGTATGCATATCCTTTGAATTTTTGTTTATTAATTTGAATTTTACCTTTCCAGCACATTTGCTCTTCAATATTTCAGTTTTATCGTTATATTGATATAGGTAGGTAGGTATATATGTATACATTTTGTTTCTCTTTGTGTGTGTGTGTGTGTGTGTGTGTGTATTTAACACTATTTTGTGGATGTTTTTTTACTTGTTTTTTGTTCCAACTACATACATTTCATTTCATTTTGTGATTCAGAATTTTGTTGCTTGGATTTACATATATTTTCTCTCGGCGTCACTCAGCTTTACAATAATAATGGTCAACAATCGGTGAAACGAAAATCACAATAAATAAGTGCAAATAAAAATTGGAAGCTGTGTGAATTTAATATATTTTTAATACAAAAAGGGATAAAGATATTTGCACAATTACAAGCATATGCCAAGGGAAATTACACTGAAAAGAACAGAAATTCGCACAGGTTCCTCTACATATGTAAATATTCGTACAATTATCGCAAATACATAAATGGGTTGCTTAGACTCACATTAACTAGTTTATTTATCGTTTAATTTGTGCTTTCGCTTGCCATAACATAAGTAATACGCAATTAATTCTAGAATCGCCAATAATATCGCATTGCTCTATTCCCGGTCACGGAAAGTCCCTCAGCGGCTGATGGGGAAATTTATTGACTTGGGAATGTGTTTTAATGTTTAAATAATAGTCTCGTCGTTAATAATACTGCCCCACCAGCCGTGGTTAATGGTTGTTTGCCGCAGAAATATACATAACATATACATATATTGTACATTGCATAATTCGTTAATTAATGTTAATGCAATTTTCGCGTTTAAACAAAAAATTCGAATAGTTCTGCGATATATACTTAAAGTTAACATAGCAAAATCTTTTGTAACATCATTCTTCAGCATTATATTTCTTACACGCTACGAAAAAACACATTATATCGATTTGGAATTACACAAATTAAGTTTATCGTTTAATCGATAAGTAATAAACCTAAACACTGAGGACGTTATGAGTTGGAAGATTAACAAAATGATAATAAAAACTTGATATAAAATATATAAAAAAAAATATATATATTGCACATGGAAAACAACAGTTCAAACTGAATGAATAATTGTTTCAATCGAAAATCGTTTATCCGGTAATCGTAAATCGCATGTCCTTCGATTGTTCGATATCGATTTTCGCGTCAAAGCTGCCCCAATATGAGTGAAAAAGGAACCATATATATATAAATCATATTTATCTTGTTTTGTTTTGTTTTTTGCTTCCAAGTTGAATATCGTGAGTAGTGCATGAATATCGTAGTTCGCTATCTTAATATCGTTCTTAAATGGAGCTCCGTGATTCCTTCACATATCGTTTTTAACTATTTTGAATAGTTGTATATTATTTTGTTGGTTTTCGTTTTCGTTTTTGTTTTGTTTCCTCAGTTTCTGATGCTGCATATTTATTTTGCATTTGGCAACGCTTTTTGTTACTTTCGCACTTGGTTTTTTTTTTTTTTTTTTTTTTTTGTTATTATTATAAACCGTGTGTGTTAAGATTGGTTTAGCTTATTGGCTATTACGAGTTACAAAATTCATTCAAGTGTTATTAAATATATTCAACCTACAGGGAGGAAATCAAAATCAAAAACCAAAAAAGGTGTACATATTTTTTTCGCTTGTTAAAAGTCTGATATTGATTGATTTTAAAAACATTTTCTTCAACATTTTTTTTTTTTATGCGCTTAAAACTTACACTTAAAGTGACTCGTAGGTGGCTGGGAATGGGATTCGGTATGGGTTTTTTTGGGGTTTATATAAAATTCATTGCATTGCCTATGTGCTTCAATCTAAGGTGATCGCCAAAATACTCTCTAATCGCCTAATCGAATCTTCAAATCAGTTGCCTCTTTTTCTCGATAAATGTACAAAATAGGTGAAATATTTGAGTCAAAATCTATGATAAACCGGTTGAAATTTGCGAAGTTTTTAATGGAAAATCGGGGTAAAAACTTGATGTAACTGCTTTTTAAATTAAAATCTTTTCAATATATAAAATAAAAAAAAATCAAGTAAGTCTTTCAACGGCTTTTTTAAGCTGTCTTTAGGAACAAACGTGAGTAAAAACAAAATATTTATCAGAGACTGATTTTAGAAATAAAACTTTGAGAACTTTTTTAACTTTCACAAATATAACTACAAATTTCGCAAGCCGGTTTAAATATTTTTTTTGTAATGCAAACCAAAATATAAAATATATATATTTTAAAATTTTCAATGATTTTTTACCCATTTCTCAAGTTAATATCGTTTCGATTAGGTTTTTAAAATAAATAAATATGAGTGTTTTTCGATTTATAAAACTTAACAGAAATAAAATTATTGCAAAAAAAAAAAAATGTGTTGTATTTATATTAAGAATTAAATCATATTTAAATATGCGAATTGATTTAACTTTAAACACATTATTAGACATAAATAATAATATTGTAATGGGTTTGCAACTCTACTACTTCCTTAAACATGTATTTCCTGTTCCCAATGTCGCATATACATATATATCCCTCGATGTATATATAGATGAGTTAGGTTATGTGGACAGCTCCGTGCTGCCACGCCTTACCATATTCAGATCGTTGAAATCAATTTCCGTGGACTCGATCGATTGTATTGACGACGAACTGCGCAATTTGGTGCCGGGAAATTTGCCGCGACTCTTCAGTGCCGTCAGCTAAGTATATTTAAAATTTTGAAAAATTAATTAGTTTACGATTTGGTACATTTTTTTTATAATATAATATAAAATAAAATATATATGTATTTATAGGTATATATATATATATATAAACGAGTTCAACAACAAATGTACAAGGCTAAATCAAAGACTTTTTTTATTTTTGTCATGCAAAAAGGTTGAGTAAAAGAATCTGTAAACTTGAATTTTACTACCAATTTCTAGCTAAACTTTGATGAATTTGAAGTACTTCTTAAACTTTTTTAGGCTTAATTTTAAATTAAATAAACAAAATACAACACTTTATAAAAGATATATGGACCTTTTTTGATATTTCTTTACTTACTTTTATTTTATCTGAATTAATTACAAAACTAAACTAATTTTCCCTGTTTTACCACTATTATTAAATTGTTTTAGCCTTGTTATTACATATAAAAAAATATATATACATACATATATATATATATATAAAATTTCGATCACATTTAAATCTAAAACGTGCCTTAAATAACTTATAAATGAAGTAGATTAATTGCTATAAATTTGTCAGTTGAGGCTAAAGCCAAGGCATGCAAGCGTGCAGAAGAATAATAAATATTACAAATAAATAACACTCCCTCTTTTTTTCTACAAAATATTCGCATAGCTACTATTTAGCATATATAGTATTTAATATATAGCAAGGCTGAATAACAAACTCGTGTCAAAACACAGCATCAAATGCTGTCAGCAGATCATGTCAATTTTTGATGTCTTGACAATGACCAATGGATCATAATACAAACAACACCGAAAGTTGATTAAATTCAGGCCACAAATACTTAAATCGGTTGCAGTGGGTTATATTTATATAGGGAGTAATCAGAAATCTATATAAATAACACAAACAATTTAACACAAAATATTTTGTAATCATTTGGTCTGTATTTTGGCTTTAGCAATGTTCATACATTTACTTTTAACTCTGGAAAATAAATTATTACAAAAAATTTAAGGAGACTCAGATCTATCATTAGTGTTTTTTTACCTTAAAACTTGTACTGATAAGGTAAAATAGTTTACAACTTAAATTCCACTAAGGTTCGAATGTTAGCTAAAAGCTCTTGCAAAGTCTGTCTACACTGATTAACAAGTTTACATTTCGCTTTAATCATATTTAAAAGCTCTGGAAAATAAATATTTGTTAAATAATAATTTTAGATATATTCTAAAAGGAACATTTTGTAGTCTACTAACATTAACAGGAACTTGAACTACCAGTCAATTTTATTTTCTGTTCGTTAAAATAACTACTAATTTTAGATAGTCAACATAGAAATGTATATCGAAAGGAAAAATTCAATATCATATTGAAAACATAGTAAACTTTGATATATCCAATTTTGGAAATACCTATTGTATTAATTAATATTAAAATATCAATATCAATATTAAAAATCAATATCAATATTAAAAAAAAATATATATATAAATATATGTATAATATTCTGCATAATTTTTCATCTTTTTTAAAAAAAACTCATTAAGGTAAAGCTAAAATTCATGCGAAACCATGCTATTTAGAAACGGGAATGGTAATTAATGATCACTGATCCATAAAGGCCAGAAAGACTATATTAGACCATGCAAACTATACTGTACTTAAGGGCAGAAAAACGCTACAAATACGCATTGTTTAGGCTAAGTACTGAGAAAATGTTTTGAGCAGTTTTATAGTTTTATAGAGACCTGAAGTATTTCGAAGCATTGGCCTGCTGCTTGAGGTTGAAATATGTTTATTCGGGAACTGAGATTAGAGGACAATTGTGGCTTCACACGAGTTTTGGGATTTGTTTTCTTTTATTTTATTTTTATTTTGCCTTCTGGGGTTTGTAATTCGGTAATTTTTGTATTTTGATTTTGAATTTGTAATACTTTTGTTTTCTTGTTGTAAATTAGTTTGTTGTTTTTGCTTAGATTTCATTGAATAGTTTTTCATTTGGTTTTTGGTTTGTGTTAAGATTAGTTTAGCTTATCCATTTCCACGGCTCAGTGTCGGGGCTGGTTATTGGCGTGGGATACTATATGTATATTTTAGCAAAACCAAAAAAACAACGCATATTGTTTGGTTTTTTGCGTGTGAGAAAGAAAATTCAATGAGAAATACATACAAGATTATTATCTTGGCTTTACAATGTGATTCAAAATAAAAATAACCAAACGAAAAATATTTATATAACCAAAATAAAAATTACAGAAAAGCCAAAAGAGCTTAGCAAACTGAAAATATTTTAGGATTATGCCACAACAGATAGCGAAAGGGATTCCAAAAACCTGGCTTACTTTTAAAGTATATTTGTTTTTTTTTTTAATTTAATATTTATTTGTAGATATTACTTTGTAGATTTTGTAGATTTTAACTTATAACATTATTCACAATTTCAAAAATAATAAAAGCTTTTTCCCGAGTTATTTTTAGTAGAATATTTGAGTTTAGAAGGCACAAATCTCTCTAAAATTGGAAATAAGCTTGACTTCGATCTGTTGATAACAATTTTAGTGTTTTTGGGTGAGAACTGTGAAGTGTGTGCTTGTGGTTAATGCTAATGCTTCTGCTGCTGGCATTTGAATAATTTTAAAATTTAAAACTTAAACGTTAAAACTTAAAACCAAACCGAAACCATAAAGCAAAGGCTTGATTAGCAACAAGTGCTATTTGTAACAGAAATAAACAAGTTTTTCTTCCTACCTCCGCCTTCATGTCAGCCAGCCTGTCCTGCAGGTCGCGCACCTTATCCGATTCGTCCAGATTGGCGCGCAATTCGCCCTCGGCGAGCATCTCCGAGTTCTGTAAATAAAATAAATAATAATAATAAATAAACTCTACTGTAAAGGTAAATATTCACTACAAACCTTGGTCTCCAGCCGGGAAATTTCCTGTTTCAGTTCGGCCACCGTTTGGCTTTGCTCAGTGAATTTAATTTTCACATTCATTAGCTCGTCCTTCATGCGAGATTCCAGATCCGAGTATCTACAAATATTTTAAAAATATTTAATATTTACAATATAAACTAAAAAAAAATTAAATAAAATCCCACCTGTGCTGCTGTTCGCGTGCCTTGTTGGCCATATCCTTCTCCCTGGTAACTGCCATCTCAAGTTCCTCCTTCAGCTTCTTGTGCTCCTCGTCCTGTCGCCTCAGCTGATTGGTGGACACCTGAACTTGAGTCTCCAGCTCCATAACCTTAAGGCGCAGCTCCTTGAGCTCGGTGAGCGTCTCCATCTCCCGGATGCGTGTCGTCATCAGCTCCTCCTCGAGCTTCTGTGTATGCTCGCTGCTCTTGGAGCTGTCAAAGAAGTTCGTCAGCAGTTTCTTGGGCGTGGAATCCACCGCATTCGTGGTGCGTTCCGTCTCGCTGCGCTGATTTTCGGCCAGTTGACGCTGCCACTGGGTGCTCAGCTCTTGGACCCGCTGCTTGAGATCCTTCAGCGAGAGCGAGGCCTCTGCCTCGCGCAATTTACTGGCAATCAGTTCGTCCTGCAAGTGGGCCACCGAATTATCGGGCGTCGTCTCCCGCAGCGTTTTCTTGTCCTCCTCCAGTTCCTCCACCTTGGCCTTGAGGTTACGTATCTGATCCTCGCTCTCGGCGAGACCCTGGCGCACCTTGACGAGCTCTTCCAGCAGACAGGAGACCATTTCGTCGCGCTGCTTCAGCGCCTCTTCCTTCATGCAGAGCTCGTCAATGGATGACTGCCGTGAGTTGTTCTATATATTTGAACAAGGAATTGAACAAGAATTAGAATTCATCTGTACTAAGGAAATATTAAGTAAACTGGTTATTTTGGCAAGCAGAGTATGTTTGTGTGTGGTTAGTAGCTGAGATACAAATGATTACAAAGGCTTTTTTTATAAAAATGCAGTTTTTAGAAACTAAAGGTTAAGCAAAGCCTTAAAGTAACTGGTTAAATAAATATTGTTTTATATATTGTTATATTTATAGGTAAATAAATGTTAAAAAATGTTTTGATGTGTACAATTAATTAATTTAATTTAATAATATTATAAATTAAGTAAGAAAATGTTACTTTCTGTGGTCGGAATATTGAAAATATCGATTTATTAATACTGTTTCGATATTTGCACAATTTAATAAATAAATGACGTTTTTATCGTTGCCATATATGCAAAAAATTAAAATTTTCTGGAATTTATCGAACAAATGTAATCGGAAAAAAAAAATTAATACATTTTTATTTTTACTGATATTTTTTTTATAATATCGATATATTTATGTTGCTCTATATGTGCAATTAATTGATATTTTGTATAATATATCAGGCCAATGCAGTCGGTAAGGATAAATAAATAAACAATTTGTTTGATATTTTTTCGATAATATCGATAATAAATGAATTAATAATTTTACTATATTTTTCAATTTCAAAAGACTAATAAAAACAAAAAACATGCAAAATTGGAAATTTGTATTTAATAACTAGAAAACATAGTCACGAGAATTGTACTTACGCTGTCGATGGATACATTCTGTTTTTAAAGCATTTATTTTTTGTTGAATTTTTTTTATGTATTAAAGCGAACATTTTGTGTATATGTGTATGTAGTATGGGTGTGTGTGTGTGTAATTTGAAGCACCACAACCATAAGAAATCAAATAAAATAGAAAAGAATATAGAAGATTAGCAACAGATTCAATTTTAGTTACAGGACAAGGACAAGGGGGATTTGATTGATCAGATTTATGTATACTCACATTCTCCTGCAGTCGTAGGCTAAGTCCGCGTACCTCCTCGTTGGCATTCTCCAGATGATGGGACACCTCCAGGTAGGATCGTCGCAGTTGCATCAGCTCCGTCTGAATGGCAAAGCTAAGGAAAGAGAGAAAGAAGACAATTCCAAGTTATATTCGATTAAACATTTCATAAAAGGTTTGAGACCTTACCTAGTCTCCTCCTCCTCGGCCCTGGACACCTGTCCGCGCACCAATCGATCGGCCAATTCCGCACTCTCAGCCTCCAGCAGCTCGTTTCGCTGTTTTAGCAGGCAATTCTCCCGTCTCAGACGCCTAAGCTCCGCCATCTCCTCCTGCTCCTTCTTTTTGAGATCCTGATACTCCTTCTCCATTTTCTTCATCCGCTTGCTATTCAACTTAATGGAATAGGCCAGGTTGAAGAAACCCTCCACGTCGGCCTCAACGCGACCGGGAAGCTCCTTTTGGAAGAACTTTAGCATGGCCTCCATGTCCAAGCAGAGCAGCGTCTCCTTGCCGGTGAGGAGCAAGGCCAATGCCACCTTGAAGATAAACTCCATGCCCTCGCTAAGGAAGACGTCCATGATGCGGCAACTGAGATTCACATTCAACGTTGTGGTGTACAATGTGAGGAACCAGCTGGAGGCGTACATGGTCGTCTGGAAGCCCTGCTGCTGGAAGTGTATATGCATATCGGGTATCTGCTCCTGCACCAGACTCTCCAGCTGGTACATGCACAGTCCCAGCTCCGACATCGATGGCTTGAACATGTGACGCATTCGATGCTGCTGCATGATCTGGACCAGCACGGCGAAGGCCTCCTCCTCGGGCATTTGCATGAGGAGCAAGCCAACGATAAAGCCAGAGCCTTGGCAATAGCCAACCTCGCGGTCGTGCAGGGAATATGCCTTGATCACATTGAAGAGAGCCTCCTGGCCGGGTCCGTCCTTTTCCTTGAAGAAGTCCACCTCGGGATAGGTGCGTGCAATGTCCCGTCGGATCACCTTTTCGCATGCACTGGTAGCCTTAATATACTCAGCATACTGCTTCTTGTCGGCCTCGGCCGCTCCGCTTAGCTGTTGCCAAACAATTGCCCGGAAATGATGCGGAATACCGCGACGAACTAGCTCACTCACACAGGGATTCTTGCGCTTGAGGGCGCCGTCCCAATCGTACAAAATGGTGGCCCACGTCGTCCATACATCCTCCTCGGCCACCGAGTTGCCGCCTTCAAAGTAAGGGAATAATAATATAGATTACTTTTTAATTATAAATATTTTTAGTTGTTAATTTAACAAATGTGTTTTGATCAGGGTTGGCAGAAAATAATCAATATATCGATATTGTATCGATGTATTTTGTACAAATACATATTTTAAAATTTTGTTATAAATATTTGATATAAATTTATATTAAATAAATATATATGAATATATAATCCAAAAAAAAGGTACAAATTGCGTAAAATTTTGCAAATATTTGTCGATAGTTTGAATAATATCGATAATTTAACACTATATGCGATATTTTTCGTTATTTAAAAATGAAATATATCAAAATCTATGATATTTTGCATTTTGAGTTTATGTTGAAGTGGATTTGGAGTGTATTTTGAATATATTTTGAGTGTTTCTAGTGGCGTTACGCATCTTATTCCTGCAATCCTTAAGTTTATGCTTTTAGAAATGTGTAATGCATTTTGCAAACGAAATATCTAAATTGAAAATATTGCTCCACATCCCTAGTTGTGGTTGTATTTTTTAGATTTTACAGATTTCTAATGCTTCAAGAGATAACTTACTCGACGTGAGACTTATTTGACTCGTGTCCGAGTTCTTGCGACTGTGCGTTGAGTGCAGAGAATTGAGGGACTTGGCATCGCTCTCGATGAGCTTATTGGCCGCCTCCAGCTTGGCCAGTAGATCCATCTCGGAGGTGGGCAGATTCTCTTCGCCGGGCGGAAGCGGATCGTTGCCCTTCACATCCATTTTCGCTTGGCTCTCGGCTGATGAGGCAGTGGTCGTTGTGGTCAGGGTCATTTTCTTCTGACGAAGAACCAGTCTCTGTCTATACTCCCAACCAGTGTCCCGAATCGAATCCTTTAGTGTTGCCTCCTAGATCTCCTGGATGGGCAGTTAGTTGGCGGAGTGTTTTTTAATATTTACTGGGTGTAAATTTCTTAGTTTCCGCCTTTCTAAGACCACCACATATTGCTCCACATAATGCGCAGATCAAGGACTGAAATGGATAAAGAGAAAAATGATTAGAAATTAGAGATTAATATATATTTAACGTATATCACAGCAAAACAAGTAATCTGTAAAATTTAATTACTACCGAAAGAGTAGTACCGGATCTTGAGACACCACCGGACAAATGAACTTTTGCTCGAGATATGAACATGTGCCAGATACTCGTTCTACAAAATACAAAATATAAAACAAATAGTAGCGAGTGCAAAGCGAGTATATTCCCAGTCTGTTTGCCAGCCTCTGTCTCTGTCTTCTGTTATTGTTTTGTTTATAATTCGTGCGCCCTACAAAACTTGCGCTGAACTGAACTGAACAATAGCAAAAGCTGTCAGGGCTTTCTGTTGTCGATTGCCTTGGCGGGTTTTTCAACTCTGCCCCGGTAACTTAAATTACTTTCTTTTTCACAATTATTTCCCATCAAAATGATTAATTTTCAGCGTCAAGATTGATGAGGAGTATTTTTATAACAATTTTTTTAAATTAAAAAGTGACTTTATTTAATTTAACTTAAAGAGTTACGTTTGCAAGAGTTTAAAAGTATAAAATTAATAATTCGACACAAAAATTGATATGATATTCATAACAAATATATCGTAAGATCACATGTTTTAAAAATCGAAATTATCGAACATATCGATATTATCGAAAAATATTCAAAATTAATATACATATATAATTGATTTGTCTATTTTTGTTTTTATAATTCTGATATATCGATGAATCGATTTTTTTAGTATAAAAATCACCGCATTTGGCTTTAAAATATCAATATTATCGAAAAATATTCAAATATTGGGGTTTCTATTTATAATTTTCACACAAGGAAACCTACTTTTTATAGAGAGTGTCTGACCTTCGTAGCTCTCTCCCCAAAAAAAAAAAAAAAAAGCAAAAAATTCCAATGGCCTGAAAACAAAAGAGTTATCAATATACAGAGAAAAAGATAGCAGAAGAGGAAAGAAAAACAATAATAGGCGCAGTATTAAATTGGCAATAATTAAGCGATTCTGTTCTTCTGTCAATATTTCTCACTCTCTTTTGATAACTTCCACACACTCCCTATCAATCAGTTCAGTGATGATCGAACTCTCTATCTGTGAAGTTTTTTTTTTTGGTGCAGTGAGTAGAAACCAAGTATTTCTTGATTTTCTAATTATCTGAATCTTTGGCATTCCCCAGTAGCTAGATATAATGGCTTCTTTCACATATTCTAAGAATTACATTTTATCAAATTTTATTGCATCAAGCGAGAATCGTTTTCCATCTTTATCTAAACGAAATATTTCAGGTTCTAGGGATTTATTGATAAAAATAAAATATGTCATCCATATAAATACTCATTATACTATTTTAGGACAACAAAGTGTTTCTATAAAAAGGTTATGGAACTGTAGAAACTGTTGAACTATTTGAAAGTATTCTTCTGTAGTCTTTCCCCTGTATTTTCAACTATTAATAACCCCACTAAGACAGATGTTAGTATATTTGTATTTAAACAATTGAGTTTCAAAAACAAAAGTCCATAAGGTAAATGCAGTATCAAGTGATAGTAATAAATAAACACTGACAAGTTTTTAAGACAAATTGCGATATAATTGTTAAGGCCAAGGGGAAAGTCAATCTACAAACAAATATATACACAAATATATATATATATCCATGGGTCTTGCCTATATGTCTTGTTCAATTAATTTTTGGTCTGATTCACGTACACGTATTGTAGGTGCGAACACAAAAAAACCTTCCATGAATCACACACAGAAACGTTTTAAGCCCATTAAAAATTCAGTTTTGACGTGTATTTCTTACAAGGCGTAGCTTTCAATTTAAATTACAGTAAAACCAATAAAGGCAGATATATAAAGTGCGTCAATACAGTTCAGATTTAAGGCGTAGTTAGGTGTGTTTAATTATTTTAAATAACAACAAATTATTTTGAAAATAAATAAAAACAAATCTACCTATAAAATATGAATGTTTTCAGGTTAAAATGGCAGGTTCATTTCATTATTATGTGGATTAGAAATAACAAAAACTGCTCCAGCATAGAGATCTAGAGTTTTACCTTTGCATTGGAAATTCTACGATCCTTTATTGTAAGTCTTATTATTTTTTTTTATTGTTATTATTTTATACAATTTTTTTTATTGATACCTAGCTACAACTATATATCAACAATAGACTCTACTGTATTATATATGTGTCCAAGAATGACCAGTACCACCGCAAAATCAACACAATTTTTACAATCTTTATTCCTTTTACTGATATCAACAAGCAGCTCGCAGCGCAGTTTAAAAGCAAATAAAAACCGAAATACAGCAACAAAATATTAAAAATGTACTTGCTTTGTACACCTGCTAGAGGTAAGGAATTTAATTATTCCAAAGAAATCGCTATTTATTTATGATGAGCCCTTTAAACCACAGATTGACAAGCCATATCAAACTATACTATAATATATTTCACGTGACAACCATTTTTATTTTATTTTTTTTTGGGGGAGCTTGTAGTTACCATTTCGTGACATTTTCTACGAACTCTGAGGGGTTACTGTATGAGTCATAATGTGGCACAGTTATCGGTAGGACAGGTGATAAAAGATAACATCGTAGGACCAACGTGACGTATGTGCAACAAGTGGAGACATACTAGACCCACAACGCCATTAACACTTTATAGTATTACTCATTTATCCCACGCAATGTGATTGATTACAAATAAAGCAAAAAAAGGGGAAATAAAAAAGGAAAACTAATTATTGAATGAATGAATGAAACTCAAGTGTCGTCTATGTAAGCTAACTAATGCATTGTGGATATACTTAGCTCTATTGCAAGTGGAAGGCAAGTGTACAGTGGACACTTTGAAAAAAGTACACATATAACCCAATATCAAATTGACAGATTTGTATACATAATGATGGCATATTGCAATTATAATCCATAACAATATAATAGAAAATGAGTAGAGAACCTCAACTCGATTTTGATATAGATTTTTGGCACTAAAAATGTATATCGATTGGAAAATATCAACAAAGATCGATTTAAAAAAATCTATTTAAATTATAGTACACTTTTTTATATGGCAACTTTAAATTATGAAAAAATATATATCCCAAATATATATATATATAAATAGATATTGTATTAATCGCTTAAATATCGATATTATCGAAAAACAAAATAAAAACCTTTTTCTTTTTCAGTTTATTTCGGTCAAATATAGCAGCATAAAATTGATTTATCGCACAAATATACATCGTAACGTTAAAATATCGATTTATATATCGACTCTTGATACATTTTCGATATATATATTATTTTTAGAGATGGTTAATGTTAACTGTACAGCGCACAGAGCAAAAAAACATATAATGCTTCCCCCTCGAAATGCAATGCCGAGACCAAAAGCTCTCGCCACAAGGTCAAAGGCAAAAATTATTCAATTGCAGCTCAAAAATACAAATATACGTAACCCCCACAGCAAACATTGAGTACACTAAGAAAAAGTACGCCTACATTTCATTATTATTATTAATAGACAAGCAAAACAAACAATCAATAGAAAAAGTCGAGAATATATGGGGTAAAAATAAAACTGTAACAGGTGGACAACAACTGGAAAAGATAAAGACACTGCAAAGGCAAAGGCAGCCCGCAGCAATATCTCATTAATACGATATGTGTTGATTAGATTTCGACACGAAAAAAACAAAAAACAAAATATAAACGACATGTGTGTGGGGTGTGTGGGGTGTATGGGGTGCGTGTGTGTCTGTGAAAGTAAAAGCAAAGTCAAAAAGCAAAGCCAAAGCCAAAAGCAACAATGCAATCGTAAAGCCAAGTCTCCATTGAAAATAAGGTTAGTTCACCCGCGCGTTTCATAGTTTCAGTACGAATTGTCGTGTCAAGCGCACAGGAAGCGATCGCAACCCGGATCGGATTGGATCGCATCGGATCGTACATATATATAAATATATATACTCAACGGCGGCGATCGCATGCGGACAAAAATTTAAATGTAATGCCAGACGCACAATAATAATAGTAAATACACACGTAATTGGTCATATATGTAGCTTCGCGTTTAATATCAGCGAGTGGAAGCCCGGTTATTAATAAACAATAAAATCGGACATAAAGTGGGCCTAAACTATAGTAGGTTGGTTTCTTTAAAACAAAATATATAAATAATACAACCGACAAGGTCCCATAAAACTAAGGATCAATTAAAACAAGCGCTTAAAAAATAATAAACAATCACATAAAATCCTCTAGTATTAATAATCCATTTAAACAACTAAATAACGGATTTCCATAAATATTAAACATTAACAAAATATGATTTAACAAATTTATAAATAAATATAAAAACCGTGTTTACATATTTTTTTTTATTATTTTAGTTAACTTCAACTTAAACCTTAAAAAAAATATTTCTTGACTCTAGATTGCTTTGGCTGATGACGCAAAAATTTAAATACCACTAAATGGCGCCGGAAAAAATCTCATTTGCTTGGCAAACTGGGGCTAGAAATATAATACCCTGCACGCTGCACATAAAATTAACAAAAAGTTTATAAAAAATGTGTTATATTGTGAACAAAGAAAATGAATCAGATTTTTGTTTACACAATTAAAATGTAACAAAGGTTTAAAAAAAAGGTTAGCAAACTCAAGGAAACAAGATAAAAATATATTTGTGTTTTTTTTTATCAGAATAAAAAAAATGTGTTCAATTGTAAACAAAGAAAATCATAAAAGATTATTATTTTTTTTTTTTTTGTTATTATTTAAAAATATATATTTTTTTAATTACAGATTTAATTTGAGATTAATAGAACTCAAGTTAAGCTAGTAAAAATATAAATAAAAAAAATAATAATTTTAAATATATAAAAAAAGAAATTTGGGAAAATAAGTTTAAATTTAAAAAAACGTAAGAAATTAATTTAAGATAAAAAAAATAAACTTATGAAATTAAGTTTAAATAAAAATAAATAAACTTAAAAAATGAATTTTCATTTTTTATTTATTTATGATATTTTTTTTTTTTTCATTTTATTATTATTATTTTTTTTTTTTTTTTGCTTACAACATTGAAGTGAACACCCTCAAAAAAGCCACAAAAAATAACCCAAAAAGTACCCGCGTGTTCAAAGCTTTGTATATTTCCACATAAATCGCACAAAGTAAAAGCAAACAAAAATAATCACACATATAATAATTGACTTTAACGAACAACGAAAAAAGAGCGCACAACAAACCAGTTTTTAAACTCTAATTTCACAAAAAAGCTTTAAAAAGAAACAAACCGAAATAAACAAGTTTCAAAGTTGGCAAATTATATATACATATATATCGAACCGATTACACCCTTATATATTCATAGTGCCTTGTGTAATTTGCTTTTATTTTTATTTTTTTGCATGTGAAGACAAGGTCAAAGACGTGCCAAAAGAAGAGCCAAATATATATTCACGATGACGGCCAAAACGGAGGATAATGTACTGGATCAGGACAGCCAGCAGGAGCAGGAGACAGTCACTACACCTGGCACTTCCATATCCACATCCTCGGAGGCGGAAATGGAGACGGCAACCGAAACTGAAACGGAAACTGAAGTTGGCGGTGCTGCGGCCACCAACGAACTTAGCGAAATCTTCTTTGTGGATAATAATCGAAGGAAGCATAGCATCAAGATCCAGGTGAAACTCTGCCCGGAGGGTGTTTACCTGCGACGTGAAACGGACGAGGATGATCATATTAACGAGCAGCTCATCAGGATCGATGATATTATCGGTTCCCGGTTTGGACCACGTCTAAGGAAGCGTGCCCGCGGCGGTCTCAACTCCTGCAAGAATCCCAATGTGCAAACGGAGGAGGCAGCCCCCGAGCCGGATAGCGACAATAGCGCCTACCTGTATATATATGCATATTTGAAGAAGGAGAAGCCCTTGAGGCGGGTGCAAACCCTCAGGATACTCCGCTTTCGTTCTAGCCATGACTATGCCGTCAATCTACACACCGCCGAGCTGTGGCATCGAACTATAAGGCAGCACAAGAGGGGAAATAATACTGGTTCCAGTTCCTCCAGTCACATAGGTGACTCCAGCAAACAGCTCCTGATCCTGCTCAATCCCAAATCCGGTTCGGGCAAGGGTAGGGAACTCTTTCAAAAGCAAGTGGCACCGCTGCTCACCGAGGCGGAGGCGCAATATGATCTGCAAATAACCACGCATCCACAATATGCCAAGGAGTTTGTGCGCACCAGGAAGGATCTGCTGGAGCGCTATTCGGGCATTGTGGTGGCCTCCGGCGATGGTTTATTCTACGAAGTACTCAATGGCTTGATGGAACGCATGGACTGGCGACGGGCTTGCCGTGAGTTACCACTGGGCATTATACCGTGCGGCTCTGGGAATGGTCTGGCCAAGAGCGTGGCCCATCACTGCAATGAGCCATACGAACCAAAGCCCATTCTGCATGCCACTCTCACCTGCATAGCCGGCAAGAGCACACCCATGGATGTGGTCAGAGTGGAAATTGCATCAAGAGACAAGCATTATGTGATGTACTCCTTCTTGTCGGTGGGTTGGGGTCTAATCGCTGATATAGACATTGAAAGCGAGCGCCTGAGATCGATTGGAGCCCAGAGATTTACTTTGTGGGCCATCAGAAGGTTGATAACTCTAAGGACGTACAAGGGCAAGGTTTATTACCAGCTGCCCAGTAAAATAACAAAAGTGGAGCAGGCCAAAGAAGCCAAGGAAACTACCAAAAGGGCTGCCAACTTTACACCCACAAATCCCAATGCCGACGCCAGTGAGTTTCGCGATTTACCCGAGGAGGAAGAAGGAGAAGAGGCGGATGAACACTTCTCCGATGCCATATCCCTGGATAGATCTGTGTACCGACAACATGCCGATAGCTGGCACTCGGCCATGTCAAGGAGAACCGCCTACTATTCCTTGGGCGGTCCCAGTCTCCGTTCCAATCGCAGTCGCCTGAGTCTAAACCAACGAATCGAGGCGGCCAATGCTGAATTTGCGGAATTGGTGCCATCGGGCACCATTCCGGCTTTGAATATGCCCCTGGAGTCCAAAGACGGTTGGATCTGTGAGGATGGTGACTTTGTAATGGTCCATGCCGCCTACACCACACACTTGTCCTCCGATGTCTTCTTTGCCCCGGAATCCCGGCTGAGCGATGGACTTATCTACCTTGTGATCATCCGCAGTGGAGTGAGTCGTCATCAGTTGCTAAACTTCATGTTGAGCCTCAACACAGGCACCCATTTGCCCATTGGCGATGATCCGTTCATCAAAGTGGTGGCCTGCCGGGCATTCCGGATCGAACCGCAGAGCTCCGATGGCATCTTGGTCGTCGATGGCGAACGCGTCGACTATGGACCCATTCAGGCCGAGGTTATGCCGGGTCTAATCAAAGTGATGACCACCAATGGTCAGTAATCGTTATGATAAGAGCTATGTGGGACAGGGATAGGGTATATAAGGTCATGATACCAAGTCATCTTTCACATTTAAATATAGAAAAAAGACAACACCTAACAAAGTATATATAAAACGAGCATGGGAAACAGAAAAAAAGTATGGCGCTACGCATCTTATTGTCTCAAAGAACACTATAGTTTGATTTTCTGTACCAAAAAATGGATAGACACCAATAATATATAAAAATCGAGCATGGGAGCAGCTTTAAACAGTTAAATTCGAGCGAAAAAATGTATATGGCGTTACGCATCTTATTATTTTCATATCGTCTCAAACGTTTGTATCAAAAACGCTGCATAAAATAAAATTTAAGCTTGAATTTCTGTTGACAAAATATGTAAATAGGAAATACAACAAAGATCATAATTTTAGATTAAATATTTTTTTTTCTGAATGTTTTTTTTATTTATAGTTTTCGTACTTGATATAACTTCACCGATAATTGACACCAAAAATATGTGATTATAATAGCTTAATAAAGAATTAAATCATTTATAATTTTATAATATTAAATGTCCATAGTGTCTCCAAAATGAATACAAAAAATTAAACATCACCCAGATCTTGCCCTATTAGTTTATATAACAATGTTATAAATAAGAACCTAATTTTAATTTCTTACACAATTAAATGTAGTTTACCCCATAGTTCTCATAGTTCTAAAGCGCAATTTGTGTAAACTTTCCATTGAAAACCGAAAAAATATAACATTACCTATTATACTAGTTGGTTTTCTACACAATTTTGTTATATAGTTTTTTTTTAATCGGCCAGTACGCCAAATAAAACCAATAAAAGTTATAAAAGTGACTTTAGATTATGCGGTAAGCGAACAAGTTTAAGTGGCATTTTGCAGGTGCTTTATTTGTAGCCGTGGAAACAAAACGATTTGACGTTGGAAAAGTTTGAATAATTCACAAACATACAAAATAAACATCAGTTCGTTGGCTGGCTCATCCGGTTGCATGCCGATCTTTATCGATATCAGCCTTTAAAATGGGGCCTTGATTGGCCTCCAAATTACCACCAACACAATCACGAGGAACCTACACCTGTGGTCGATGTTCAAGTGGGGACTTCAATAATTGTGTTAATACTAACACTAGCCAAGATTAGCAAGATTAACCGTAAAAAAAGCTAGCACAGTTAACAGGCAGCGAGGGATAACTTGTCAACTTCGAAAATTAACGCAAGGTACAAGGTTCAAAAAATTTAAATAAAAATTTAATTGGTTCTTAGGTATTTCATAATAAATTGTGTTTTAATTTTAAAAAGAATCAAGTAAAGTTGGCTTATTAATTTTTTATTTATAAACCTAATGAGTTTTTCGATCTTAAAAAATAATAAACAAGTGATGCGGTATAAAAACCTATAAAGTTGTCTTGTTTTCGAGTATAAGCTATAACAAAATCTGCGTTACTTTGGGATTATCTTTGACAGATGCCCTAAAAACGCGTTGAGAAAATACAAATAACTGACATTCGGAAAGGGCAATTAACTTTAATTGGAGCAAAGAGCAATACCAAAAGCCATTAACAAAGGTAAACTGATAGTCACTATTGGAAGCGTTATTTTAATAAATATTTCATTTTTTACCATCCTACACAGACAGACGAGTCTGGTGTCGATAGATAACACCTTTTTAGGTCTTATCACTCCCATAAACACACACACACAAGAGGACTTGAAAGCGTTTTCAAAAGGTAAACAATGTGGTGTATACTTTTAGGCCCTGTTCAACATAAATCAAAAGAAAATTAGAGAGTAAGGTGACGAAATAATAATAATAATAATAATTGTATTTGATTTTAAAATCGATAAAATTAATCTTTTGGGCTGTAAAATAAATTAAATTAATATATTAATTAATCTTCTTTTTATTATACTGTATTGATTTGCCGGTTAGGTACAGGTACAGGAACTTTACAAAATAAACAAAAATTTAAAAAATCTAACTAAAATATAGTTTAAAAAATTATTATAATTCTTTGAGATGTATTTCTTTTTATTTGAGATTAATTTTATAGGTTCTACTCGCTTTTTTATATGATTTAGCAGTTACTTTTATACGTCATTGTTAATAATAAAATAAATAATATAAAAAATAAATAAATAATAAAGTAAATAATATCAAAAATAAATAAATAATAAAGTAAATAACATTAAAAATAAATAAATAATAAAATAAATAATATTAAAAATAAATAAATAATAAAATAAATAATATTAAAAATAAATAAATAAGACAGCATACTAAAAAAAAATCGGATCTACTTGAAAAATAAAATTCTAAAAATATTACAAAAAATAGAAAAAAAAAATATAAAACTTTCTTTTTTATTGCCCGATTTTAAAACCATGGTTCGAGACGCAACTGACCATCTGAGATGAGTCTAAGTGCGAGCGAGATAGATAGAGAAATACTTAAATTGTGTAATAACTTCCATTTTAATTATACGATATTACTATTTTCAAAGTACTTTCGAAGAATCATCATTTTGCCGTATTCTTACGGTCTAGATGGGCACAAAATTATAATGAAAACCCAGGCTAAAAGACTAAAGTTACCGAAGTTCTTGTAAACCTAAAAAAATCAAAATATGTTCTATAATTTGGCACAGACTACTTTAACACTTAAATGTACATCTCTACATATGTACATACATATATTATTGTTCTGAATTGGCAATTCTCGACATTTTTTCGCTTTTCGCTATCAACTGAATGCGAAGATAATTGCGACAGAGAGAAATCAAGCGAAAATATAATACAAGCAAACAATGAAAATATATAAATATACATATATACATATACATACATATATATATATATCACAGAGTAACGATAACAAAAACTAATTGTGGTTACAGTCTGTTAACAGATGTTAGCCTTCTGTTGGCTTCCAATGTAAAGCTCCTACCCTGTGTCATTAATGAACTAATGGACTCTTTAATTAAGATATTTTAATGACAGAGCGCGGGTTGAGCAAAAAAGCTTTGCAAAATTAAATTTTTTTCTATGGTCTCTGGGCGTATACTATTAACTTTGGGTTCTAAGACCTCTTTAAATTATATGTACAGAGCAGAAACATTAAATTATACATATATATGAGGCCTGAAACTGAAGCACACACTCATAACATGTGTGCCAGCAGATATTTCTGCACTATTTCCATACTAATTCATTCATAAAAGTTCTCTTTCCATTTTTCTTTCTTCTCCGTTTGAAGGCAGCGGCTTTTATGAGAATTTCAGGAAAATAAAAAAAAGACTCGTTAACTCTTAAGCCTTAACCATGCACACGAACATTTCGATATATGTATATAGATGTATATGTGCTCCAAAATCCAAATTTAACAATGAAGCAAATAATAATTCCTATTATATTCAGGGGTATTTTAATCCGTTGAATGGCAGGTAAAAGTTTTGAAGCCCATTTTATGTGACTAATACTTGGTATTTGAAATGTGTGGCTTAAATAATCCAGCAAAACTTGATTGGCCAATCGCCCTCTTACTTAGATATATGTGTTTTCTTTTGTAAATGAATTTAAATTTGAAACAAGCTGTTTTTAGGTTTTAACAGGCCAGAAATTTGATCAATTTGGCAAGGAATTGAACATTAAATTTACTTAGGTACTTTGTTTATTTCTATCATTTATTCAAAGCAAATAACTCATCTTTAGTTTTAGCCACAAAAGTATAAAAATAAACATACAATACAGCCTTTCACAAAAATAATCACATTTCATAAATACAATATGCTCTAAAAATTTAATGAAAAACGTATAACAAACATAAAAGTTATAAAACATTAAAAAAAAATCTATCTCTATCTCGCACGCACTCGCCTCAATGGTTACTCGAGTCGCAAACCACGGTTTCAATTTTCGAAGAACCAAAATGTAACTTTCCTATGTGGTTTGCTTTAAGCAGTCTCCACTGTACAAGAGCGATTAGTCAGGAACCTGTTGGTGAATAAGCTTTAGCTAACATTTCCCCCCCTGCAAGTTTTAAAACAAATCCATTTGCTGTTTTTATTTCGTATTTTGTTTTCTTTCCGATTTGTATTTTTATTTTCTGAACTTTTTGTTGGACAAAATGAATAATGCATGGTTGACCGTGGGGCGAAAGAAATTAGCAGAGCTCATTTGTAATCTTGTTACTGTTTTAAACGCACTAGCATTTACATTTTATAATGCATCTCGAGCAGATGCTTCAAAGACCACCATTCGCATGCTTTTATGGCGACATTACTGGCATTCTGGAAATTAGCTTGATTATTAATAGAGCGCAGCGCACATAAAAAGTCACATATGTGCATATGCTGGCCTTTCTGGGAAATTCTTAGATATATTTCTTTTTAAAGAATTTTCCATCAAGTATTTTGTTACTGTATATCTGCCCTAAAGTGTATATATTTGATATTTATAGATTAAAATTTGATTCACAAATTTAAAGTATATGTTTTTTCTATTACTGTATAAAGTTTCTAATCAAATATCAATTTGTTATGTATGTTATATAAAGGTCGCTTCTTTTTGCAGACAATCAGAAATTCACAGGCATTATTTCTAGTCTATATTTTGTTGGCGATGTAATTTAAGACCACGCCCACAGGCGCCCAGTGAAACACAAGTCAGAGAAATATATATTTACATGTAATACTACAAGCCAAGCCCTCAACCGGGCAACTCTCATTAACCCAATTTGAATTGTTGCATGGCAATTGAGCCCTTGGCACTGGAGAGACACTAGTACTTCATGGAAATGTACAAAAAAAAAAATCAAGGAAAAATATTTTAAAAATAAAAAGGAAAGGAAAATATATATTCCTTTATGGCTTATAAAAATAGATAACCATGTGGCCCCTGTTTATAAATCCAAAATAATCCCATTAATTGTTTTTCCATTAACTCAACCAGATCTCTTTTTTTTAAGTGGTCATTTCCGAATGCATTTACCTGTCCCTTCAAGTACCAACGATTGTATGTATGTACATATATGTATATATATTTTGTGGCAATGCTAATGCAAAGTAAACAATTCTCTCGAGTCACCAAAGTCAATTTCCCTAATTATCACATAGGACTGACATAGAAACAGTAACTGATAGGGCCCAAATAATAATAACAAGAACAGCCAGAAGCAGGAAAGAAGAAATATAACTCCACAGGGGCTAGAAATGAGGCCCAGACGATAAGGAATGCAGCGATTTCTCAATCAAACGAAGGCGGCGGCATACTCTGGGTACTCGTACAATTTCAAGATTCGAGGAAACAATGAAACTTTATCGCACAAATGGGGGAGTCATTCACTATAAATCGGGCAAGTACAAAAAAAAAACATACATTTGTATGTTTATATATGCAAAACAATCTCAAATAATATTAAAAAAATATTATAAAATAATATTAACTCATTCAGAGACACAAATGAATACAATGAACAGATGAACAGTAAAATTTTTGATAATGAACAATGAATATATATTATTTAATTTGTTTGTTGGGTGGACAGCAGCAGCAGACTTCAGTGTTGTGTGTAATTTATAATACAATCTCAAACCAAAACTAAATAAAGAGAGCAGCAAGTGTACAAATTAAAGCCACGTAGTAACATTAAAGAAACGTATCGCTAAAGCAGAGCCAACTGATCGATCAGTAATCCCGCCCCAGGTAGGTGATGAAGACGAGGTGACCAGCGCCAGATGGGTTTACTTTTTGAAGGAGCGTTGCCGCTCCTTCAGTTTCATCTCCATGGCGTTTAGGTTTTTTATCATGTCTGCCAATGTGTTGATCTGCGAGGTTCTATTTTGCGAATTGCCAGTGATTTGGTTTTTGGGATTCTCAAGCGAGTGCTGCTGGTTATTTTCGTTGCCACTGGGGGAGCTCACGCTGACGTTTGTGGCATTGGTGGCAACCACATTATCGTGACTCGCCAGCTCCCCATTTGCCGCGATGGCGTTCGGCAGCAAGGTGGACAAGTTTTTGGATCTGTCTATCGAGTTGGTGGCGTCCGTTCCGTTCCGTGTCTTAATGTCAAGCTCTTCCTTGAATTCTCTAGTCTCATCCATCATCCGCTGGACCTTCTCAAGCAGCAGTCCCTTCTCATCCAACTCCAGCTCCAGCAGAGCATTCTTTTCGCAGGCCCGGTCCAGCATCATCTCGAAGTGCTCTGTGCTTTTGTTGTGGGTTTGCCGCTCCCGCTCCAGGTTAGCGTTTTTTTGCTCAACCTTCTTCACATACACCTTCAAGGTGTCTCGCTCTTTCTTCACTACCTCCAGGTGCTTCTCCATGTTGGATATTTCAGTGGCATGCAAGTCCTTCATGGTGTCTCGCTCCTTCTTTACTGCCTCTAGTTGCTTCTCCATGTTGGATATTTCAGTGGCATGCGAGTCCTTCATGCTGTCTCGATCCTTCTTTACTGCCTGTAGTTGCTTCTCCATGTGGGACATCTCAAATTAGAAACTAATCTGTTGCTTATTTTTTAGCTGTTTTGTTTTTCGATTAAAAAGGCAAAGCACAGTTGTTGAAGTTGAAATTGTAGTTAATTTTCGGGTGAATACTTCATTAAGTTATTGTTTTATTAACATTTAAACTATATTTATGTAGACTTACTATTCAAAAAGTGTTCCCCATGATTTCTCAGTAATTTCAAGGGACAGGGCATAAATCAAAAAATTATGCTACAATCGGAAATCGGTAAGAAATTATGAAACATAATTCCCCTGGGATAAAATTACCCCATGGAACCCGCCCTGCCATTGAGTTCCAACTTGTTTTTATTTACCAAACACTGAAAACAAATTAAAAGAAAATTGTTTAAATCATTATTTGATAATAAAACAATCTAATTATTCTCCCTAATATAAAGCATTTTATAATGTCAATTAAAAAAAGAAATCATTGCCCTCAAAGCTTAATCAATTTAATTAGCATAAATTAGGCAAAGTTCAATTTTTGAGTTCAATCCCCAATCATAAAAACATCAATTAATACAAAATAAAATGATTTTTATGTGTTTTTCTTCGCAGTGTACTACTGCAAGCCATTGTTATTTCAATCGCTATCGACTGCAAAAATACACATACAGTAGCATTCACAAGTGCACCATATATATGCCATATTTGAAACGTTTTGGATTTCAACAGACACCAGACGCCAACCGAAACCAAGACAGAAATTAAATCAGACGAGACTTCTTCAGGTCCGAGCCAAGTTGAAAAAACAAACAAAAACAAAAACGATGTGTCTGCGATTGCATGATTGCAAAAATAAAATCAACAATCGCTTTAGCAAAAAAAAAAAAAAAAAGAAACAATTTCAAACGGAAAAGAAATTTTAAAAGGCTTATTTAAAATGTATTTTTAGAAAAATCTTGAAATATACCGTAGATCTCTAAAAATTTTATTAAATATGAATATTTCTAGGCAGAATCGAAACAGTAGCTTTATATACATATGTTATAGCCTTTGCTGTACTTGTCTTCTGCCCAACAATCTGTGAGATAAATCTGGCAAAATAGTTGAGACTCGATTTATGTGGCCAACTAAGACCTTGAATTAACAAAAACGTTTTTATAACAAATATATATCACAAACAAAATCAAAAGCAATATACAATTTACCAAGTTTTTAAAACAAATTCTCTTTAATACTGCACAAAATACTTAAACACATTATATAACAAATAATTATAATATTAACATTTATATTTCTATATATTATATTTATATAGTATATTTATATTTCCAAATATTTACGAATACAAAACAAAAACTCGTTCAAACTGTAAACGGTCTTTTACTGTTCCCAAAAAATACGAACACGTTGACGAGAAGATTGACACACATATTGGAATCGGCTGTGTGTGCCGCTTCTGCTGTTAACCCGATTTTTCTTTGCTTTTGCTTTTGGGGCACAATCATCAGGTAAGTCTCCATTTGTCCAGGTGGCAACAATACGTTGGCTACATACATGTTTTGTATTATGGAAGCTGGCTGGTTGCCTGCCCCATTGTTGTTTGTTTTGATATTTCAGGTTGTTGGTGTTTTTTTCTTTTTCGTTGGCTGTTTCGGTGGCGTTGGCTATTTGCTGCTGTTGCCATATTCCTATTGCTATTGCCTGATCTTTACATAACGGTACTTTTTTGTGCCGAATATAAATGAAAAGGGACGGAAACAAAAGCAGCTGCGCAATCGCCAGAGACGGCAATGATTATTTGTTTTTGAAAAACTCAAGACGAATACAGTGGCCTCTGGCTTATGCCAGAAATTATAGCCAAAACTATACATAAATAAGCATTAAAGAATGTCTCAAGCTTCAAGTTTTTAAACTGAAAATGTCAAGGGATACTAAAACAATAATAAAACTCTGGATGAAAGCCAAAAAAGTAGAGGTAATAAAAATGATACGGCGTTACGCATCTTATTATTATCAATCAATCGACTTTTTAACTTTTGTTCACCAAGAATTTTTTATTTTTTGTTTAAATTATTTTTAAACAATATTGAGAACAAAAGGAAGGTGTAGACCAATCAATTAAGTTAACATTTAAAATTGTATGAAATTTGTAAACGATATTTTTGTAATGCCCGTTTTTTTTTTAGTGATTACTGTAATTTCCACGTTGGCTTAATTTGCGATTATTTCGGCAAACGCTTGTTATGGTTCCGCTCACGAAATTATGAAAAAAAAAGGTATGAAAACAAACTCAAGTGAAAATTGTTTTTGTTTTTTTTACATACAGATGTACATTATACTTTTCGCGGCTTTGTGGCGAAGGTCAAAAGCTTCAGTTTGAGTTCCACATGGGCAACATAATAACTAACAATAAACAGCCGCCAAAAAATATCATAAAACAATGCAAATGATAAAACATGGCGAAAACACTTGAGCAGATAATTGAAAAACCCGCCAAAATACCTGCACCTATATTTTGTTATTGCTTTTCGTTTTGTGTTGGTGGTTTTATTATATACATTTTTTTTTTTGGCAAGAATGAAGGCTATTCTGGTCTAACCTTCCAGATAAACAGATAATGACAGATGACAACCACTGACACACAAACACACCCGCACTATCTGCAAATTTATGATCATAATTAACATGACGATGACTTTCAGCCCATGTGTTGGGCAGGTTTTAATGCTCGTGATTTAAATAAATAACCCAACTATGTACAAATAAAATGCGAATAAGCACGCAACATCTCCCTACGCACACACACCCAGCAATACATATGTTGAAAATTATATATAAAACACAAGCGAATACTAATTAGAAACAAAACTTGTTCTAACAATTATAATTTTTGGATATATTTCACATTTTTGTATTCATTTATTCCAAAATACTAGACAAGTGTACAAAAATTAACCTATTGGTGGAGATATCTATGTATATATAGAATATAAATACAAATCTCAATTGAAACATTTATTTTAAAAGGTGTACAAGCATTAAAAAAGTCTAAAAATTATACATTCCAAAACTTAAATCACCCTGACTAGACATTTTCTAGAAACAGCTATATTTCCAAGCTGGAAATATATACCCAAAAGTTTTGGGAATATGCTATTTAATATACCAAGTACCTTTTTTTTTTTTATTTAAGTTTCCATTTGTTTTTGCTGTATAGAACATAAGTAATACAAAAACAGTATCATAATATAAAGATCGGATTTTTCATTTAATTATCTTGAAAATCTCAATTATCATAAATGCCAAAAAGTTCAAAAATTCACGTAGATTTAAAAGTCGTTCAATTCGGTAATCAACATTATAGATAAAAAAGAAAATCAACTTATCAAAAACCGGCAGTTAAAAATGTTAATACTAATCGTTAACCTATAAAGTTCGTTTTGAACACACATAAAATAATATTTATGTTTTTATAATAAAATTGGGTGTGTGCCATTTTTTTGTATTCCCAAAGATATTGTATAAATTGTAAATTGTATTAAACCATGATGCCAGTTTTTTTTTTTTAATTATTTGAATAGCTTAGAACAATATAATTTTGTTATATTTATTTTTCATTACTATGTTGACAATTTAAAAGTAAACAAAGTCCGATAATAATAAAACAATATACGACATTTAAATTTAAGATTGATAAATGTTTACAAATGTTTAAACATCACGTGTAATTACAATTTATAAAACGTGACAGCACAGCTGGAAACCTAATTTGTTGACCATCACTGTACCACCGTATGTATGTATGTATTTATGTACATACAGACGTGGGCCGAGCGACGCACAAGGTGTCACCGAAGGTGGCAACGCGCAGGCGCAGAAGAACTTTAGAGCGAGACGGAGCGCCGCCAATTGCACAAAAAGTGGGTGGAAAAAAGACAAGGTTACAACATAGCACACAGCTGATATCGGTGGTGAGTGGAAGTGGTAGCGAGGGGGGGAAGAATGGGCCTGGACACTGCACATCGTTACTACTTATTATTGTTTTTGTTGTTGTTCTCCGACTGTAAATGAAGCTGCGAAGCAGGCGGTGGAACGATGATGAATGATGAATGATGATGAACGAGGCTTTTAATCATATCAATGCGTCGAATATGTACATATATATATAGAAATTCGTACCAGTTTTTCGTACTGTATTTGGAGAAATGGTTACCGTTGCGCTGCTTCGCTAATTTGTGTTAACACACACAGGCACACATACGCCACAAAAAAAAAAAAAAAGAGCAACCAGACAGCGAAAGAAAGTTTTGTGTGTTTTTCTCTCAATTTTTTTGCTTTCCGTTGATAACTACATACGTATGTATGCACACGTACACACGTAGAGTTAAAACTCTACAAGAAAATATAAATAAAGATGCAAAAACTCACCTGCTCTTCTCCTCTGCTGCTGCTGTTGCTGCTACTGTGAATAAACCGTTATGGGTGCCGCGGGTGGTGGGTGTTGCTGCTGCTGCTTTTTTGTATTTCTTATTTCTCTGCGGCTGTTGCTTAGGTTGTTGTTGCTGCTGCTATTGGTTTCTTACGCGTTTTGGCCTGAACCAGAAATACACGGGAATCCATTAAACTCAAAAATAACTTCAAAAATTTTGTCGACACCACCGAACTTTTTGCTGCTGTAAACGTCACATACACGCACTCACACACAGCTATATATGTAAATACATATACACGGCGACACCTTTCTCGTTAGCTCGCTCCCGTCTACGGGTCGCGGCTTTTCCTTTGATTTTATCAAGCACTTTTTCGATTTCTAGGGGAGTACTAGTACTTCAATCATATTTTTATTTATCGCTCGAAATTGCACTCAAAAAAAATCGTACAGCGATGGAACAACAGAGTGAATTGTTGCAATACGAATGTTTTTTTTTTTTCGTTTTGTCGCTAGAGCTGGGAATCTATCGATGGGGTATCGAGGTATCGATGGTTTGGCGCTATCGCACCGCCATCGATTGCAGCCCTGCACTATCGATAGTTCTCCACCTCTAGTACGAATTTTTGTTTAAATTTATAATATTAAATTTTAGAACAAAAATAATATTCATAGTTCCAGGAATTTTATTTAGTTTACCTATAAAAATACGTATAGAAATTGATATTAATATATTTTACATAATTATTTCTAGTTAATAATATTAATCATATATTTTGCAAAATTATTTTTAGTTTCACTTTAATGCAATGCATTTAAAATCCCCCATAGCTCACAAATCAAACTACCTTTAATTTAAATTTAAAAATTATTAATTATATATATACATTTTTTATTTTTGTAATGTTATATCTTAAACATTTGTTAACATTTTGTCTAAATTTAAGTACACCAGGTACAAACTAAGGCTACAGGTGCGAAAATGTGCAATTTACATAAAGTAGGAGGCACGCAAATAATAGTTTACTGAATATATTTTTTTACAAAGTAAACAATTAATGATTTAAAAATTAATTTTAAAAATTCTAACATAAACCATCTATTATTTGCGGTCTGTGTGCAATTAGTATGAAAATATGATTGTGTTTGGTTTTGCATATACTTATAACGTTATATTCATTAGCTTGCCGCTGACTTGGTCAACTCATGGTCGCATCCTGCTCCATTTTGGGGGTCCACTCGAACTCCATCTCCTTCCATTCGGGTTCGTCCTCCTGTTGCCACTCATCTTGTTCTCTCTCCTGCTTATTCTCAGATTTATCAGCCATATCTGGCTCTGTCTCGCTTGACTGGCTTTTCTGATCCTTCTTCTGTGTCTGTGTCTTTTTCCTTTTGTGCAGCTCCTGCTCTTCTTGGTGCTGCTGCTCCAGCTCTGCTTCCTGCTCCCTCAGCCACTCCTGCGTCTTCCTGCAGCGTCGGTGTCGCCGCAAATGAACCTCTAGATTCTGGCATTGGCTGCAAGCAAAAGATCTGGGCCAGAGTTTGGGATCACTACCCTCACCAGCTTCTTCTTCGTCTTCTTCATCATCATCATCCTCCTCCTCTCCCTCTCCCCCGTCTTCTTCGGCAGCATGTAGACGCTCCTCGTGGCGTAACTGTGAGGCATGGGTACCAAAGCGCTTCTTGCAATGACCGCACTGAAAGCGTCGCTGACCCTCGTGGACGACCCTGACATGGCGACTAATGGCGCTTTTGTGACGAAACAGCTGCGGGCACTGTTCGCACTTGAAGCGCTCCCAGGTGGGATTATGGGTGCGCAAATGGGTTAGTAACTCCGTTCTGGTCACCTTTGCCACGCCACAATGCTCGCATACGTGCTCCTTGCGCTGTGCATGGCGTTTTAAGTGCTCACCCAAGGCATTCTTGGTGCTATACTGGCGGTTGCATACCTCACACATGAGCTCCCGCAGCTCCTGGAGCTGCTGCTGATGCATCTGGGGGTGGGGATGGGGATGGGCATTTCGCATGTGGGAACGGAGCTGCTCGTAACGGGTGAAGCACTTGTCGCAGTTGCGACAAAGGAACGGTTTCGTGTAACCCTGATGTACGCTACGGATATGCGCCTCCAAATAGGGCAGCTTGTACACATGCTTGCCGCACTGGTCACAGGCCAGGCCGGCACGTTTTTTGTTTGGCGAGGAGGCGTGATTCTGATTCAGACGCTGCTCCTGCTCCTGCTCCTGGTCCTGTTCCTGCTCATTTTCCTTCTGCTGCGCCTGCTGCACCTCCTCCAGTAGCTCTTGCTCTTTGTCTGTATCTGCCTGTTGCCCCACCAGCTTTCCTAGCCTTTCCAGTTCCTGTTGCATTTCCATACCCTGGGACTCATCTTGCCCTTGGTCCAGTGGCTCCTCCTTCACCTGCGGAAACCCTAAGAGAGTATTAAACCCTGGCTAACCAGGCGCATAACAATCATATATAACCCACCCTCTCGGCTGGCAATTCCACAGTATGGGGATTGGGATCGGGATCTTTCGTTCCGATCAAGGAACCAGCTAGCTTTTCACTGGTCTCCCTGGCCACCTGACCGAGTTCCTCGAGTAGGGCCATCGCGTTGTGGCACAGATTGCAGATTTGCGTTGGAAATCCGTGCGGCTGCTGCAGGACATCGATGTCGAGGAACTTCTTTAGCAGCTGAATCAGGCGGGGATTCGGGCACTGCGGATCCCTCAACTGGCGCAGGCAGATCCTGCATAGCCTGGCCAAGTCGGAGGCGGTGAACATTTTGCTGGGATCTGAAGCAAACGCCCGAAAAGTTCTGAAGAATCTCGAGATCTTGTTTCCAAGTTTCGTGGTAACCAGGGTGTGGATCAGTGTGACCGCCGCGCGACCTTTAAAAAATACCACAGTCTAGTCAATCGAAAACTTGCACCTGAAATCACCTGTTGCTCAAAGGCACAGTTTTCTCTTCAATTTAGCAATTTAAAATTTTGACATGTAAAAACTCTGTAGCCAAACTGAATTTTCATTCATTTAGCCGTTATTTTCCACTACCGTGGGATCACTAAATTACTACTATATCGAAATTGCAGTTTGCAAGTCACGTGTATTTTTCCTGAGTAATATAAAAAAAAACTATGTGTTTACTCTTAATTTCCTAAATATGCAAGGGATATATCGGCGACATTTTCAATTAATTAATCAATTGCTCCATTCAATTTCGTTTTATTCCCAGTGACAACACACCACAAACCGTGACTTGTGACTTTGTAGTGCGACCATGTGCCGAGTCCGCATTTTTTGGTATTTCTATCTTCGCCGAGGCTGCCACACGGGCGCACGAAATTCAGCACAAGTAATCTTGTTATTTTATTAAATAATCCGCCCGGACGCGATCGGTTTCTGAGCTGGACCCCATTGTACCGAGACCCCAGAGTAGCAAATAACAGCGCAGAGATGTCTCTTAATCTACAGTACGAGGAGATTGGCAAGGGATTTGTACAGCAATATTATTCGATATTCGATGACCCGGCGAATCGTGCGAACGTGGTGAACTTCTACAGCGTGAGTGTTGTTGTTGCTCTTGCCTTATTTAATTCGTTTCTCTTTTTTTTTTTTGTTTGTTAATAATTTGCTAGAGTTAGGGCTCCTCTACCCACCCCCTCCTCCGCTCTACCGCTGCATCCCAAATCCATCTGTTGCTGTCTTGCTCGCTCTTGCAGTGCTCAGGTGACGCGCGACGCGCCCTTGAAAAATTCCGCCTTCCGAAAGAAGGAAGCAGCAGCAATGGCAAAAAGAGCGCGCAAAAAATAACAAGAGGAGCTGGCCTGCGGTGGCCAGAATGTGCAGCTGTTGATAAACGAGAAGTCGGTGCAGATAAGCGGGGGAGCGGAGGTGCGGAGGAGCAGGCTGTGCGGGAGCGTTTATATTCTCGAAGTTTCGAGTGACACATACCGCCCATACCACAAGCATTGTGATGTACATATATGCATATATATACATTCATACATACATATGTAGACATAATTTCCAAACATATGAATGTACCTAAAAAAAACGTTATACAAAAACAGAAGATCGTGAAATTGTACCAAAAACTAGAAAGTCTATCGATCTTACAGATCAAATTGTGTTAAATAGAAAAGTATTTGCAAGACCAAACAAAAAAACCTGGCAAATCTTATTAATAAATAATTAAAATAGGTAACCCCACAGACTTCCTCTAGTACCAGTTTTAAATATTCTAAAAAACTCAAGAGTTATAGTTAAAGATTGTTAAATGCGATCTATTGAGAGCTGTAGATAGCTTTATAAATGACAATCTCCTGTTGGGAAAGTTTATATTTTGTAAAATATAAAATAGTTAGATTGTAACTTCTTTATTCTTTTATTTTTTAATATAATCAAATTATTATTTAATTTCCCCATTTAATGAAATATTTCATATTTTTCTTTTCAGGCCACCGATTCCTTCATGACCTTTGAAGGCCATCAAATACAGGGAGCACCCAAGATCCTTGAAAAAGTTCAGGTTAGTGAAGAATATATAATTAATTATATTTGTATTACATTCTTACCTATTCCGTATTTTATACATTACAGAGCCTGAGCTTTCAGAAGATCAACCGTGTAATAACCACTGTGGATTCGCAGCCAACCTTCGACGGCGGTGTGATTATAAACGTCCTTGGACGACTGCAGGTAAGCAGATTGCTCATATTAATATAATTTAAATTAAAAATAAAAAAAATAAGAATATATTGCCCAAGTCCCCTGCTAAATTTGCCCTCAGTCTACAGTCGTTAAGGGATATATATGACAAAATGTCTCTTAATAACTGACTGTGTTGTGTACAGTAACGGTCAGGATAATAGCACGCACGGTCTATTTAGATTGTAGATAATTTATTAACAGTTTTCTTTGTATACATAATCACACTGCAGTTTTTAATATATATATATATTTTTTTAGCAAATGCTTAAAAATTGTTTGCATTTCTTATTTAAAACCTTGCAATTATTTTCCAAAATTTTCTTAAGATAAAACATACTAAAAATATAATTGAACAAATACTTTTAATAAAGTCTTTTCTAAAACAGATATCTCCAAGTATACTAGCCTATTTGTTTACTTTTGTAAAGTTTAAATCCCGTAGAACTTTCACAAATATTATATTTAAATAATCCTCGTAATATAGTTCTTAGAATAGATATTTTACCATATTTTTAGTAATCTGAAAATATCATAAAATGTTTAAAAATATAATAACCCTTGCATACAGTAAAAATTACTTAAAATTTTGGTCTGGTTTAGAGCTTAGAAAATTGTTTTTTAGGGAAAAAATTATTTATTCTGAGTTACAGTATTCGATTATTAATTTTACTCTAAAGAGATGAATTTATATTTAACTATATTTTATACATTTTGAAAACAAAAAATTAAACCATGATCGATCGAAATCAAAAAACCTATATATACAATTTTGCCTCGAATATCGATATAGTATTGATATTTTCTGCCACCTCGGAACGATTATTAATCGATGATTCATTTTACTCTTAAGAGATGCATTTATATTGAAGTATATTTGATACATTTTGAAATTAAAACAAATTTATGATCGATCGAAATCAAAAAACCTTTATATCCAATGCCTCGAATATCTTACACAGTGTTGATATTTTCTGCCACATCTAATTAATTCAACTTACCTAGAAAAATCATTTCCAACGTTTAAAAACCGATAAATAGGCTTTGGTATCCAATTGCCGTGGGCAGTGCTATTACCCTACCACAAAACTGGATCGAATGTCTCGAACTCCACCTACATATATAGTATATCGTATTTCGTATATCTGGTTAACATCTGGTTATGTTTGTGATACGATGCAGACCGATGATGATCAGCCGCATGCCTACATTCAGACCTTCGTCCTGAAGTCAGTCAGCGGTACTTTCTTTGTGCAGCACGATATCTTTCGACTATCGTTGCACGATGTGTAGCCCAGCCTATGGTATGGCACGCCCAGTCTCCAGACACCAGCGGCAGGCCAAGTAATATATAAAAGTCAGAAACGAAAACCGAAAGCAAAGTCAAGACCCAAAAAAGCAGCCAAATGATCAGCAAAACCAGCAGAAGCTAAAACTAATCGATTATAAAGTCAAAAGTTTAAGAATCCTTCTTGCCGTGTCGTCGTCTTCTACCTACTTCTTCTCAATTGTCCTCACAGTACGTGAAGTTCAAACGGCAATTTAACCACAAAAAAAAAAAAAAACAAATTGTTACTTACGCATATCATTTTTTGCATGGTTTTTTTAATTGTTAATTTTGTGTTGTGCTAAGAACGAATTAACAACTTGCAAATTGGTCGCTGGGAAACTTACATTTTCACATTCACATATCAAGATTAATTTCCAGTTGTACATTTAATATATTGTATTTATTCTTTCGAAGATATATCTGATCTATAATATAAGTCTATTTTCATTGGCCAATGGCTGTATTCTATATCTTTTTGATAAAATAAAATATTAAAATTATTTTAAAGCGATAGTTGTTTAAAAAACCAATGAAAAGTAGTACTTCTCTCACAGTTCTTTCATTTTGATGATCGTATAAACCCAATATAAATAATTAAAACATTATCAATTAATCTAAAAAGGTTTTTCTAAACTATTTTCAATTTATGTTGTAAAGATTATTTTTAAACTTGTTTTTATAATTAATAAAAGCTTTCCCCTTAGGGATATATCATTTCTGGGACTTGTTTTAGCAGACAAACCCTCGGGCTGTAATATTAACAGTAGTTTACTATTTTAATTACATTTTGGTAAACTTGATTCATCATGATTAATCATGAATTATTTGCAATAATTTCCATTAATTGCTTTAGAATCAGAATCCTCTCTTCAATACTTACTTTCATAGTATTAAAATTTTATTTCTTATATATATATTAGATAAATATATTAGTAAAGCGACCATAAAATAAGCTGCACTCACCAAACACACACACACAACTTACAGCAACTTACTTATGTGTGTTTCCCTTCCCTTTTCTCTAAATACAAAAATCAAAATTGGTTACTTTTCGCACGCTTGTTAAACGATTATATAAATAAAAAATAGAATTAATTAAATTATTAATTAATAACTTAATTTTTATTTAATATTTTCAAGTGCGACGATGACCCACCACATGCCTTCTCCCAGTTGTTCGTGCTGAAGGCCAATGCCGGCACCTTCTTCGTGGCGCACGACATCTTCCGACTCAACATCCACAATTCTGCCTAAGGAAGCACACACCACACACTCTGCTGAACAAAAAATATATATGATATATCCACACTACACACACTGCAACACTCAAACCCACATCCAAAGATGGAGCAAATGACGAAGCTGCAACAACTGGCTTCCAGGCGACTCAATGAGCAGAAAGTGTTCTCACGTTTATCAACAGTGGACAAACTAAACAAAAAAAAAAAAAAAAACTAAACAAAAAAAAGAAACAAACAAAACACACACAATAAACAAAAATTAAATGCTAACTATTATTACGATGTAAACAAAATGAGCGACGAGCTCGCGATTTACCTTTATTTGTTTGTTTTCTCTTACCCCAGTTTGTGTCGTCCCCCTGGTACTCTCTGGACTTGTGGGGATCTCGACTACTCATTTAGCTAGAATTATGAAATTTTGGAATGGAATGTGTGGTATGTTTATGTGCTCGAGTTTTAGCGAAAAATAATGTGTTTCGTTATGTTTTTGTATTTTTTTCTGCACACATCAAAATACATTATCTTAATTCAACGAAATTCAAGTTTATCTTTTTTCCTTTGCGGTCTTAGAATGGTAAACAAAGGTATTTAAATATATTTCAACCCTTTTCTCTACATAAAATTACTGAAAGATTGATGTGAGAATTAATTTTTATTGATACAAAAAAAAAAAAAAAAAAAAGGATATGCTTAAATATATAAATATATTAACGTTAAACAGCTGTTGTATGTGGTTTTCCAAATAATAAATAGAAGATTAGACTTACAACTATTAAATGCATTAAAAGAAGCTCTCCCTCAAGTAGTTATTCCAAACTTGAAAATTATAGCTTTAGGGATATTGGAGATGGGATTTTTGTTTTTTGAATGATAAATGATTAGGCCGGTTTCCTTCTTCCTTGACTCTCTTGATCTCTCACTTGTCGCGAAATGTAAAGACGGCATCGAATCCAAAGAGTACACCATTCACGATGGATAGCGAGGCCTTGATTAACGCCAAGTCCCGGGTCCGGGTTCTGAACGAAAACTCCCAGGCTTCGATGATGAACACACCGCTGGCCACAAAAAGAGTGCAGCCCAGGACACTGAAGAAAATATCGATGCGCTTGTGTATGGGCGCACGCATTAAGACGCCTGGAATTTAGAGATAATATCGATATGTACATTAGGTATTCTACTGGGAATGTACTGTACTTTAAACTGTTTTGGAAAAAGTATTTTTATAATTTTTTTTTAAAACGTATTAAACAGCGATATAATAAATGGATGTTGGATATTTAACAAAACATAACAAATGTGTCATAATTCAGAATAAAAAAACTTGACTTAAACATCCAAAGGTTTTAAATCAATTTTAAAGTTGCCAAAAAGTATGCAGCAAAAATTATTTTGTAAATTTGTCATTCATGTTTAATTTAATTGGTTTGGTCTACATATATAATAATATATTGTTATTTATATATTTTTGTAATTCTCAAAGCACTCTCTTATTAGGACTCACCCGCAAATACTCCAATCACAACTATGATATAACCCGTAAAGGTGCCTGTGGCCAGAAACGATGTCATTATATCCCGATCATTAAAGCTATAGAAATGTAGCACTAAACAAGCTACAGCAAAGCCCTAGAGGAGAAAGATATTTAAAGCGTATAAATATTATAAAAATCTTAAGAGTTTAAAAAATTTAAAAATTATAAAATTAGGAAAGAAAGAAAGACAAATTTCTAAAACTATAAACTTCGCTTTAGGTATATAGTAGGACTTTAATCTATACATAAAAACCATTAAGATATATTTGTATATTTTCCTAGATTTTTATAAAACCTTAAAAAATCGATTTAACGATAAAATAACTACCTGAAGTGCTACAAGTTGAAGTTTTAAACGTGGGTTTTAAACTTATTTACAAAGAGACATTAAGAAATATAACCCTATTAAAGTCTCTTTTACCTCCTGGAAAATCTTAGAATTCAATGTCTGAAAAGACTTTTTTAGAGTATCATTCAAATCCTCAATCTTTTGTACATATCTTCATTTTTTCACTAAAAATTCAATCACTAAAAAAATATATATATATTATTTAGAACTACGCTTTACCAACTCCAGGAACTTGACCACATTGAGGCGACCTTTTCGTTCGCCGTGAGACATTTTGTGAAACTGCTGCCGCTGCTGACAATCCTCAAAAATGTTGTCCAGTTTTAAAGTTTTTGTAACCCCAAAAAAAAATATATATTGAACGATTCTACGAATAATTTCCGATATTATGGGATTGAAACGTGCACACGGCGACAGCGCAAGATAAACTGATTCGAATGAACGATGCCGCCAGATGGATGTGGGATATGGAATGATGGATGCCATGCAAATTCTGCAGTCTGCAGCGCAGCAGCAGCAGCTACTGAAATTAATTAATTACACTTAGGAAATAGGCTTTTCATTTTTCCATCTCTGTTTATGGGCTCTCCTCGCATCTGTTGTTTGGGACCGCCCGCCGCCTCGGATTCTCCCATTCGGAATTTCAGTATCTGAGTCTGAATTGTTCCTCTGTAAACTGCACTTGAGGCCCAGGCCCCATCCCTTGCAGCATGATTGAGTGGCGGCGGTCCCAGGGCCCGTCCCCGGGTCCCCTGTGGCATCATTGTGATTGCATTTAGCCCCCAGAAGGTTGTGTCCAAGATCGGTGGAAATGGGGCCAGCGGGTTAAGTCGCTAATTTCTAGTTAGCAACAAAAGGGTACAAATAATGAAAAATAGATCGGAATCATTGGGGGAAAATCATTTCATTAAATCAGGGTCGGTCATCAAGTAAAAACAAATTAAGTTAAATTAAATTAAGTGACTCCTATTCAATTTTTCAGTTTAATGGGGGATTTACGAATGTGTCTTATCAGTTTAAGGCACCTGCTGATATGATACAACCATATATGTATGTACGTATATTTGTACATCAATCTATACTTAGCCCTCTTATCGCGTGACCTGTGCGATTAATCCATAGTTTCATTTCTTACTATTTATACTAGATTTTCATTTTGGTTTACAAAGTTTGCTAGTGCAAAGAGTGAATAGATTTCTAGAACGAAATCGTATTGAAAGCTTTGCAAAGTACTTTGTTTTTGCAATTTGACTGTAATTACCGGCAATTTGTTTGCTTTTATGGATCCATTTAATGTAAATCATCAGCTCTTAACAACAACAACAACATAGAAACAAGTAAGAGAGCTATAATCGAGTGCACTCGACTGACACCCAAAGCTTAGTGTGTTAAAAGACTAAACTCTATTATATATACCCTTTTTCTTAATATTTTTTACTTGAGTTAAAAGGTTATCCGGCAGTAAAGAAGTCATTTTCGATCCCAAAAATTAAACATATTCTTAACATCAACAGCAGACTAGATCTAGCCATGTCCTTTTGAATGAAACTTTGCAGATTTACTATATATGTACATATAAGTCGAAACGTTTAAAATGTAGTTTTTAGACAAAACCGATGGACCATTAAACTGTAAGGGTAAACAAACATCGATTTCCGCATGTTAGTTTTTTTTTTTCTTGATTACAATAATTTTTTTAAACCGGTATAAAATGTAAAGTCAGCCCAGAAATGCAGAAAATATATTTACAGAACTTTCAAAAATTGCCTTGGGGTCTAGAAAACACTCTAGGAAATTAAAAAAATATTTCCAAAATCTGTAGATTCCCTTTTGAATACCTTAAAAATTTCAATTTTTTAAATATTGAAATTTTTATTAAATACATTTGAGTTTATATTTTAACCTTTGTAAAACTTTCTCTTCGTCACCTATGTATTTTGCTATGTTGTGAATGCCAAAAAGTTTTGAATTTGCAAAATTTACTTGAATATAATAGAATTTTAATATTATTATGACATTTTTTGTAGTGTATTATGTCTAATAAGTTTCACCGGTATTTATTCTATTGCCGATTACAACCTTTTCGCAGTACAGAAGTGCACTTGTAGCTCTCAAAATGCTAGATATCGGGTTGATTTCCTTTGAAAATCAGGTGTTCCGTACCTACTTGGGATGGACCGCTATATTGGTGCTAAAAATCTTTGCTGCAGGCATTTATACGGGTCTGATGCGCTTTATTACGGCCGTAAGTTATCTTTCAACTATTGATACGTTTTTTTAAGTATCTACAAAGTAGATTCTACATGTATATAATTATTTACATGAAATCTACAGATAAACGGCGTTACCATGTATGATTTCTAAATACGTTCACGGTTAGTCAAATATGAACCCAAGCTATGACTTAAAAAATTAATTTAATGGGGCTTAACAAAATTTCCATAACTTGTTAAGAATTTATTAAACAGCATTTTTAGGGTTTTTAAGTATTTATTTTTAATATTTTATAGAATTCATATCTGTTGCAGAAAATACATATACTATTAGTTTGGGCAATTCGCTGCCTCAGAATGACTTGACACTTTTCCAGCATGAGTTAGAGGGAGAGAGAAATAGAGAGAATCCCAACGTGAGAGCAGTTGATATGCCGGCAATATCGCAAGAGCGAGGCTGAGAGAGCCTCCAGAGGGTGTGCGGTATATAAAAAGAGAGCAGACGCTGGCAAAGCTCACTAGTTTTTTTCACTTCCACGATTGAAAAACTGAAAAAACACCGGGAGACCGAAGAAATTTAATAGATCCTACGTAAAACAACAGCTAAAATGGCCAGCCCCGTGGAACTACTCAGCCTCACAAATCCCGTCTTCAAAAGCTTCGTTTTCTGGGTAGGAGTGCTGGTGATCAAAATGCTGCTCATGAGCCTGCTGACCGCTGTCCAGCGTTTCAAGACAAAGGTGAGAAGGAGGAGGAGGAGAGGGCAAGAGCGAGTACAGTGGGGTCAAAGTCTCAAATACCTCGACTAATTCGACAAAAACTAGTTGATGAACTTTGGGGTTAAGCACTTAGCCAAATAGTCTAGTTAAACTGACTCAATTCTTCCTCGTTGTGGTGAAAGTGCCATTTATATTTATTAATGGGATATTATGTAATTTAATCTTATGTTAATATACATATGTATGTATAATGTTTAATATTCAAAACCATTATATATACCTGCCATTCAATATACCTGCTTTTATTTTGGACTGTACATTTTTGCTAATGATTAAAATTTGCAAATGTCACATCTGTTTAAAAAGTATGCCAGTGAAATTGGGCTATTAAAATATGTACATATATGTATGTATAAACCTGTTTTCAGAGTTAGTTATAGTTATAGAAAACTTTGATTTGCAGAGTTTAATATTGTTATCTTTATCAGCCAGTTTTGGTGATTTAGGTACAAGGGAACTTCAAGCTATTTAAGGTAACATATCAGTTATCACCATGACATTTCAAATATCAACTTCAAATATACAACATTAATTCAATTTCATATAATTTGTAATATAGGTTGAACAGCAATTAATTTATAATTTAATTAATTTAACTGCTTTTACAAATTTCACATTATAAAAAATTAAGGTTTTGAATTATAATTCTTATTATACATTCTCTTACCATTTAAATAAATAAAATAAAAATATATTTTATTTTAAATCGCTTTCTCTTCACTTTTCAGACCTTTGCCAACCCTGAGGATCTTATGTCCCCCAAGCTGAAGGTCAAGTTCGATGATCCTAATGTAGAGCGTGTGCGTCGGGCCCACCGCAACGATCTGGAGAACATTCTTCCCTTCTTCGCCATCGGTCTTCTGTACGTGCTGACAAATCCCTCCGCCTGGCTGGCCATCAACCTTTTCCGCGCCGTGGGTATCTCCCGCATTGTGCACACCTTGGTGTACGCCGTGGTCGTTGTTCCCCAGCCATCCCGTGCACTTGCCTTCTTTGTGGCTCTGGGTGCCACCGTCTACATGGCTCTCCAGGTCGTACTGTCGGCTGCTTTCTAAATAAGAAAAATAGTATAGTCCTTAAAATTCCAGAATAATTTCAATTTGTTTATATAATTTTGAAAATATAAAAGGCTTTGGCTCTTGTTCAGTAAGATCATTGGCTGATGTGAGTTTTATTTATAAAATAAATGTAAAGTCGACTCAAATTGTAACAATTAACAAAAATATTTAGAGTCAGCCTTCAGAGTTCCCACCACCCGTTGCCTTATCCTTGTCGGCTACCTTTGGTTGCTTATCCAGAATATCTGTAATGTCCCCAGCCAGCTGAGTGAAGAGTTTGGAGTAGTCGCTGTCGGGATGCTTGATGACCACCGGAACACCAGTCTCACAGCACTCGGCTATGTGCGGGTCGAGGGGTAGGGAGATGAGCTTACGCGGCAGTGCCTCTTGGGAGCGGGCACAAGTGCTGTCCTTGAAAAACTCCATGCGCTGACTGCAGTTCTCGCAGATGGAGTACCGCATATTCTCCACCAGACCAAAGATGGGTACGCCCAGCTTCTCGTACATTTTGGCACCGCGGACGGTCACCTGGACGGCTGCCGTGTGCGGTGTACTAACCAAGATGACGCCCGTGATGGGTGCATGCTGGGACAGCGACAGATGGACATCGCCCGTGCCCGGCGGTGTGTCCACAACGAGAACATCCAGCGGTCCCCATTCGGCGCCCTTTAAAAGCCGCTGAACGGCGGACATTACCAATGGGCCGCGCCAAATGATGGAGCCATCCGGTGGCGTAAGCATGCCCATCGACAGGCACTTGACATTGTAGTTCTGCGGCGGAATCATCAGGTTGTTTCGATCGTTCACCAGCGGCTCGCTGTGCACATTCATCAGCAGCGGTATGCTGGGGCCAAAGATATCCGCGTCCAACAGGCCCACCCGCTTGCCCAGTCTGGCCAGGCTGCAGGCGAAGTTTGCGGCGACGGTGCTCTTTCCCACGCCGCCCTTACCGGAGGCCACCACAATGATGTCCTGGACGCCGCTAATGGGCTCTCTTTTGGGCAATCCGCGCGCCATCAGTGCCGCCTGGTGATCGCTTAGTTTCGTTCCATAGAAACGCCGCAACAAGCGGCTGACGCGAACCAAAGGATGCAGCATGGCTGCGTGCTAATAACTATTAGAAATCAATAATAAATAGATCTTAAGGCTCTTATAAAAGATGTAAACAAAAACAAAGCTGTGTACAAGGAAGTGTGACCGTTTGTTAAATAACCACATCTGTTGGTGGCTAAAGCATTTTGAGTTAGCATTTAATATTGCAAAAGCTCTCATTGTCCTTGTTTTCTTTAGTTATTCTTTGACAAGTTGGTCACTTTTTAACAAAAATATGAAAACTGATCTAAGTAATTACTTAATTTCAAATAAAAAACGGATTTATTTGGTTCGATTTCTGCCTATCGATGTTCTATCATCACTAGCAAAACTCCTGATCCCCTCTTTCTACACTGCAATGTAAAACAGGTGCATCCATTTTAAGCAATATAGAATTTTGTAAATTTTAAAACATTTGAATTTTAAAATATTTTTTATTTTGAAAATTTACATAAAAGAAGCCATGATTTGGGTTTAGGATATATTAGGTTTCTTATATTTTTCAAGTCAACTATAAAACCTAGAAAATGTAACTAAAAAATATAAAATTAATAATACATGGAATATTTTTATATATTATTTTTATTATTTATATTTTTTTATTTTAATTTAAAAATAAATATATTTTTTTCTTTAAAAAAGATTTTACTAAACTTTCCATTTAATCCCACAGTGCAGAGGCAAATCCCAATGTGAGAGAGACCGTTAGAGCGATAACCGGTCCGGCTTTTGCGCTCTCTCCCTCTCTAGCCACACGGAGTGGCTTTAGCCCTGATTTTCTGGCCATAAAAATATAACACAAAAATTCGAAATTAATTCTATAACAATTATTAAATAATTATTTAGAACTAATTATTTTAAGTTAAACAAATATCAATAATTTTCGACAATATGTACTTAATAATAGCTTGAAAACGATCTGTGCCCACTGTGCGCTGCGACTGTCTCTGCCGGCGTTCACAGAGTTGGGCCCCGGCCCCCCAGCGCCGGGGAGCAACGTTGCTTTTACTGTCTGTGGCAGCATCGTGGCTTTTGCTTCTCGCAGTTGTGGCTCCTTCGTGTTCGTTGCTGTTTCGCTTTTAAAAAAACATCACATTTAAGCACTAGTAAGTATTCTTTGAACTGTGGCTAAAAAGATTGATTAAATATTTAAATAGAAAACAACTTCCCAACTAAGTTCCTGTGTCCTTTTGGCCACAAATTGTGGCATTTCCTTGTCTTTTTTTAATGCATTTAAATGCCGACCGGCTCTTTTAACCCTAATAAATACATATGTACATAAGTACATGTGTGAAATAGGAAAGAAAAAACACATGTGCTTTGTCTATTTTTTGTTGTTTTGCGTTTTTTTTTTCGCGGCGCGATGTTTTGCTATTTCGTAGTTTGCTTTGCGAATAGAAATACCTTTGTGTGTGTAAACATCTGCCGTAGAAACGGAAAATAGATAAACAAGAGAGAGAGAGCAGTAAAAAGTCCAGCTAGAATCGCTATGTGCAACTCCAAGTCCTCCTTTTATCCTCTCTCTCTATCCCTCTCTCTTTCTCTTGGTGGAGAAGAAAGGAAGTTAAAGGAGAAGTTAAAAATTATGTGAAAAATATGCGGTTGAGTTAAGAAGAGACAAAAAAATTTTAAGATAGTTTGCTTAAGAATAGAAATAACTTTTGTGTGTGTGTAAACATGTGCCGTAGAAACGAAAGGGGAATAGATAAACAAGAGAGAGAGAGAGAGAGAGCAGTAAAAAGTCCTGGTAGAATCGGACCGTGTAATGTTTCCGACCTATCCAAGTAACCTTATTTATTATACTAAATAAAGGTAACGGATATCAAAATGTGTGTACGTTTATGTTTATATTATAGTCCCTTATTTGAGTGTGCTTAGCAGACCAGCAACTTCAAGCGGCGTGTCCAACGGTATCAATCAGTGCCACCTGGAAACCTTATCTAATATGTATATTCACGCAACTACCGTTTGTTGACCAATTTTTTGAGGGTTCACTTGCCTGATCAATATAAAAGATAAATAAAAAAGTATTTGTTCTAGGATAACAAACAAAATCACTTCACAAAACTTCAATAAAATTTAATCAGGAACTTTGAAATTTCCCCAGAATCTGGTTAATTATATAATCACATTCTTCGCTGATCTCGCCATTTTTGAACTTTCCCCCAATTGGTGTCGATAAGGAAGACCTTGGGATTTATAATAATCAAATAAGCACGTCATACGGCTCTATCAGTTTCTCTCATGGCTACAACCAGAAATAAAAAATATTAAAATATAATATTACAAAAATAAGTTTATAAATACCTTTATCTGAGAATAAAGCAGCTTGTGTTGCTTCCAAGTTGCTAATTGTTTTCCTCTCAAACCACTTTTGCACGTCATCGTTTTAAAAGCATGCTCGACCTTTTCGCTTTCGATCAAATTATAATCAGAGGCAATACGAAAATAACAGCAGCGCAGAATGAGACAACAAAAAATATATATTTCAATTCCGATTCCGATTCATACTTTAATTCCTATTCCAAAATCTGAAGCGATAAGGTCTGAGGTCTAACTGCACCATCTGGCGATTCGAATATTGTGAATAAACACGCAGGTCAGCGCAGATTACAAAACTCAAATGTTTTTCGAGTTATTTTTTTATATTATTCAATTTTCATTAATTTAAATTTTGAAAATATATAAATTTGTGAGAGATAAATCACTAAACTTTGTAGATATTTGCAGGTATTTAAATAACTAGCAACAAATGTGTACTGTTACCAATCCACAAGGCCGCAAATATGTTCGATATATTGATATTTTATCGACATCTAAAGCTAAGAAGAATCGATATTTTAATGTTGCGATATACAAAATCGATATTATTTTGGATTTATCAGATATTATCGGGAAAAATGATATTTCTTAAACTTATTGATAACAATGTTAGTTAAACTTAAAATGTTATATTTTCCATTATTAAAAATATTGATATATCAACGTTTACTATATATTTTCTGTGCAATTTATCATCTATCTCTTTCAGAAATGCCACAGCCGAAACCCTACGAAAGGCCCGCCGACTTCATCGATCCCGGAAAGCCTTCGAAATGCAAATGGCATTTGGGAACCACCGAGAAGTCGCCCCACACGCAGCGGGGCATTGCGCACCGGCAACAGATCACACCAAACATCCTCGAGGTGATTGGATGCACTCCCTTGGTTAGACTAAATAATATCCCCGCCAGCGAGGGAATCGAGTGTGAGATGTGTAAGTTTAAAATTGTAAGAATAGCGCAAGAGTACTTTATAAAGTTTGTTATTTTCTCTGACAGATGCCAAATGCGAGTTTCTTAATCCCGGTGGATCGGTCAAGGATCGCATTGGCTATCGCATGGTGCAGGATGCCGAGGAAAAGGGTCTCCTCAAGCCAGGATTCACGATTATCGAGCCAACTTCTGGAAACACAGGCATCGGACTGGCTATGGCCTGTGCCGTCAAGGGTTACAAGTGCATCATTGTGATGCCGGAGAAGATGTCCAATGAAAAGGTATCGGCACTGCGTACTCTCGGTGCCAAGATCATTCGTACACCAACGGAGGCTGCCTACGATTCACCCGAGGGCCTGATCTATGTGGCCCAGCAGCTGCAAAGGGAAACGCCCAATTCCATTGTCCTGGATCAGTATCGGAATGCGGGCAATCCTTTGGCACACTATGACGGCACCGCTGCCGAGATCTTGTGGCAGTTGGACAATCAGGTGGATATGATTGTGGTCTCGGCCGGAACGGCGGGCACAATCAGCGGCATTGGCAGGAAAATTAAGGAGCAGGCTCCCAACTGTCAAATTGTGGGCGTGGATCCCTTTGGTTCGGTCCTGGCCCGTCCCAAGGAGCTCAACAAGAGCGACGTGCAATTTTATGAGGTCGAGGGTATTGGCTACGACTTTCCGCCCACCGTCTTCGATGACAGTGTGGTCGATGTGTGGACAAAGATCGGTGATCCCGATTGTTTCCCCATGAGCCGGCGTTTGAATGCCGAGGAGGGTCTCCTGTGCGGCGGATCTAGCGGCGGTGCAATGCACGCTGCCCTCCAGCATGCTCGCAAACTGAAGAAGGGCCAACGTTGCGTGGTCATTCTGCCCGATGGCATTCGCAACTATATGACCAAGTTTGTGTCGGACAACTGGATGGAGGCCCGTGGCTTCAAGGAGTCGGTTAACGAGCATGGCCACTGGTGGTGGAATCTAACTATCCAGAAGCTGCAGCTTCCTGTGCCGCCGGTAATTCTCAAGTCGGATGCTACTGTGGGAGAGGCCGTAGCCCAGATGAAGCAACATCGCGTGGACCAACTGGCCGTGGTGGATAGCGAAGATGGGTAAGGATTATATTGGTTGGAATTGAAACATGTATATATGGGTTCTTATTTCCCGCATAGTTCCATTTTGGGCGTGGTTGGCCAGGAAACGTTAATCACTCAGATCGTGAGCATGAACCGCCAGCCCACGGATCCCGCAATTAAGGCACTTAATAAGCGCGTGATTCGTCTGAATGAATCCGAGATTCTGGGCAAGCTGGCCCGCGTCCTTGAGGTGGATCCCACTGTGTTGATTGTGGGCAAGAACGCCGCCGGCAAGGAGGAGGTCAAGGCACTGGCCAACAAGCTGGACGTGACTGCCTTTATCACAGACGCTGGAAATCAGAGCTCCAAGGCTAATGGTACCACCACAAATGGCAGTGGCCACTAAAACGCTAATTGAATTAGCTTTATGGAGTTGGTACCCATTCTCGAAATCAATAATTAACCTACCGACCATAAACTTATAGCCTAATTCCATTTTTTAAAACTATTTTAACATTTTTTAAACTATTTTGGTAATAAGAACATTGAGTGGAAATCAATAGAAAGATTGAAATGTGTTCTAGTGGAATTAGGTTATTTTGCGTAAACAATTTGCATGCATTTTATCTATTTGATAATAAATATCTTATACATACGGAATATTATAGTGTGTTTTTTATGATAGAATTAAGCGTTTTTCTAATTTTATTTATTTATAAATTTAAATTATATCTGAAATGAACTTTAAAACCACCCACAAATTCGAAACAATATCAATGTAATTTGATCAGTTTTTTCATATATATATATATATTTTTCGTTCGATTTGCTTACATTTTGTGTTCTTGTTTCACTTTCCACTTGAGAAATATATTAAAGTAAAAAAAAGTACAAAAACTAAAGGTGTGCTACAAGTAGCCACAATTAATACTCAGTGAGCAAGAGAGATTCCCAAAGGATTCGAAATAGAGATAGAGATAGAGATGAGATGGAGATAGAGAGAGAGAGAGAGAGAGAGAGAGAGAGACAGAGGACTATAATGTACAAACATAGAATGGAGAGAGATAGAAGATCGATGTGACATCGAAAAATCGTAGGTTATCTCCTTCCAGCTCTCAAAGAGATGGCTCGACCCACACAGGAATGTTTGTTCCGACTCCGTAAATCCTTTAGACCCCTCGATTTGGCAGATCCTTGACCTTGTAGATGCGCACCAGCCAATGCTCCGTGGTATAGGCCTCCTCCAGGACATCCAGCTCAAAGTCCTTATTGCCAATTTCCGCAGCACGCACCCGATCATAGCCCTGGGCCTTGCCACCCTCCGTGTACATCTGGCCAAAGCGATAATAGCACATCTTGTACATGAGGCAATTGAGGAGCGTGGGCGAGCCCTCCTTGTCCACACGGAACTCTCCGTTCGCCGCATAATAATCCTTTTCACGAATATGGGCACCGCGATCCGTGCTGCCGCCAATGCGTACCATCCACAGGAACTTGTTGATATCATCGGAGGAGTACCCAGTGAGACCGCCAAAGATAACCAGGACATAATCCACATCCAGTTCGCGCATTATCTCATAGGCCTTCTCCTCCGACGAGGCCATGGCCTGACCCACGCGTGAGATATGCGTATTATTCCAAGTATTGTTGTCCACCAATATAGTGCGATTGGCCATGGCTGTTATTTGGTAGCCATAATCCCACCAGGACATGATGCGAGCGTCCTGAGGAAAATAATTACAAGAAATACATAGTTTAGTCACCGAGTTTCTAAAGGAAAGGAATTATTAGTTCATTTCCTTGTCAGCTAGTTTGTTTAGTACTCATTATGTTTCATACTCTTCCTATCAAGAATTTATACAAGTAGTCATCATTTTGGCAAGCCAGATAAGTAAGGATAAACCATGATAAATGGCAATATATACTCACTTCCGGTGTATTCATCTGTAGCCAGTAGTAGGCCTCGCGAAAGTCATCAAAGATGATCCGACCGCCGTCGTGCGATCGAGCGCTCAGCACAATACTAGGCGAGGAGTACGCCTCCGAGGTAACCCACGTGCAGTGCAGGGTATAGACAATAAGCATCAGCGTTATAATGCCCACAAATCCAATGGCCACCTCGCTCTTCACACCGCCCGTCTGTTGTTCCATCTTTTTGTGCTGCCGCTTGCTCTCGACGCCGCCATGCTTTGACGACGAACTGCCTGCATCCACACTCTTGATATATTTGGCCAACAGATGCGATACCGCAATGCCGGACAGGACACACATCACGGGAGCAAGGACCAGCATGAGACGCACCATAACGCCGGCAAAGTATATACTGGTGACACCGTACAAGATAATGAATATATTCGAGTCGGTTAGCTTGGAGAAGCAAAAGTACAGGCCGGCGGGAAAGAGAAACACCAGGATCTGGAAATGATAAATAAAATAATATTTAATACAAGCAAAAATATATCAAAATCAAGTGAATTATAGACCTTGCCTCAGCGATCAAAGTGCAAGGTAATCATTCAAGTGCATTAAGACGCAACACTCATTCGCATCGTTATAAAGTTTTCATCTTCGGGCTGTAAAATTATACTAAGAAAAACAACAAAAGCTTACCTGAAGATCAAAGTAAAAGGATGACCAGGAGGTCGGCTGATGCTCCGACACAGAGGCAATAATTGGAATGTGATTTTTGGCATAGGACGGATCCAGCAGTGAATAAAATCGACCCGTCCAAGGCGATACCTTGCCGGTAATGGTCAGCAGAGTGCCCACAACGAGCACCACAGTGAGTAGGCTGGACATCAGGGTCTTGAAGAGCAGATCAAAGTGCTCTTTGGGTATGCGCGAGCGCAGATAGTCGACAAAGGCGTGAATCTGGCAAAGACCAAAAACTCCCAAGGCCTAAAGAGGGTGAAGGAATTATTAGGAATTAATAATAATAATATTTACAAGTTTTTTGATGGGGTAATAAGAAGAAAAAGCTACTTTTAGTGATCAAATCAGCTTGGTTGTTCGTACTCATTATGTTTCATACTCTTCCTATCAAGAATATAATAAAGTATTCATCATAAAATGATCACTATATGTGATTCCTTCGAAAATGTAAATGAAAAGCTATTTTTTGTTAGCTTACCAGCATATGCTCCGAGCTCTGTATGGGCTGGAATCCCACAAATGAAATCTGCATTGACAGGATCGTACCCACGCAATAGAGCGTGCTATAGGCAATATAAATTCTGTGCGAGAATCTGCCCGTTATCATGAGGGCTACAACGTGCAAGGGTATGAGGTTGATTAGAAACACATAGCCGCCCCACGAAGAGACCATGTAAAAGTAGGCCAATGCCGCCATTGCTGACCAAAAGATGGTGCCCGTCTTCACTGCCTTGATCCACAGATAGTAGGTGAAGAGCATGCAAAAGATGGCGATACCCTCATTGTCATACGATCCAGCCACCGATCGGGAGATGTAGCCAGGAACAATGGAGATGAGAGCGGCGGCCACCAGTCCAGCGCCAGTGCTCTAAAGGGGAGTTAGGAAAACAAGTATAGAATAAAAACCACGTGCGGAAAAATAACCTTAAAAACTCACATGAATCTCCTTGGTAAGGGCATAGGTAACCAGAGTGGTTAGCGAGGAGAAGAAGGGCGCCAGGAAGACGCACACATTCCGTATGTCAATGGTCACATTAAGCAGCCACATGAGGCGGTATAGCGCCGCCGAGGTTACCATCAGTCCGGGATAAATGGTGCCGCCAATGATGCGGCCCAGGGGATACCAGGCGCGGTCATCGAACCAATTGTGGAACTTGTAAAAGCCCTGCTCGGCCAGGAAGCGAGTGGTGCGGTAGTTAAAGTACGGATCGAACTCATGGATAACACTCTCAAATCGCAGTACGGAGAATAGGCGCGTGGCGAATGCTGCAGTTAAAATCGAAAAGACGGAAATTGAGTTTTATTTAATTCTAGTGGTGGCCAATTCGTGTCAATCGGTATATCGATTTCATATTTAGGCGAGTGTTTTCACTACAGAAAGCGACGCTTAGCAAAGACACACACCTGCTGCAGGAAATACCATCTTTAGATGGAAATATCGATACCGAACGCTCACGAATCAGATTGGTTTTTTCTTTAGCTTTTATTTTAATAACAAAAGCAAATATTCTAAATATGACCAATCAACTCACACAGAACAGCCGCCAAAATTAGAATGGCCAGTTTAACTAGGTGCTCCTGCTTCTCCCATGTGAGCAGGCCCCTGGCGACGCCGCCCACGTCAACCGTCATGTCTTTTTTTCTCTCTCGCCTGCCGGCGTTTTCGCCGTTGTTTATTCCAATTCAGAGACACGAAATAGACCGGTCTGTGGTTTTTTAGGTTCTCCGTAAGCCTACTACGATTTATGGATCACTGCACAAGGTGTATTGTTACTATTATTCGAAAAAATTGTTAAAAATAATGCGCGAAAGAACTTGCAAGTCCGTGGCAATTCGAGAGCTGACTTATCGGTATCGAACTATCGCCTCATGGCACAAAACTATCGTCAGCGGGTGACAGCGGCTTTTTTTTTCTATTCTTCCCAAAACATGGTTTTTTATTGAGTCATGCTTTTGTTATTAACATTTCCATCGGCTAACTAATGTTGGGTGACTAACTTAAAACATTTAGGCCGAACCGGCTGTTCTTCCTCTTATTGTTGTCATTGCCAGCTGTTTTTGCGCTCCCTTTTAAAGCTTCGCTCCATCCCTCCCTCTTGCACTCTCTCGATCTCTCTCATTATCCTCTCCCAATTGCCGCTGCTACGGCGTAAATAAGCTTTAAATTAAAATACTTTATTGTATGTATTTATTCTTATATTTTGTTGTGCTATTTGATCCCCTTGTATTATTTGCACGTTTAGAAACTTCTACCGTGTGCGTTTGCGAAAGGAGAGAGAAAGAGAGCCCACGCAGAAGAGAGGAATACTGGGTCTCAATAGTGCTGTCGGAACTGATGGCTAGAAAGTAGCTATCTTAAACGGACTAATGAAAATATTGTTTAAAAAAAACATAACTGCAACTGCCAAAAGACATATTAAAATAATTATTTATTTTACTTTTATTAACGATAGATAATCATCTGCATAAACTGATACCCGTTTGGTTTTCATTAGCCCCCATTTTCCAGCTATTTTCAGCTTTTTTTGCTCCGAAAAAATGACATCACTGGTGAAGAGAGCATTTGAACAAAATTTATATTTAAGCCACCGCAATATACTATCTTTGTTATTTTTCAACCGAGCGCTTGCTACAAGACTTGCGAAAAGAGACAAATATGACAAAAGAAACATTCGTATCCGATTAATTGCCGGGCTAAAATATAAACTAACTTGCTATTGATATTTATCAAAAATACACATTCTGGTTCCCATACACGAGAACACAAAAGAAATCGGATCGCCCTGTCGCAAGCGCGGAACAAATGCAAGTGACTTCTGCTGGTAAATAAAAGTTTGCTTTTCCCATTAAGAAAAACAATAAACTCGAGCGTTAAAGGAATTAAAAACAACGTACAACAACAAAGAGAGGAAAAGTGTGTGTGTGTGTGCATTAGCTTTAAATTGTTCTTGCAATTGAATAGTTAAAATCATTCATTTTTTTCAAGTGTTCGGTGTCATATACATATGTACATATTTACATATACAATACATGGCTCACATGTACATAGGAGACTGGCGGCGAAGGCGTTTGCTGCTCGACTTTTTTTTCAAGTTGCGCCAAAACTAATTTAATAATAACCATTAAAGTTGCATACGTACATATGTATGAGTGAGTGCAAGAACGGTGAAAAATCGAACATCAACGCTCTAAAAAAATGTGGTATACGATGCATGTGTGTGTGCGTGCGGGTGGTGGCAGCGGCGTCGGCAGAGGCAGCGATTGCAGTTGCCAGCACGCATCAAAGAAGTACAAGAAGAAGAAGTAGAAATGGCTGATTGGGGAAGGGAGATATGGAGTTGGTAAAGAGGAAAACAGCAACAAACCCCAGCTCCTGCAGCTGTTTCTCTCCCCCATGTGTGTGTGTGAGTGTGAGAGGGTGTGTGGGTGTTTGCATTTGCATAGCATTTCTGGCATGCAACTTTTCAGTATATGTTTTGTGTGTGCGTGTATATTTATGGAAGCTAGTTTGCCTAAAAGAGCAAAGAAGAGGTGAGATTGGGGCAAAATAAAGTACGTATGTACATACATATATACAATGTATATTTATTCGAGTTTCAAATAGCCGGTTGACAAACTAGCAACAAAAAGCAATTGCAAAATTTGCATCCCATTGAGAGAAATTTTGATTTAAGTACGAAAATTAAAAGCAAACAAAAAATGCTTCCCAGAAATCAAAAGCAGCTGCTGCATTCCAAAAATGTAGTAATAGATTCAAAAATAGATTGAAAATTGAAAAACCTCCCTAAATGGCCGCGTGTGGATTGGCTCTGTTAGTTTCCAAGTGAAGTCTTCTTAGTTTACTTCACTAATTTTTTTGTGAAAATCGTCACGTGTAAGCTTACCAAAATAAAAACAAAACAAAACAAACAGCGAATCGTAATTATTATAAAAAAAAGTTAAATAACTACTGCTATTTGATATCTATTTAAATTTTTAAGCTTTTAGATAAGATACACAACTTATCTTTTTGTGAATTCATTGTAGAATTTCTTGAAAAATTTCCTTCATTATCTAGATAAAAGTTTACTTTGTTTTTCACGAACAGAAAAAGTCCCTGATAAGAAGTCATAGCCAAGGCTTTTTCGGCTCGGTAAACTTTATCGTTAGGATAAACCAATGTAGGGTAAAAGTTTTTACAAGGTAATATTATTTTTTCGGTCAGAGAGCCATTAAAGACTTGACCAAAACCTTTAACAGAAACATACCCTATGTATTGGAATGGTTTTTCTATCCGTTTGTTGTTTACAAATTTACATATTTTTATATTTAATGCTTGGGTTACATATTGAAATTGAACATATACTGCGAAAATAACATGGTTGTCTGGCAATCCATCAATTTTCGATGGATATTCATTTTTCCCAACCCATTTACAAAGTGAATGAGTGATTAAGTAATTTGGTATCTTTTCGCTGTCTTAGTTTTTTTTATTTTGTTTTTTTTTTTTTTGTTTTCAACCCGTTGCCTTGCTTTGGTTGTTTTCCCTTGTTTTTCGAGCATAAGAAAGATATAAAAATTGAATATGGCATATGTTGCTGCCTCTTTATTGTTATTGGTATAATTATTATTTTTTTGTTGCTGCTTTTTGTTTTGTTTACGCGTGGGAAACGGAAATTGGCAAGAAACCGGAGAGAAAAAGTTGCCTCTCCACTTGCTTCACCTTCTAAAACTGCTACAAAGTTATTTTATAATTATTTAGGGAAAGAGCCAATACACTGGGGAACGGCTTAATGTTTGTTTTTTTATTATTATATATGTATACTTTACTATTTTACTATTTTTTCCATTGCAATTAATTTAAATATTATGATAAAAAAAGGTTTTTATAGCTAATTACAGTGTTATTTAATTATATATATATTCTAATTTAACGCTTTAAGCTTTGCTTACCGGGTATTTCATAGTCGTTTACTTTCGTTTTTAAAAGAGCTGTGTTTTTCATTCAATTAATTTCAAGTAATTAAACTATTACGATGCTTACAACTTTATGGCTTGTTGCCAGGGGGACAATTGAGGAAAGGGTGCCTCTATTTTCACTTTTCCCTTTTCTATCGACATTTCGAATTGCCACCGTCATGAACATACATATATGTATACATATGTACATATATGTTCCGCTTCCAATTGGATTACGACCCATGCGACCATAATTTGTCTGCGGGCCAAATACCGATTAGAATCGGCCAAGATAGGGATCGCTGCGGGTTATATTTTATTTACTATTACTACTACTTTGTCGAACTCAAAATACCCTTCTTTTAAATGTTAATATTTAATCTGCGTTATTCTTTGACTTATAACTCTTGTTAAAAGATTTCAATGTAGTTAAAAGATTGCTAGTGTAAAATCCATTCTGTTTAGAAAGTTTTATTAGGATCCTGAACATGCCCCATAGCAAGTCATCTAATTGGAAGGGAAATGCAAACAAATAGGGATATAATATCTTATTGCGATATCTCATTAGATACTTTTACCTCCCACACGATAATTTTACGTTGATTGCGTTTAAGCAAACACCAATCAATCGATGACTTCGATAGAAAATTACCTTGCCACAAAAAAAAAAGGGAAAGAGAAAAGGGGAGAGGCTCTGACCATTAACCACCGCCTTTTTCCCCCATTTCTTTACCTATATATTGTCACTACTGGCCATTGATCCATGCCCCGCTTTTCACCCATTACCCATTGTGGACTCTTCACTCCACCCATTTTCTCTCTCATTTATCAGGTTATTGACATTTTTGCAATAAGAAGTTTAGGTTTTTTAAATATATTCAAGCTACTAAAGTTTTTATAATATATTCCTAAAAGCAATAGTTTTTAGTGCTTTCAATGGGTTAATAAATAGCATAATTAAATAATGACACTTTAAATTTTGCGTCTCTGCTTAAAGGTTTTCATAACTTATACATATTTCCGCTTTAATATTCTGTTTCACTTTATATTTATATATTTTTCATTGTTTTAAAGTTTTTTTTTGTAAATTTTTTTGCGCTTATTTCTCGAGTTGTTCCCATTTTGGTTTTGGTCTTCACTTTTTTTTGGTCTTTTAAGCCAAGTCGCGCTTAGTTGTACATATATTTATTTTGTGCTTGTGTTTGTTTTCTTGTTCGCTGCTGGTGTGGACTTCGTTTTATTTATTGTTGTTGTTGTTTTCTCTTCAAGGCAACAAAACGATGACTTCATCTTCTCTGCCCACAATGTGTGTGCGTGTGGGTGCATTGAAGTTGATTTACCCTTTATCATACATACATATATATATTTTTTAATTGTTTACTAATATTTTATTTTATATTATTTTCTTAATGATAAATTCTTTGTTTCAGTATGTTTTGTTAATTTACCTAAAATTCTTTAAACCGGAGTTTGTGCTTAAAAAAAAAACAGGAAGTTAAATATATTTTGTTTATTTTATATATAATATTAAAATATATAAAATTTATTGATAGTATAAAAAATGTATATCTTTCTTATAACAATCGGAGAAAATTAAATTGAATTTGCATATTTTTGTACACTAAATAAAAACGTAATGAATATATAATTATATTCCAGACAAGTGACAGACTTAACATTAATTTATAACCTTATAATAGATATGCTAAACGTGATAAATTTAATTAACATCTGAATACTATATTTATTTGCTTAAAAAGTATATAAAATATTGTTCTGCAAAACTGGTTTTAAGGGGTCAAAGCTGTTTGTTTTTACTAAAACAAAACTCTACCTTTTGCCAAGAACACAAAAAGATTCGTACCAAGCAAGATATATAGGGTTTAAAGACAGTGTTTAGATTGTGCACTAGAAAAATGATTGATTTTTGGTTTAATTTCATTTTGAATCAAGCTTTAACTTTTAATATTAATTTAATTTTTTTTCCCAATTTTCATACTATGTATTGATTTACTACAACATATATTCGAAGACCTCAAATGTCATTTATACCATGCTTTTGTTTTAATTCCTTTTCTGTCGAGAAAGTGTGGCCTTTGTTTGTTTGCTTGCGTTGCTGATGATGTGTGTCACTTGGCGCTATCATCACTATTATCATCATTGTTGCAGCCAGCATGCTGCCAAAGTGTTGAGTAATCATCATTCCAGCCGACATCACCATCATCATCATCATAGTCAGACTGTCAGTCATCGCTTGGCTGACCGCTTTCAATACACAAAATGCACAGAGGGAAAATACTAGTGATGCCTATTTGATATGGCCATAGTAAAAATTGGTTTTGAGGACTTTATCCAATTTATATGGGGTTTTGGTAATAGAAGAGAAGGATGTGAGACCATAAACTAGTGGGTTCATATAATATGACTATATTTCTTGATTATAGGGACTTTTTATGAGGTATTAGAAATACAAATATCGTTTTAAAACAATATATAATTGTGTGATATAAGCGACATAAAACTTCCAAGAAAGAAACTACCACTAAAATGTGTAAAAAAAATTAAATTTGATTACAAATAAATCAAATTTGATGCCAATTTTTCTTAGTGCATTTGAGACCACGAACTTAGTGACATCAAATTGATTATTTGAATGCCCTTTGTCGTCGTCCCCTCTTGGTGTGTGCGCGTTCCTCTTTCGCGCTATCTGTCCTTCTCGTTGCCTTTGTTTTATTGTCCACAAGTCCAGGCCGGAAATGTTTTGGTTCTGCACACTTCAGACCAACCCCAATATAGAATATACACATATACATATTGGGAACATGCAGCTGTGGTCAAAATAATAGCTATAGCTTTGAATGAAAATATCTTGTGCCATATTTTAGAGCATAGGAACATATTATATTATAGCAATTAAAAAATATAAATAAATACAAAATCTAAAGTAATATATATAATGGTAAACATAAAACAAGAATCTAACTAAATTAGCGTAAAAAATTTTAAAACATAAAATTGTTCTGTTTTTTTTTTTAATTATTATATTTTTCTGTATTTTTTTATTATTTTAATTTTCTAATCTTTTGTTATTATTTATTATTTGTTTTTATTTATTCATGTTCTATTTAATTATATTAACCACAACTGTATTAGCTCTCCCGCACCCAAATTTTTGGAAGCCAGCAAACGAAAACTTTTTGACTTTTCTCACACACATAAGGTGGCTTTATTTTATACATATGTACAATGGATTCATATATTCTCTGAAGAGTTTTGACCAAGTTTTGGTTATTCTGGTGGGATCTTTGTTCTGTGGATTTATTGATGATTTATTAAAAAATTTAATGAATCTGTAGATACAAACTAGAGGTCAGTTGAAGATAGGAATATTATAATATATATTTTTTTTAAATTAGAAAATCACAGAATATATTTGAAAACACTGTAATGATTTTTAACGAGAAAGTTTATACATAAATCGATATATTAACGTTCGATTTATCTCGATATAAATTCGATACTTCAAAATAATATTAATAGAAGGAGATAAATTCATAAAATTTGGATATTTTTCTGTAATATCGATATTTAAAAATTCAATTCGATATTTTATCGTAAAATTCGATCAAAGTTTAAGATATTTGATGCTATTTATTTGTCAATATAAAATATCGAAGTTTTTCTATCAAAATACATTCCTAGACTAGTTCTATTCAAAATGGCACATATATAATTATAAATATGTATATGAATTCTGGGAATTACTGCACAAGCTGAGCAAATTCCCAAAGGTTTGCAGCAATATCGATTATATTATTATTTATTGATTTGCCAAGGCTAAAATTGTCTCACAAAGTAACAATTTGTTATATTTTTGTTTCTCCATCAGCTGCCCAAACGATGCAACAATGTGACATGCGACGGCGATGGCAGCAGCAGCAGCAGCATCATCATCATCATTATTATCGGAGCCGTACTCTATTATTAACTTTTCGAGGAGTCAATGGAGAAACGAAACATCTAGGGAAACAACAAGTGAAACTTTTTAAAGTTTCAAACTAGCGAGGTCTTGCACCAGCTAAAGCTAAGGTGTGCTCCCTTAGTGTTGACATAAACCACTGAGTGGCTGGCTTTCTTATTGTCTCCAAGGTGTGATAACAATTTATTATAAATAATATTAAAGTAATGCGAACATCGGATACAGCCTGCAGCTACAGTTTATACAAGTTAAAAAAATTATTCAAACCATAAATCATTTAAATTATTAATAATTTAAATTAAAAGCTAAAGCGAGGACACCAACCAATTGGATAACGAGAGATCAATATTGTTGGATTTTTACCAAAACAACCCGAAGACAACATATAAGGAGAGTGACAGACTGAAACTAAGAAGGGGAAGGCAGGCAGGAGTGCAAGGAGCAGGAGGCGGGAGCAGCAGCAGCACTGGAATGCCCAGCACGGCGGGCAGCAGTGCCGCCGGCGTTGGCATGGGCGCCCTAATCAACAGCGCTGGCAGCAGCGCCAGCAGTAGCGTCATGGGCATCGGCCTGGGCTCTGGATCTGCGGCGGGCGGCGGTACAGCAGGTGGACCTGGTAGCTCAGGAGGATCGGAGGCAGGAGCTGGTTCCCTAATCGCACAGAGCACGGCTGGCACTAGCGCCGCCAGCAGCGGCACTATCACCTGGGACAACAACGGCACCCTGCGCTCCATCAATCCCGGTGATTGGTCCATCGAACAGTGCCTCGGATGGCAACAGCCGCATCATCTATACTTTCAGCTCGGCTGGGCCTTCCTTTTTCTCGCCTTCCTGGCCCCGCACGGTCCCTACGGTTCGCTGTGGATGCGAACTATGCTCCTCATTGGCTGTTTGATGATGGGCATGCATGGTTATCTGGTTGCCTGCACGCCGGATGTGGTCCTCTGGTCAGGAATGGGAATGGCGGTGAATTTTGTCTACCTGGTCGTGGTGCTGTGCCGGCTGAGACCGGTGAGATTCGAGCAGGAAATTGAGGCGGTAAGTAGAAAGCTTAATGCATTTTTGTTATTGAATTTGAAACAGTTTTGGATATGATAAAAAAGATGCTGTCTTTTAATTTTCTTACTCCTTTTGGATATAAACCCTTTTTAAATATCGAAACAAATATCGACTATATTTATACAACTATCAAATTTATCGAGATATATCGATTTTTCCCCCCCAAAATCTATATTCTAGACATAAAGAAAATATTTGACATATGGATCTAAAATTTTATTATTTTGAAGTTGTTTTTGAGAAATATATTTATATTTATATTCCCCTTAATTTATGTTGTTTCTTAATAGTTCTTATAAAATATCGATATATAATATATATATATAATTCTCAATATATCAATATTTTTTGTATAATTATTTTTTAAAAATGACTCATAAATTAATTTAAATTAATTTAAAACCATTCACCAAAATTACCCTCAAGAAAAACAATTATTTAAATTTTTGCGAAAGATTTCGACTTTGCTTTAATATATTTTTTTTTATTGATTTAAGTTGTGTATTTTTATGTGTTTGTTGTTTTTTGTTTTGTTTTCTTTTCATTGACGTTTCTTGTTTTAATTTAAATATATCATAAATACATAGTTTCGATAAATTAATAAATAACAGAAAAAACACGTACTGAATTTGAGTTATATAAAAAAAAACAATATAATTAATTATTAATTAGGCTATTAATTAATTAATCTGTGTAAATTATTGGCTATCGACTATAGACTAAATGTGCTGCTGCGGTTGGCGGTTGAGAGTGGTGGAGTGGGGTGGGAGGCGGGCTGAGTTTATCACAGGAAATCAGATTGGAAAATCGTAGCAGATGATGTAAATATTGAAATGTAATATTTGCTGTGCGAACTTTCGTTGTTTTTTTTGTTTATTTAAATATAATCAATTGTTCAATATTACTATTTTTGAGAAAAGCACTGAACATTGAAATATACGGTTGGTATTGTGATTTATGTGCCATGGTGATGATGATGTTGACCTATTCTATAAGGAATGCCCAGAGAGAAGTCACTTTCCGATTTCAAAAATTGACAAATTAACAATTGATTCCAAAATTCGTATAGAGATGGCTTATTTTCTTGGGCACCCCTGTTCTCAATTAAATTCTTAGCTATCCGCCTAGCTGAGTGCCTTAGCTGAAATGTATTTTCGATGCTAGAAAATACAATTGCAGACACGTTGTCAGCATGACGGTCATATTGCCAATGGCAATGGTCATGTGAATGCGCCGGAATCCCTTGTGTATACGCTGGTAATGTGGACAATCGACAAGATCGCCCTGAACCAAACTGCCAACCTCCTGGCCACTCCCAATCGCATCCTCGATCCTGTACTTCTCGTGCATAAGTTGCAGCATCGGTGGTACCAGATACAGTCGCACCACCACCTCAATGCCGGTGGCCAGTGCATGGGATCCCATTTGGATACCAGCCGCCGTCGTCCATCCGCTCAAAAAGTATTTGGCATACACGACCAGCATTATTAAGCTGAGCATTGCATTGAGGGCGAAGTACCGCGGGAATAGTATCTGCTGGCACTGTCCGAATACGTGACGTGGCAGGGAGAAATATAGCGAGAGACCTGCAAGGAGGATACAATAAATATATAGATTAGTATTCTGTTATAAAAGTAAAGATCGGTAAAGATGTAGTTACAGTTTGCTTGACTATGACTATGATTATGTATTCTGCTTAAAGATTGAGCGTCGCTTTCAAGAGATTTATACTGAAGACTAAAGATGAACAAGATCAAAGATCAGTGTTGATGATCTTTTCAGAGTTTTGTCGAGAGCAGAGAGCTGGCGATTTTCATTTTGCTTTGACTTTTATGACATTAGGAGGAGTTTTTCCAACCTGTAGATTGTCCTTAGACCTGGTCTTATGATGTATGGATTGCCTTTGATGCTTGAAGTTCTTTTGAATGTGATATGGTTGGGTTACTGATCTAAACATGTTACTTTAATATGACTTTTTTATAGACCTACCAGACACAAATGTCATCCAGATCTGCGACCCAAAGTGGGTGGCAAAGGCGCCTAGATAGACCAATGCCGCTGGTATAGTCGATGGTCTTGCTGTTGCAGGTGTTGCTGTTGCTTCTGTTGTTGTTGTTGCTGTTGCTGATGTCACAGTAGTTGTCGTTGGGTCGATGAGATCGCGTCCCACAGTCATCAGCACAAAGGCCAATATGCCAACGGCTATCAAGTGTGCTGGTTGTGTTGTACGCGTCAGAATTCTGTAAGAGAAGAAAATTCGATATGAATTTAAGTAATTTTTTTTTAATAATCAAACATATTTTAGCATATTAAATTGTATTAAACTTTTTAAAATCAGTTTGAATAATAAATAATCTATGATTACGAAATTTCCTTTAAATAGATTTATAATATTTAAGTTTAAAGTCGGATATAATTATCTAAATCCTATAATAATATCACATGATGTACCTGCCTGTATAAATCCTAATTTAATTATAGAGACTTTTTCTATTGTAAAATATTACTCAAGTCTTAAAATAATTAACTTTTGGATAATAAATAATCTCAAGTGACAAGGAAATTGGCTTCAAATATATCATGTATAATATTTAAAGTCAGTTTCCCCATGATATACCCTACTGCCTAAATAAATCTTAACTTTAAAAAATAGCAATGGCAATCTACTCTCAGATGCGTCTATTCCTAGGAAAGTCGACGCAACACAATCTGTGTACAGAGTCTCGAGTGGCTACCATATAATCGGAGTGGAATCGAACTAGATTTATAAACGCAATCGCAGAGCTCAATTGATTCGGTTATACATAGGTCCGATGGTCCAAACTCCAGATAGATATAGTTGTCGTGGGTTATTACGTAGACACGTGGCCCTCGTCGTCGTCTGATTAGATTCGTTGGTGTCGCGCACAGTGGCGGATCCGGAAAATATGTAGATATATCTAAAGGGGGTGTTGAATATACCCCCCCTTGGATGCGCCACTGTATTGTGACGAACTTGTCGTCGGCCGATCGCGAATTTTTCAACCTCTCTTTCTCGTGTCTACGCATTCGTAGCGTCGTCTGTCTGTCTGCCTTCCTTTCGGGTTTTTGCATATCTGTCTGCCACTATTTTTCTATGTTTCTCAATTTTTTTTTATTTCATTTTTTTTTTGCTGCTTGCTTTTTTTGCATTTTGTTTTTTGTCATGCGGCAAATACAAAGCCAAAGTGGCGTACGTGCGAAAACGCATGCAACCAAATATTGTATATATTTCAAGCGTTGCTCCCTCTTAAATGCGGAGACCAGAACTAAAGCCAGAAACTATAGAAAATATACATAGCCACAATTGCACTTTTGCACAGCTTTCGAATTCGGGCGAATCAGCTGGCGACCGTGAACAGCTGGTGAAACTATATATGAAAAAGACTACAGACGGAATAATTTATAAATAAATGAATTTAAAATAATAATTAGTAACGCAGTCATTTACAAATCATAAACTAGTTTCTAAATCCACAATTTTAGCTGCTATATAATCTAGACTAGAGACACTGCACTAATATTTTGGCCTCATTTGTGACCTAAAAACCCTGATAGCTCTTCCCTTTCAAGTGACGTTATGTATGGAACGCTTATAGAACCCGTTTGCACTTTGCACCTGGGTTGGTGATGATTCAGGGCGTCTTTAGGGGAACTCTATTGACTTGCGAGTTTTCGTCACCGCGTTGCGTTGATCACGAGATAACGGACAAGAGGGGGTGAACTTATCGCATGGCGTCAGGCAATTCGGTCAAGGTAAATAAATATGATACCAACATTTTGTGACCGTATTTATAGATATTTATTCCAATTATAATTAGTAATGCTTGCAGTTGTTAAAATCCCTATGAATCACATTTTGTATTTGTTAGGTAAGGTTTTAGGGATATAAAAACCTTAACAAATTATATATGTTATTGCCTACAATTCCAGACTTTAACGTCACATTCTTGAAATACTTTGGAGTAACGTACGTATCGATATCGTGGATATCACGAGTTTTCCGTCCGATGCCAGTTATTATCAATAAAGTGCTAATAATCATATGATGGTGGTGATGGTGATATGATATGATATTAGATTATTTGCTACTCTGATAAAAAAGAAAACCATTCAATCAAGATCTTATAGACTCTATTAATTAACTCACTTCACTCTTTGGCAATACAAGCTGCTAGATCTACCATTTCTCACTTTAATTTTGATCTAATGACTTTGGTTCCTTAACGGTTGACATTCTGCTAGGGACACACGTGCATTAGTTCTAATTTCCACTCTTTCTTTCTTTTTTAGCTGCATTCTTTCTCTTTAATTTCTGTTTGCATAACGGCATTCGCGCCTAGACAACGTGCAAAAAGCAAATACAACAGCCAGACAGAGTCTATAATAAATATACAATAGGGGCGTGTGATCAGCATGTTCCACCGCCGTGACAACAAACTGATAAGCATTTTCTAATATATTCTTAATACCCTCCCTCTTTCATTCATGCCATTTTCTTATGTCACATGACACAAATTAGGGAAATCTTTGCCTCCAATCAATGACCGCAAAAAGTTGATATTATTTATCATTGAATTTTAAAATACAAATAAATTAATAGGATAGAAAAAAATACAACACAAACTATAACGAATTAATCGAATTAATGAGCTTCCTGCCACTCCCCTCACATTTTTGTACAAGCACGTGAGGCGCGTGCCAAAGTCTACACATTGAATGGTAAACGGATATTGCTATATATTATTAATGTACTTAAGTACTTAATGTATTTACAATTTTTTTTTTAAGAAATGAAAATGTTTGTGTGTTATTTGAAATACAAATTCTTTTAAATAAAATTTTTTTAAGGTTGTAAAGTTAAATAACAAATTTCCTCCTATAAAAAAATATTTATATATAGTGTAGATTTGTTTTACATTTTTTTTTCTTTTTTTATATTCAATTCCTTTTATAATTTCAATTGAATTTCTTTAGGTTTTTTTTTTTTACGTTTTTTGAGAAGAAACTTACGCGTATAAACGACTGGCTTGCAACTGGGCCACCAGACAGGTGATCCGCTCGGACACCTGGCGGGTCATTTGGGTGCCTATGGCCAGAGCATCGTCCATTGAGGGCTCCATCGAGCTGAGCTTGCGCTGCTGCTGCGCTTTCAGAGCGGCTGCTGACAGTTCCGTTATCTCGCCGCTCTCCGCTTCCTCTTTCTGTTGCTCTTTCATCATTTGTTCCTGCTGCTGCTGCTGTTGCATTTTACGGTAGTGCGGGCAGAATTTGAGAAGTTCACTGTTTATGTTGCTATTGAAGCTGGCCCTTTTGACGGCTGTCTCAGCGTTGATTTGTTCTTTAAAGGTGACCTCCGAAACGGTAACAGTTTTGGTCACAGGAGCAACATCGGCGCCGCTATCCTCGCTGTCACTGGTTGCGTCGCTGCTGCTACTGCTGCTGCTGCTCAGTTCGAGGTCCTCCAGTAACTGTTGTTGGCTCCTCTGTTGCTGCTGCTGCTGCTGCTGCTGCTCTTCCGCCTCCTTCTTTTGCTGAAGCTTCTTCTCGCGTTTCTTCAGCGTGTACTTGACGCTGCGCACTGCTTTTGAGGGCATACCGCAAGCCATGTACCGTTCGATCTGCTGCTCGTCGTTGTTTTTCTCCATAATAGCCGAATTGTGGCACATCTTTGCATTGATTTCCTTTCTTCCTTCTTTTTGTTTTACTTTTGTTTCCTTTTTTTAGAGAACACACTCTTTCTTTCTTTGTATTGCTCGCACAGCAAAAAAAAAAAAACCAATCGGTGTTAGTGGTGTAACTTTTTTCGGGGTGTTTTAAACTTTGGGCTTTTGGCGTTTTCTTGCGCTTCTTAAATTTTGTATTTTCCGCGTTTTTTTTTTTTTTTTTTTGTTAAAATGGAGACTGGGCTTTGGTTTTGGGGTTTCGGGCTCGGGTTAATAAAGTCTGGGGCTGTTTCTGGGGAGGCCACGACGCGGCGCGCTGAGGTGTGCGAATATTTGAATGGGACGTCGTCGGCGATGCCATTTGGTTTTATATAGCAGCGTTGCGGCGCTGCGGCGCGACGCCAGTTCTTGCGCTTCGCCAACGCCAAAGCTTTGCTTCCGCTCGCGTGCTCGCCTGATCGATCGTTCCTCTCTCGCTTTCACACTCTTTGATCGCTCTCTTTGGCTTTCACGCTGCAGGTTCAATATTTTTGCACTCGGATCAGCTGGTTATCTGTTAAAGCTAAAGGGGGCGGGGTGCACAAAATGGCTCAAGTGCAGGAGTAGCCATTAATTTATTATCTTAAACTGAACAGCATTTTGAATTTCTGGATTTTATCTACATATGTATCTCATACGTTCATTTATATTTCCCAAATTTCCAACTGGAATTAACTTCAGTCTTGCAGAGAGGGAGGCTGTGCCTGCTGCAGGTGTTCTCTTAAACCGTAAGCCCCCAAAGGGAGAGCTTACTTAGTTAAGAGAGCGCGCCTCTGCCAGTTCAGAGCGCCTCAATTAAATCGGGCTGTCACGCTGCAATCGTTTGACATTTTTACCGCCTTATAAGCACCTGACAAATGGGCGCCACATGTGAATAGTTTTCGGACTAACCTTCGGGCGTCCCTTTCTCTCTCACTCTCTCCGTGCCGATCTCCCGGTCTTCCTCTCTCTCTTTCGGAAACTTTCCATCGACACATTTAGTTAGTTTCCTACAAAAAAAATTGCGGGCAGCGAAGAATTTGAATTTCGAAGCAAGCGTAAATTCCTTTGACGTCACAACGCAATCGAGCAATCCCCGATCTTTGGATCTACCAATTCATGTTTTCCAAATGAGTCAACTTGCTAAACTTCGGTGAATACTTTGATTACGACAACTGACGTTGCTTCTGGGAACTGTTCTAATTTCCAATCTATGTGTGGCTTAAAGAAAAAGGTGTTTGGGAAATATCGATTACCCAAAGGCCTAATGTCTCACCTGTGGTATCCCCTAGGGGGTAATAACCCTAAGTGACACTGGAAGACATAGAAAATCACATGACAAAAGAAGTTCAATAGCTAGAATCCAAATTTAAGAAAAGTAAGCTTATTTCTCTGCACTTCCTCTGTCCCATTTAAATTTTGTGACTAAATCTAGACATTTTTAAAGTTAAATAGCTACATACATATATCTAGTAAACGCTATTTAACATGCCATAATTTAAAATTATACCTATTTTTTCACATGTCTTGCAATAATGCAATCCTAGGGTTTGATGAAAGTTCCACTAAACCAAATGAAATCTATTTAAAGAGTCCAAAAGATAAGGATAAGAACGATTGAGTATCAACGTGAATCAGCCACCAAACTCAGTCGTGTTCGTTTTGGATTGCAGGTCAAGGTCCTAGCCAAAAACTGACCACTTTCTTGCATCAGGCCAGAGATCGCCATGCATCACTACCTCCAGAAGTAATGCGCAAAAGAAGGCAAGGCACACGCAATTTCAGACTGGCAAAAAATAGAATAAACAAGCTGATTAGTTTGATTAAAGGTCAGGCCGTAAAGCGAAATTGATTAAGCTATAAGGCTTAATCATGGCCAATCAGTGGACGCACCGGACCCCCAGTATCACAGAGCGAACAGACCCGGGATATACGTTTTATATACGAATATACATATATCCGTTGAGCGATTCTTGAGAGCCACGATGAGTGGCCAAGAAATTGCGATGATCAATGTCACGATGTCTGGCCGCAAATCGGGGGGTCCAAAATCGGAATTAATGCCGACATTTGTATGCACAAAAAGGAAGCGGGAGGCCCCAAAAGCGATCGATGTCGTCTCGATCGGAGAGATCTACGTCCGGCCAAACAAATTGACAACAGAACGCATTGGATTCGAACCGCAATTAGATAATGAGCAGTTTTGTGGGCACAGCCAACAACACCAGGGGAATCGTATATAGAAAGGCACTCTCCATGTATAACTTATCCGATTTGCCGGCACCGAAAATCCTCTTGTTATGTCGCACACGTTCCCCAATCGTCGGCGTCGGCGGCTCCAAAAAAAAAAAAGCAACAAAAACCCTACTAATGAATGAATCTCAAAATCAAATATCTGGAAATGGTAGAGTCAATCGATCAAATGCAACGATCAATAATAAGCAAGGGAATAGTTTTTTCAATAAAAATCTAAAGCAAGAAAGTTACAAAATCAAATACTTCAAGTGATCAGCTGCTCCGATCCATCAATGAAAAATATTACAAAACATATGATTAATTTCAAGATAAAGCACACAATTTTTTAGATATGCTATGTCTATTTTAAACACATACTTTTAATATATCAAGAGTGAATATATGATAATGGTGATCAATAAAGTGTAGTTTCTTACGATATTACAGATACATTTAAAAATAAATAATAAAGAAATGAGATATAAACAAGTATTCAGCAAATATTAGTATAAGAAATCGTAAACTGTTGTTGCCGTAGATTTACTAATTTTCTTTACCTGCAATGTACCAGCAATCGCAAAACGAGTTATTTTCGTTTTACACTTAGAATCACAAAAATATGTGGATAAGTTTCTTTTCGCATGCCTCTGAACCTGCAATGCACAAGCAATAGCAAATGAGAGTTTCTTTTTAAACTCTGAGGGAGAGACGAGGGAGAAAAAGAGACGAAAAATGAGAGTGTTGGACTGTTTTAATTTCATTTTTGTACGGTTTTAAGAGTTTTAAGAGATTTTTTAAATTAGTGCAAATTTGGTGTCGTGTATTTTTAAACCGACAAAAGTCGGTGTGGCGAATTTCAATTTATTTGCCTAAAATGTGGCGGACGTGCCCGGCCGTATTTCGCGTCATATGATTGTGGCTGTGATTTCTTTTGGCACCTTGACGCACCACAGTATTGTTGAGGAGCTCTGATGAAAGACGTCCGCGTGTCCACGTCTGCGTCAGCATCAGGCATCAGTTGTCCATCGTTGTGATGGCTCTCGTCCAACAGATACTTATGATAGGAAAAATATTTTGTACCTCACACGCCCCCTCCCTAGCGGAATCCACCCACGCGCCTTCACTTGATCATTGTCCGAATTCCCCGTGTAATCCCTATGATGGAAAAGCACACACAAAAGCAAACAAAAACGACGGCCCACGTGATAAGGGAAGATATAGACGTCCATTTCACCCAAATGCCTTACCCCCATTCTTGAGCATGAGTCATATAGGGTTAAGTTTTTGAAGAGAAGTTTTTTGAGGTAGATAAGTACAAAAAGTACAGTAAAAAGTTAAACCAATTTTATAATCAAAACCTCTTCAAAAATATAGATCAACTGGTATTTCACCATAAATGGTTTCGTTTTCGGAGCGTCAAAGTTTGCGTCCACAACTCTTTTGCTCATGATAAGAGACCGATTTAAGCCAGAGAGGTAAAGAGCGAGAAAGGGGGAGCGTTTGCTTCTGTTATCACAATAAGATGGTTGTTTACGGGGCGTTGAATTGTTTACTCCATTGTTTTTACACGATTGACTTTACGTGTGCACATATTTATTTTTTTTATTATCTTTTTACAACCCACTGTTGCCGACTGCCTTATGGCCTGGGACTTTCGCTCTCTTAATCAAAGAGAAACTGCAATTGTTTGGTTTTATTTACTCTCTTTGCCTCTCATTTCTTCGACCTGCCACTTACCACCTGTCCTCTCCTATGATCTCTCCATATAGTATATATTTAGGCAGGTCAGTTAAGAGCTAACCAAAGGCGGAAAAAAAGATTTAAAAGATAAAGAAAAAAAGAAAGAGCAACATCATTGATTGGGTGAAGAAAGAGAGCAACATCATCGATCGAATAAGGAAGTAATTAGTGTCAAGCTTTATAAGCTTCAATTTTTCCCCTGGGATGCTCCAGAAGAATTTCTTGCGATTAATTGGAGTCTTCTTATGAATAATTGTTGACATGTCGAGCAGATAAGGGAGAAATCAATTCATACAAATTTCCAAAGACTTCGCCTGTCATTATTTATTAAATCTTTCGGGTCTAATTAGCTTTTATGACTGCACAGAGAGAAATACAATTTGGGAGGAGAAAAGCTTTCAATTTGAGAATTTTTTGTTTCCTTTTTGAAAACTGTTATAATTGTATAACAGTTTACAAATTTAACATAAAGTTTAATATAAATTATGTCATTCAAGGAAGAGTCCTATACATGTTTCTTGTAGAATAACATTTTTCTTAGTATTCCACTTTATTTTTTGTAATATACCAGTTTTTTTTTTGTCGTTTTTCTAATTTGAAACTATGAATGTGACCTTATTGCTTATCATCTGATCCGATTGTATCCAAAGTTGAGTAGCATTATCTCTGGCCAACGATCGCTCGCAAATTGTTTCTGCTCGGTTTCGGCTTTAGTTGAGTTGTAATATTTTGTTGGAATTCGTGTGTTCGCTTTCATTGATTTCAATTTGCAAATTGCGAGCGAACTCAACGGAATCCGCACTTTGTTTCCCACAGCATAGGAATAACGACCCCATGCCCATCCCCGTTCCGAGTGGACCCGGCTCTCCCATTTTCCAGTTCCCAGCCAAGTTCCCATCCACACATCAGTTCAGTATCATCAAGAGGCTGATAATCAGCAGTACACAGACAAAAAAAAAACAAAACAGTGCTACTAATAGCTCAAAATTATTTGATTAAAAATGTATAGAATTTTATGTAAAATTAATTCTATCAAATGAATTCATTTATTATTTATAATTAGTTTGATAATTTATTTATATATTTATTTTGTAAAATGAAGTATATATTTTTCCCTGTGCATTTGTATCTGGGGCTGTCTTTGCCCCTGGATTCAGCTTCTGCGGCTCTTCTCCTCTCACTGTTGCTGTGGATTTTTATACTTTTTTTGTTTGATATTTTTTTATATTATTTTTAGTACTTTTTTTTTCTGCTGTTTTGTATTTTGTGGCTCTCTGAGCTTGGCTTAGCTCTGGCCTACGTGACTCGGACATTTGCGGCAATGTCCGACGACCAACTGGCGGCGACTGGCGGCCGGCGACCGGGCGGCGACTGTTGCAAATCGCAAAACGATCCGCTGGATTCACTGAATCCGCCACCAAAAACCTGCCCCGGATCACAATTTGTATGTCCGCCCCCTTCCCGTCAGTGCCCTGTGCTAAACTTTTGATTATGTTATTTATTTATTTTGCAAACTCGTTAATGTTTAATGTTATTGCTTGTCGTTGTGGCTGCCACTGCCTCAAAATACTCAAAAAAAAAAAAAAACGACAAAAATGCAATCAGGAGGTAGGGAGACTCTGTCTGACTAAAGCATTACTAATTTTGTAGTGTTCTAAATTTAGCTGGTGTCTAAATTATGTTTTGTTTTGCATATATATGTATATATTATGATTTTATTGTGTATTAAAATAATAGGGGTTTGAAATCTCTATAATATGCGTCTAAAAGTATGCAATAAAATCTTAGAATTTTGATTAAATTTTTTCTTTAAAGTTAGAAAGTGATATTTCAAAATCCAAGCGTAATTTGTATTTGATGAATCGTTTGTTTATTGTGACAGTTTTTTTAATCTTTTAATTAAAACAGTTTCCAAAAGTTTAAAAAAATTCCCTATTGTGGACTTGATACATATCATTGCATACTTTTTGACACATTCTAAATTTCTTTTACCAATAAAAAAGGAGATTTAATATATTTAGGATTTATTTATTTGAGAGATATAATTTGGTCTAATATACCCTGAACTTTGGGTAGCGTCCAAACAGTTGAAAGTTGCCAACGTTTCAAGTAGCTCGCAATGCGATCGCCTCCCATGGTTGCTACCCCCAGCGGCGTGTGTGTGTGGAAGGTGGGGGCTGATTGGGTTTTAAGTTTGTGGAGAAGGGGCATGGGCGCGGGTCTGTCTTAACGGCTGCGTCAGCAAATCGCACAATATTTTTGCATAGCAACAGAGAAGCGACGCTGTTGTTGCCACCACGGGTCTTACATTTTGGACATGTGATCGCTGGTGGGCCCAATCTGGCTGGCCTCTGTGGGTCTCAAGCTCATCCACCACCACGGCAGGTTCTAGCACATGAAAATATACACAAAAAAAAAAAAAAAAATAAAATAATAATAATAAATAAAAGAGCTTAAATAATTTTGTTTTTTTTTTTTTTAATTAAAAATTTGATAATTTATAATAATATTTATATTTTAAATGCTAGAGAAAAATTATGTAAAATATTTTCGATATATGTATATTAAGGAAAACTAAAAAAAATAAATAATACAATAAACTATATCGATAAAAATATTCTTACAAAAATATCGTAAAATTGATTTATTTATCGAAAAATTTCACAATTCACGATTTAATATTGATATTATCAATAAATATATCTGGTTAAGGGTTTTAATATATTTATTACTTTATTTTTCGTATTATATTATCAGATATATCAAAAAGAATATCGATTTATCGATCATATGTATCTATATCGCAAATATTAAAATATCATCGATACTGTATTGATATTTTAATATTAAATACAACTTTTTTCGCTAATTTGTTATATCTAACATGTATATTTCCGCTCAGTGTATGCCAAAGTTAATAGCAGGTAAATAGAGCAGTGGGAAAAGGGGCGCGATTATGGGTTGTTGTACTTGATGCAATGCAAAACAGTTAGCACTCGCGATCAGCGATAATATTTATTTATTTGCATGCTCCAACCGATTATTGTTTGCTGATTTGTTTGATTTTTTCTTCTCTTTTTTTGTTGATCGTTGACAACAGAGAAGCTCTCAAGTCTTAGACAGAAAATTGAAATCTGTTAAAAAGTCTAGGGGAGTTTCCACTCCATATTGGGATTGGAAATCGTTTTATTTATTACAAATGACAGCAAATTATGCGCATATAAACTTGACGATTTATGTGAACACATCGGGAACAAAAAACGTAGTATGACTAAGCAAAACCATTTGCGGGCTGTTAATGTTAATCAATCTCTGAATTGTTGGATATAGTTTTTAAGAGACCGAAGGGAATACTCTATAGAAATCGATCTATTATCAGCTAATAGGAAAAATATATAATTTGTATATTATTTAGATTGCGTAAATATTTATTTTTAGAGCGAGAGATTAATTCTGATTACTAGTTTTAATTGAGATTAATTCTTATCCTCATCGTGTGTGTGATTTTTTTATTTTCAGGTTTACCTGGCGCTTTTCCAGCCTTTGCACGTGACCCGCCATCAGTTCAAAAAGGTGCTCAACTGCATGAAGGTGATACGTGCTCTGAAGTACCAGGAGGTTTATGCCCAGGAGAAGGTCACCAAGGTCGACAGCCTGTCGCTGGTGCTGAGCGGCAAGTGAGTGTGTTGAAGAGTCATGCAGTCTGACTGAGATGACACATTCCCATGAAAAGAAATGAATCGAAATGCATTGCTTCTTTCCGCAGATTGGTGGTGTCACAGCATCAGAGAGCCCTGCACATTGTGTTTCCCCATCAGTTCCTAGACTCGCCGGAATGGTTTGGCGTCTCCACCGACGACTACTTTCAGGTGGGTGTGGTCAGCACTTTTTGCGCTTACAAGTATTTCAATAACTCTGATAACTCTCTGTGAAACAGGTCTCCATTATGGCGATGGAGGAGTCGCGGGTGTTGATTTGGCACCGCGACAAGCTCAAATTGTCAATTATGGCCGAGCCCTTCTTGCAGACCGTCTTCGATCACATTCTAGGCCGTGATGTGGTCAAGAAACTCATGCAAGTCACCCAGGTAAGGATTGAGTTCATTTCAATTTCAATAAATAAAAAAATATATATCCAGAGGAAAACTTCGACATGATACATATTTTGACATAAATATTAAACTCAATATCATAGCAAAAGTATCGTAAAAGAAATCGTAAATATATCGTATTTTAAAATATCGAAAAATATATCGATATATAAGAAAAATATTCATATCGAAAAATATCTATTTTTGAAATAGAAATTTTTTCCAAATATATCGAACTATAAAAAAATCAAATATATCAAACACAATATCCATTGATCGTAACAAAGTTAAAATATCGATGCATATACATCGATAAATATAGATTTATTCATTTTTGAGTATTTAAAGGCACATTTTTAAAAGGATTTTTTATCCCATGTCAATAAAACAAATAAGAAACAAATGTAAAATGAAAAGAATATTGTATTACCGTATTATTTAATTAAATTTTTTTCCTAGGTGAGCGAGTCGATAGCCAGCAATGGCTTCCTGCCATCGGGTGGATATGCAGAGGATGCTGAGGACAAGCCCATGTTGATACTCAAAAAGAGTGTGGACGTGGGCCATGGACTAACGGCCCTGATCAATAGGCAGCTCCAGGGTGAGTGCCACTCCCATAATTCTCTCTCTTTGTCTCTCTCTTAAGATTCCCCCTATCCTTAACCTATACAACTGCGGCTAACAAAATAGTATCAAATAATAGTAAAGATTATATCATTCATATTAAGTAAAAACCACGTTACTAACATATTTCCAATAATTTTTTAAAAATTTTAAAAAAATTATATTGTTAAAATGCAGTCCTACTTTTTTACAACAAACATTTTAAAACTTAAAGTCTCTAGTATTTTTGTTTTTTTTTTGTTTAATTTTTATTATATAGTAGGGTTTCTTATTCAAAAACGAAATAAAAATTCAATAATAAGAACTACTGTGAATATTAAACCTGTTCAGAAATTTGAAAATACATTAATACATTAAATTTAAGAAAATACTATAGTTGTGGCCGCTGCTGTGTAGTGAAATATTTCTAGATGTGTTTTTCCTTTTCCTCTTTTGGGAATCTTTGTTTTCAACTGCAGTTTCAATGAATTTCTGTCGCTGCTTTCCCCCTCTCCCCCCCTCTCTCTTTCTCTCTGTGTGTGCACGCAAGCTTTTTGCTTTTAACGGGGCTTCTTGCATGGCCAAAAAATAAACCGAAAACCTCCCTTCTCACTTAAACCCTGTAATTATAGTTTTAAATATTTAGAATATATAAATCTTAATTTAATTAATTATTTTATGTTATGTGCATTTTGTGATTTTTCGTTTATTTTTTTCTGTTTTGTTTACATTTTTTCTACGCAAAAAAAAACAAACAAACAACAACAAAACTCTAATTTTAGAAGAGCATGTTCCTTTACTTGGTCGCACGTACAAACAACAACAACAACAACTACTGCAACAACTAGAACCACAACAACCAGAAGCCACAACAAGCGCCACCAATATCGAGCAAAGTGCAATCTGAAAATATTATGCAATAAATACGAATACTTGCCGAGAATAAAGAATAGAATCCAAACCAGAAAAAAAAGAGATAATAAATCTATTGCACGCGCACCCACGCACGCACACACGGAGCCTCCTCAGTCAGTCATCGAACCTTCAATCCAATCCCAACTCTGACTATCCATCATCAATCATCGCGAACATCAGCAACAAAGGCAACAATCACCGATTACCGAAAGAGCTGCCTCCGATTCCATTGGCACATTTTTTTATCACATTCTGCCAAATGTACATATTCTTTTAATCTTGGAAATTCTAAGGAAAAGTGAAAGAATTCTAATATTATGACAGAGTCATTTGCCACAGAGTAGGGGTAGATATCGAAATTTATCGCATTTAACCTTAAATTATCGATATTTTTATTGTTATTACTATTCAATTTATTTGAATGTTTTATGTTATATGATTCTTTTCTATACTTTGGTATATCAACATATTAAATATTACAAAATAACTTATTTCGGTAATATCCATATTTTTTCGATAATATTTTATTCATTTGTTTTCCCTTTCAATTATATTTGTCTGGTATATTAAACAGATTTTAATTTAATTATTTGTATACGCTTAAATATATATTTTTTAACTTTAAAATATCGACTTATTGATCTATTTTGGCGTCAAATATCGATACTGTTTCGATAAATTAATCTAAAAGTGTAAAGGTGCAATTTTTAAATCATTAACTATTTTGTTTGCAGATAATTCATGAAAATTAAAGGAAAAAAAATAATAAGCTCACATGTCGCTCTAAAATGTACATTTGCTCGGGAAAATATATGTGTTAAAAATGTGACAATGGAATATTAGGCCATTAAATATCTTTAAAGTCATTTCATACTTACGTAGCATAGCAACTATATAGTAAACACACTAATCAAAATAATAATAATCCATCTAATCATTCTAATAGCCAATCTTTGTACAACCCAAAACAGATTCGATGATTTTTTATGTAAACTTTTTAGCTTATTATTAAACAAACACACACACTCCTCGTCACTCCAGCAATTGTTCAGCATAAAATTTCCATCGCAGCGGAAATGTACTCAAAAAGAAAGAAAAAAAAAATCCTTACCAAAAAGCAATCATTTTTAGTTACAGTCTAAAACCAGTTATTGAAGTTTTCAATTTATGTTCAGTTCAAACATTTATTTTGACTTATCATGGCTGTGTGCATTGAGTTTGTAGTTAAACAAGACACTTGATTGCTCACGAATTATAGTTATAGTTGGAGTGGGCATTTCTCGATTAGACGGCTCAAACCAAGGTTTTGGACTTTAAATTAATCGATTATTAGACAACTTAAAGCTGAGGTCTTGAATATAAATCAGCGTTTAGCAAGATCAAATCAAATTATATCAACAATATCCATAAAGAGATTAAAAATTGCAATTGTACAGAGTAATTTTGTAGTAAACATAATTATTTCATATATATTTTGGGAAGAAGAAAACGAAATTAAAAAAAAAAAAAAAAATGCATTTAAATATGTTATTATCAGTTTATCGGGTTATATCAAAAAATAAAGATTCTCAACGCTTTGTAAATAAATTAGAAGTTCTTTTTTTAAACTTCAAATATAGTTTCAAAATCATTCATCTTTTGTAAAAGATCTTATATTAAAAATATGGATAATTAACAAACAATCGATAACAAACAAAAAAAAACGTTACTCATCTTATTATATTATCTCTGTTTTTGTTTCTTAAGTGCAAAAGTTTAGATTCGAAAATCAGATACCTTTTGGAGTTTCATAATGGAAATTTACTGTGCTGGCACACAAAGACCCCTATAAAAATTATTATGTCTTTAACACATTATTATTTTAATCTCTTTTATTAATTTTATGCACTTGATTTGTTTATTTTTTTTTCTTTATTGCTGATTTTATTTGCATACAAATTGAGCTAACAGAAAGCGTGAAAACTAATTAAAAAATAAAAACGAATAATTATTGGGATAATGTAAGAAATAGCATAGCCTAAGTCTCTGTATATACATATTTACATATAGAATATATATGACCAATAGCTTATTAAATCTTTACATATATCTTATGTACATAACCCCCTTAACCAATATCCAATGTGTAATGAACGAAACGAAATCAATGTGAATGTGTAAACAAGCCAAAAACAAAAGCTAATAAACGAATCACTCGCATACGAGTATGTATGTTATATTGAGATAAAGTATTTGAGATAATACCACGGATCGGGAGACGGAATATATCATGTGCCAGAGGCTAGGCACGCGCGCTCAACCAATTTGACATCATTATTAGCATTATTTTGGCGCAAATGGCATTGATTTGTTTTTTATTTTAATTCGCAATTATTTGGTCAGCCGTCGCTATGGGAAAACAGAAAAACAATAACAAATTATATATGTACGTAAATATATTTGTTTTTTAATTGTTTGCCGCGTGTTAATTGTCTGGGGATACGTTTTTGTGCAGTGTAAGGGAGTGTCTTTGTAAGCAAAACAAAAAATACTTAAGCATTTCCATAAAGTTACACACAAAGTGCAGCCGACAATGATGATATTACTATATATCAAAAGTATTATTTGGTGCTAAAACTTTGCTTAAAAACTAGAGGAGTTAATGCTACTTAAAACTGGGAAATACGATGATAAAGGATTAAAGGATTTTCCATAAAGCTTTATTATTTTTAAAACCTCCAAAAAATATGCCCAAAAGTATGCAACAAAATTTTAGTAGGTCAGTGTTTTTTCATTCCCCAAAATTGTAAATCCTTTCATCAAAATATATTCACTTGTAGAGTCTAGCACATATTTTATTTACTTGATTTTTGGAATTTCATTCGATTTATATAAAAAAAATATAAAAATGAAAGTCTAGGATTTATGTGTTACCTTCATACATATATGAACATTACTATATATGTATGTGTCTGACTTCACATTCTGGATACCCCCCACCCACCTTCTATATATTCTACGTTCTACAAATTATATGTATGTATGTGTTTGATTTGTGATAAAATTTATGTATTTGATTTTCTATTTTTTCGGTGACTATAATTTTGTTGTATGTCTAACGTAAACGTTCCAAACCAAACTCGCATCATAAACGTTAATCAACAACTACAACAAAACTACAACCAACACCTACAATCCAAACCAACAACAACATCCAAAAACAGCACTGCCCAGGATATCGAAGTACTACGATTGCGGTAAGTTGATAAACCCAATAAAAAGGATATATATATGTATATATATAGCCTCGAATTGAAATAAAAAATTACAATATCTTAAAGAAGATGAAAATATATTGAAAAAAGGCAAAGAAAAATCTTTAAGGCTCTGCTTTTCCATTCAGTGTTTAAGTCCCTGACAGATATTTAATCATAAAAGCTAATCCTTTGTCTAACCGCTGGTAATTTTTTCCGATCGTCAAAGACTAAACACAGAGTAAGAAGACACAACGCACTCTACTCAAAGCACCGGTAGCGTTTGGCTATCTAAAATGTTATTTCTTCGAGTCGCTGTCTTTTTCGCTGTCAGATAAAGTCCCCGCTAAAAGATTTGTTGTTCTATGGTGTAGATGTGGGAATAACATTGACAGGGACCCATCAAATTTTTTCGGTTCGATAAAAGAATAGCTATAATCGATTATAAACAGCACCATTCCTTCATGTTCAGATAAATTTTACGAGACTGGAAAATCGATATCCTTATTCTAGTTAATTTAGTAAGGCCTTCAGCCACATTTATAAAGCATATTTGTACATGAGTGAACAATAATTAAAAATTATTTCTAATAAAGCAAAACGAATTCAATTGATGAAGCATAATATATGTGGACATAAATTAGAAAAGTATATGTATAATAATTTTATTACATTTTTGATGTGCCTTGTTTTTTGTTTGGTTTGTTTAGTGAAAAGTCATACCTAATAAATTAAACTAAATATATTTAATTTATGTTCAAACCAAAATTAAATAACAAAATAATATAAAAATTCTGTCCGTTCTTTGTTAAATATTTTTGTTAAATTTTGTTCAAAAGTCCTGGGGCAAGGGGTTTCTAAACTAAATGCCGCATAGCAGAGTATGTACTTATGTTAGTCGTGTGTGTATCTGTCTCTTTCTCTGTCTATAAAACTATCTATCTTTCTCTGAGTCTGTGTTACAATTTTTGTAGTGTGACCATGCCTAGTTTTGTTGCCCAAAAAGCTTTTAGATTTGTGCATGCGTTCTACAGTGTTATATCCACTTTCCTGAATAAATGTAAAGAGCAAACAATTAATATAACATTAAATAAAAAAAAATACATTTTAAATCAATTGTTAAATATGATCGCCGAATATACAATATAATATAAATTTTCCTTGAGATTTCATTAAAATAATTATGTATATAACTCAAGGTATTTTCCTATTTTCTTTTTTTCTTTTCGGTCTATATTTTAGCTGGGGATCCCAACTCCTGGCGCCTTGGAAGGATTGATGAAACTGATCATGAGACGGCCGTTTGAGAGGGATCGACGACGAATTGTTTAGACTTGTGTGTTTTGAGTATTATTAGATGTATATTTTAGGCCATACGCTGAGGAAACGGAAGTCCCGGAAAAGAAAACAACAAAACTAAAAGCCATGATTCGTTATACAGAATTATTTATATATACATATATATATATAGATAATTGAAAATTTAAATTTGGGTATTCCTCTCTCTTTTTATATATATATATTTTTATTTTAAACTTATTTTTATTTGCTTCTTATTTTATATAGCAGCAGTTAAAAAAGTTCGTTGATGATATTAAAAACGATAGTTTTGCGGGTTTAAGCGGACAAAACGTCCGATTCAGGCTCATAAACGATAATAAAGTTAATAACCTGTCTTGGGTTTGTGGCAGAAAATTCTATAATTTTCGGAATCCGAATAAGATTTCGATGGCGAACCTTTTACGACATCATTATCGGGTATAATCCTGAGAATTCGCGATACTTGTTCACTATTCGTCCGTTTGCGCGTCCGTTTTTGAGCATTTAGCGAAACTAATGAGGAAAGTACGATTTATTGTCCGTATTTAGTGTTTTTAGCGGACATTTTTCGGAAGTCCACTCTTTGTCTGCTGGGTAAACCATAACAGTATTGCATTTGTGTGTATTAAGAATTTTAAGAATTGGTAAAAATGAAAATAGGTTAAGAATTCGGAAAAATAGATTTAGCTAATGAAAAAGTCATTTAGTTCTAAATTAATTCTAGATTTAGCTACAAATTTACAATGTGACAGCACTGATTATGTTTTTTTTTTCAGACTGGTTCATATTTTATATGTATTAGTTATAAATATGATTTGCCAATTTATTATTTTATTTAATTATTTTTACTCAGAGGGAAGAATACCCACAATCGGAGAATGATAATATATACAAACTATATATATATAAATTAAATTTAATCTAGTTGCAAATTGTATTACGCTATAACTGGGTTAGACGAACGAAGAAAAAAAAAACCAAACAAAAAACGGAATTAAACGAAGAAAAATGTATTTTTTTATTACCTTAATGTTAAGAGATTAAGAGAGATATTTAGAAAACTAACACAAATCGTTGGGTGTACACAACTTGTGCATGAATATATTGTATATGAGTAATTAACTGGATAAAAAAAAAACATATATTTGTGGCTAAATCCGCTAAGAACAACATTCCACACATTGTCCCACAACAAAAAAAAAAAAAAAAGAAAACACCGATATAACCTATATAGTACATTACAAATCATACAAAATGTCAACATACAGTTCCCCCCCCGCCCCGCCATATGAAATCGTTTACACCTTTAATCATTTTACAGACCCTGTAAGTTGATTTCCATTTTTTGTTTTGCCTAAAAGTATGATATACAGAACAAAAATTATGCAGAGAGAGAGACTCTGGAAGTTTGTTGAAAAAGTGTTTGTAAAACAAATGTGAATGGAAACCTGACAATGTTTGAAATTGTATATTTTTATTACCATTGTTGCTTTTGTATTTTTGAGTATGTTAGGTGATATGAAAGGAAATGGATTGAAGCCCTACCAATGAATTCATTTTGTTGAGCAATTGAATGTTTAGCTAGGTATTAAATAACCAAAAAAAAAAAAAACCGACAAACAAACAATGACTTTATAAAGGTGAGCCAGCGGAGAGATAATTAAATTGTGGTTAAATTACACTCCATATACATACATAAAATAAAAAAACCCATGTAGGTTTCAAGTCTCATTTGAAACGTTTTTGCATATATTCAAATGGAATTTGGTTTCATTTCCCACAGAACTTGGCCCCCAAAAATTGCATCGCATTGTATTGTTATCGATCCCAACGCTTGCCTCATGTAAGTTAAAGGTTATACAAAGTTACAGATACACTAAAATCTCCATAAACAAAAGATATACAAGCTACAATAGAACAGAAACATACGAAAAGGAAAAATAAAAACAAAAACAAAAACAAATCAAAAACCAATAGTTCAATGTATTTCGTACCTTTGAGCATAGTTTAAAATAAAGTAGACTGGACATGAAATAAATTATACCTAAATTTATTTGGCAGAAACTTGAACTGAAAATGTATTTGATTTTTTTAATTAAATTTAAAGGTAAGTTCAAGTCTCCAAGGTAAGCTATTAAATCAAGGTATATGGAATATATCATTTTAACCCAGTTTCCTTGACAATTAAAGACTTAACTCGGGGCTTAAAACTTGGGGGCAAGAAGCAAGAACTGCTTGTCCCTGAAGCTAAAACTCTCCAGAAGTTAGCGAAACAACTCTTTTAAATATGTTTTTTATGCAGGCTGTTCTACACAAAAAAAAAAAAAAAAATGATATAAAAACACGCAAATCTAGTAAAAATTGGAAGAAAGAAAATTATTGTTCTAACTTTTAGAAACCAAAAGATTAATGAAAAATCAATTGATTGCAAATAGAAATTTTATAAAAGAATAGATAATAAAGCGATATTTTTCGATATATGGGACTACGGTAAATAATCGACTATCCTTGCTTAAAATATATATTTTATAAATAATTAGAAAGTTAAAGCAGTTTATTTTTAAAGTTAAAGAAATAAATAAAAAACAAAAAAATTGTTCACACATTTCTTCGATAATATCGATATTTTAACGTAAAATGCGATATTCTTCGTTTCTATAAATGTTTGG